AATGAGACCTAAATAAACTAATCCAGTCTGACAGTTACAGCATCCACATGGAGTGGAAGTGGAACAAGATCCATTTAATCATTTTGATAACTTTTCATTCTCTTTGTGTTTAACCTGAATGAACAGATTGTACATTGGGACTGAGGCCGGGTAGAAATTGGAATATAATTGACTATAATCTGAAAACAATATGCTCTAATTAAAGTTAGCATTGAAACAGAATCTGATTACAGAAGCTTTCAATAAATGTTAGAAAAATTGATGAATTATAGTGGGTTACAAAACTATGATACAAGCAAAGGTTTGGGCCGATACCAAACAGCAAAAATAGTTTTGCTCGAGATTTCTGAAATGTAATCTGAACCATAGGATTATTATAGCCAGTAACTGATTCCAACACAATTTTCTAGTTCTTTATGATACATAATTACAAAAATAATCAAGGCATTATGAATAAAGTGCTGTAGTCTGTTGGATGTGATGGTCTACGGCTGTTGCTAGTTGCAACAAAATGCGAATCATTTGTGAACCATGTATGTATTTCACATAGTTATGTATGTAATTCACTTTTGTATCAATTGATATTTCAAGGGCTCCTTATTGGAATCCAAGGATTTTTCATTAGAGTTCAAGAATTTAGAGGCACAAATCAGTGACAACAGCAAATGGAGCGGGAATTCACACGAACGTATTCAGATTCGATGTGTTGCAATATAACTTTTATAAAACACTTTTCGTTTCTGGTTAAGATTTTGCTGTTGTGCATGGAATTAAAATAAGCCATCTCAAAACACATCAATTACACTCTCTTGGTTGTCTTATTGTCACTGATATAATTGGACATGTACAATACTGGAGTGGAATGGAGACTTGGGTTCAATTCCTACAGAGCTTCATGTGGATTGAAAAACGAATGGGGGATTCCAGCTGCATTAAGGACTTTGTAAAAAATCTTGGAACAAAAAAAAGTAAATCCACACAGTACCTCTTGTGAAGCACTTTGGGACATCCTCGTGACATGAAAAGTGCAATACCAAATGCATATGTGCTCCATCTTTATCTGAATGTTCCTGAAACATCTTCCTCTTAACATGCAATTCCCTCCATTAATTGAAAATGAAGGTTTCTTGATAGAACTAGAAGCTGAGACATCTCCATGCCTGGATCAACCTTGGCTATCCTGGCAAATAATATGTAGAGTCCTTTTATTAAATTTGGAACAATTGTCACCCATTTACCAATTGATCGGTTCTACAATGGGGGAAAAAATTAAATAAGTTTAAAATGCAAAACACTGTCATACTCATGAGGATTAAATGGTAAATTACATTATAAAATGCTCAGGAACGGCACTTTTTAAACCATGTGTATTTTTATTTTCTCCTTTCGAATGGGCTAATAGAAGTAAACTCTTCAATCTAGCTGGTTGAGGGCTGGGGGGAGAGGGTGGAGAAAGAGCACGACTTTCAGCTTCAGTTTATCTGCGGGGAGCATTTAAAGCGCTCCAAGACACTGCCACATGTGAAGGGCGCTATATAAATGATGCAGTTGTTGTTGTTACCTAGCTCCGAAAACTATTTTTAAAAAATTCATTGCCTACAATTAAAAAACAAATATCTACCCCCATGCTGGGATGAGGTGCTGTCACCTAGTGGCGTTTTAAATAATTGTGGTGCTGGTGAATTATGAAACGTCCAAATTCAGACCCATACACTTTCAACAAAGAAAGCCTGTTGGCCCATTGCATCTCTGCCACTGCTATTATTTTTGCAACTGTTTATTAATCCTACTTTCCGTATTTGTCCATATAATATACGTTTCACCCAAAATTATACTTCACAGTATATTCTGTCTATATTATAAGGCACTATATCAAAAGCAATATATATCCCTTTTTGGTTTTTCTTCTCAAATACTCATTCTGTTCAATAGAACTGGATGATTCTATGGCCACTAGTAAAGAATCCCACACCTCAACTGAAGACTTCAGTTAAGATGTTCCTTCTAACCTTTGCTTTCAGTCCTCTTTTCTCTCACAGGATTATGGGTTGTACCTTATACCAGAACTTAAATTCAGTATATAATCTAAAGTGACACACCAATGCATCACTCCTTCACAGTGCAATGAAGTCAGTATATTCCTCCAAGATGTTACGCCAAAATGCTCTGTCCACTTTGGTGGATTGGGTTCTGAAGAGCAAGACGTTTTTCCCATTATTGCTATTTGTGAGATGCTGAGTTAGCTCCCAGGACTCCCTGTGTAACAATTACCAAGCTTGAACAATACCAGAGATTTGAGACATTTCAGTAGGACAGGGCTTTGTGTATAATGCAAAATTACAGTATGCGAAATACAAATAAGTATTGTGTCTGATAAACATCATTTTAAAAGTTGACGTCAGCTTTTGTATATTCTTATGCCAATTTTTACTAATGCCTTTTTCTCCACTCATGTTTGCTGCCTAATATGACCTTTGTTTCAAGGTTACACCATCAACCCAATAGATTTTCTTCTCCCCCAATAGAACTATAGCTTTTATTTCTTGCCGTCAATAGCTCCCTCTGGTGGATTCCTATTCTGAGTAATATGTACCATCTGTGGAGTTCACATAATTCAAACTAACTTTATAGGTAGTTTTTTTTCTCAAATACGAAATAACTTGAAATAAAACGCAAAACAAAATATAAAACTGAATAAAATGAAAATTCCATGGGGCTCTACTTATATCTTTACCCCCATGAGCAACAAGTTTGGCAAAAAACACCTCGAGGGAGAGCAACGAAAGCATACTGGAGACACGTTTTGGTTCCGAACATAGCTTTTTGTTTTAATACTTGATCTACATCTAAGTACCACCTCTTACCCAATCTACTTAATTTATACAAAATATCCTTAAAGATATTGATTCTTTTTATTAGGAAGGCACATAGCCACACATCGTGGAATCAGATTTTAACAATTTCTTCCAAATTATTTTGATCCATGTGAACAGGAGCAAATAAAAATTCCTGTGGAACACCAGTCATTGACCCTACATGGAATGAAAACCATCTTAGCATTAAAAAGCAGAAGGAAATAAGCACACCAACCACCTATTATTTAAACCATTTTTTAAAAAAATTGTGAAGCATGCCATGAAATTCCCAATAAATCTACTGGATTACTTTTTCATAACACAACCGCCTCAAAAAAATTCCACCTTTCTGAGAGTCAATGTATTTCTTCTGCGCCCATATCAGTTATTCCTGATGATTTTGTGATCTTTGGTTGATTATTGATCCAACTTTTTCCCTTATTCCCTCTCCCAACTGGATTACAGGCTGGTTAATATAATTTACTGGCTCATATCTCACTGTTATTCCTCCACTCCTGTACTGATGAAACTCCTAAAAACCTCACTTATTTCCTTCAGAGGTATAGCCCACATTTTCTTCCCTCCCATTTCCTAAACACGTTCAACTCCTTTGTCCTATTAAGAGTAATGTTGCACCACTTCATACCTCACCTTTCCCACTGACATTAGGAGAACCATTAAATTCTGCAAATATTTACTTATGTCCAGAACATGGGGTCTGAAATTAAATATCTAGTCTTCAACTATGAAAAGGTGAAGTCTATTTTGAAGCATTAGATATGTACATTCAAATTAAATTTTGCTTCTTAAAGAAAAATCCCCAGCTCAGCAATATTACAGAATTCAACATTCGGTTAAACACCCAAATTCTCACCTAGCAAATGCTAGGTTACAACATTTTTGTTGGTCTGTTAAAGGGAGAATTAGTGTTTCTTGGCCTTTGTTCTTTAAAATTAATTTCAACAGTGAAATCTCAATGACGTAACTGAGGTTGGAGAATTAGTGAGTTAATCTTTTATATAAGGAGTCACTCATATTATACATTTTTGAACCAAAACATTTAAAAAATTCATCATGTTCCTAGGTCTTTAGTCTCCACCCTCATGACAGCAAACATAGGTTGATTAACAACTAATGCACTTCCCATAAATTTCTATGGCCAGTATGCTTTTTTAAAAATGATCCTTCAAAAACTTCTGGACAATTCTGGTGAAGTCAAAGCATCACATTTCATAAGCTTGTTTCAGTTATGCCACTGACTTTGGAAACACTAGAACAGTGACTGTGATGTACAGCAGCATTGGTACAGCACAAAACAATTACCAAGTTTGATCCAGTTCTGTTTAATCTTGTTTGAAGTTGTGCAATCTTCTCTGCTGTGAAATGAATTCCACTTCTCTGGAAAAGAGAAGGGTGTAAAAAGTACCTGAACTCCACCAATTGGGACACTGCAAAAATCCCCATCATTGTTTGCACCTGTACTCTAAAGCGATGTTTTCATGCAATGGAGATTACTAACAGCTTTGCCTGCCGGCTCAAATGCAAACATGGCATTCTAAATTGGACAATGCTGAAGAACAGAATCCCTTGAGCTAAATTAGACAGATTACATTGGTTAGATTCGGGCCAGATTTATCTGGTCAGGATTGGCATAATCCTAATGGCTCTCTACTTTGACCGATCAATTTAATAGGCCAGCAACAATGGCAATTAGGGGTGGCTCTCATTACACCAGGACCATTAACAGGTTCAAACCATCACTGTGGCAATAGGCCAGTCACAAGACTCTTTAGATCCACGAGTCCCAAGCAGGTTGTAATTTTAAACCAAAGTTGAAGTTACTCGCCAGCTCTAAGAAAGTTAACTTTAAAGTGTCAAGTTAACAAGCTTACCACTTAGACACGCTCATTTTATTCTACTTTACAGCAATTCTTGTACAAGATGAGAAATGTGTAAATTAGCTAAGAGCTACAGATATGGTCCAGTGTAAGTCGACTGCACAGAAGTAAATGAAAACATGAAATCCCAGTTACAAAATGAAAATTGTAATTTAATCATAAATTTCTAATAAACTTACCTAGATCCCTTCCGGCTTCCCACGGTCAAATCCATAAAATTAAGAAATCAATGACTGGAACCCAAACAAATTATTCAAATATATGTATAGTGTTTATTGTAATGCTTACCCCCAATACTTTTTTTTAAAAAGTCTTCCAAATTGTGACTCTTGATCAGGATTCTTCTGTGACATGTTACTAAACTGACTTGCACAGGGCCCTAGCTATAAAAGTACCAATTTAAGTCGCCATTCTATACCTAGAAAAAGTTAGGAGTCAATAGGTAGATTCATTAACTTGAAATATACAAGCTTAACTTTAATATTGTAACACTTAGACCTCGGTTTTAATTCTTTATTTAAAAAAAACACTTAAATATTCATATCATGCCATGCTTCATGATTCCATATAGAATCAACAAATTTCAACTTGAGCTGATCACAAGGGAAATAAAACAAGCAACAATTAAATCTTTCTAAAGGAACTAAACAGACAGAGAAAACTTTCTTCTCACGTTCAATATTAAATAGTTGGAGTTGTGTTAGTCTAAACAAAAATACAGGTAGCATACTAAGGTATTTTGTTGGACTGATTTGGTTAATACAAGCATTTGGAACCTGAATGTTATCACAGGGAATAAACATTGAGGTTTCAAAAGATCACAGGAGCAAACATCAGCCAACAAAAGTTATTTTATACTACCCAATTTGTCATACTGAGGATAAGTAGAGAACACGATGAAGAAGCTGATTGAAATTCAGGTTTGACACTGGTTTTAGAAATCAGTGAGAAACAATTCACAAATGCACAAAGGTTATCAGCACTTGGATGCTACAGCAGTCCAGAAACCTATATACAGAAAGAAATTATGCCACAATACATAAAATTCTTCACTGTATTGTACATAAACACAAAAATTTATACATACTAGGTCAATAGCAGGCCAATAGCTATGAAGGGGCCTTCTACTGCAGAAAATGTAATCAGTGCCACCTTTATTCAAGGGCCATTTATTTACGACTGCTTTTTATTCTTTCCAGTCTTTTCTTCAGATCATCAAGATTAGCTGCTGATGTGCTACTGGCGGTCTGCATTGGTGGCTGGTGAGATTCCTGCTCCTGGTTATACTCCCGTGAATCTCGAAGGTGGGTGAGTTTATTGTGCAACAACTCAGAAGACGATGCCACCGTAGGTACTGAGGGTTTGGACAGAAGTGAAGTTGCGGGTTGTCTTTCTTCATGCTGAAAAAGGCAGAATAGTTTTCGAAGTGGGTTACATACATCTCCTAGCAAATAAACTTCAAGACCCCATTGACCAATTTATTCATGTCCCCATGCCTCCCTATATACCCACTTTTCATCTTCAACCTCACTCATTTGCTCAAGTGCAGTAATTGTATATTTGTAGAAAAACCTGGCGCCTAATTTGCGCACATCAATGTCCCACAAATAGCCATGAGGTGAATGACCAATTACAATGCAGGATTGTTAGCTCAGGCAGTAGGAGTTGGCCCAGCAAAATGTATCATGGATTCTAACTTACAGTTTAACTTGGTTTCACATCTCAACCAAAGGATGCTACCTCAGAGAATGCAGTACTCCCCAGCACTGCACCAAGGAGTCTGCCTAGACTATGAAATCGAAGACTGTTTAGTTGAGTATTCCAGACTCCAACATATCAGTTTTAAAGTATTTAATAAGAAATCTGGCAGTGTGTCGCATAAGGTTAATGACAATTAATGTAGTATATACCCAACAGTCAGAGAATTGCCCTGGGACTATCAAAAATGCGAATAAAATATCTGGAGAAGCTCTCAGAAATGTACACGTTACCTTTGAATTGTTTTCCAGACCACAGCGCTGCCGCAGAATTTTTAATCGCTCCAAATAAACAGCCGGTCCAACCTCCTCACCATTGGTGCCACCTCCAGAAGATATAGAAGTGGAACTTGCCATATAGGATGAATCAACTGAAGGTGATGAAAGCCCTGCCAATTACAAATTCAAAAATAATTGGTGAAATAAGCCAATAATGTGATCTGTGGACCAAGTTGAATGACTTTTAATATGATTTTAACTGCTCTTAATCTATACTTTTACCAGAGCTAGATGATGAAGATATTCTTCCTTTTCCTTCCCGCTCATTTTCCACAAGCCGCAGCCCTCTTTCGATGTAGTTCTGAAAGAACTGGGAAGATTGCTTCAAGAATGGCTCAATGTCTGCATCTGAATACTTCTTCCGATATTCATACAGCTCTGCTAAACCCTGTGGAATATTTAAAAATATATTAGTATTTAGTTAGTCAGAACAATTATTCTAGCATGGACTAGTTGGGCCAAATGGCCTGTTTCTGTGTCACCTCACCCAAAATAAGTGCAAATTGTTGTTCAAGCTTAAAACATACCTCTCTTGTATTTTCTTTAGAGCCAATCTTCTTAAATATTTCTGCCAAAGTTTCACTTATCTTAGCTTTTGATTCTTTGTCATCCTACAAAAGAAATACATTTTAGAAAATGCAGGTCCCCAGAATATATACTTCAGTAATTATGAAACCTGCCACAGAAACTGTTAAACTTTTATCTGAAAACATTGTATCCAGCTTGCTTAATGCAAGTCAATTTCCTACAATTTTGCAGCTGCACTGATACATCTTTAGAGATTTTAAAAATGGCCCAAAAATTGATAAGCAAGCAGCCTTTAGTTGCAATTTACCTGCTTATACTTGGCAATCAAAACCTGAGGGTCCTAGGTAAATAGCTGAGGCCTAAAGTTTGGTAAACTAGTACAGGATTGAACAAAGGATGCAGCTGTAAACATTACCTGGCTTACAAAGAGAATATTTTCTTAAAAAGGGAGAATAGCCCAATGAAATTTCTCCCTTGAAATTAAGCCAATTTCTAAAGCAGGGTTTGAAGGAATGATGATAAAATTAAATAATATTCCTTGCATGTGATAAAACGCTTTTCACGTCTAGACCTCTCAAAGCGCTTTACAGAATATACTATAAAGTGAATTGACTGTATATTTGTGGAGAAAATGCAGCAGCCAATTGCGCACAGCAGTGTCCTACAAACAGTCGTAGATTGAAGTGACCACTTTATTATTGTTTTTTTCTTGAGGGATTATTATCGGACGTGTGGAGTAAGGAAACCTGCCCAGAATCAATCCCAGGTCTCTCGCTTGCGAGACAAGTACTCTAACCACTGAGCTACAGGACTTCACTAACAAGGATGCAAGGATTGACATGAATATCCTAGTTTGTCAACAGATATGAAAAAAATTATTTCCATGATGGTACCAAACCTTAACAGATTTATATGCCTTCCTACACAATAAGACATTCAAATCTACATCAAGTATAGCCAACCTAAATTTTACTGCTTAATCTTCAAATTGCATAAACTATAGCTCAAATTTTAGATTTAACATTTCGATTAACACATACCATCGTAGAACCCCCTTTCTCAGTGTCAGAGTCAATTTTTCCTCCTGACAAAGCCATGGAGTGTTTAGTAACTCGTCGCAGATGAGCCTCAAGTTCAGATTCATTCTTGTTCTCTATCATTGTCAAATGATCCATGATCTAATACAAAACAAGGATGCAAGGATTGGCATGAATATCCTAGTTTGTCCACAGATATGAAAAAAATTATCTCCATGATAGTACCAAACCTGATAATCTCTCTCAACACATTACTGAAATTTAATTTACATTAACTGGGAGATGCAGCTTTCAATCTATAGTATTGCGTGATAATACTATATAAACTGTCCACTAAAGTAGTTAAATCTAACTCTACTCCCAAGGTCACGGTACTGAATCCTGTTAACTGATTTGGTCTTCAAGCTATATTTATAACTACATTCTGCTCCTGCTTCCATTCCTCCAACTCGATTCTTGCCTCTCCTCGTTCAAAGTCCGTCACCTTGACCACACCTTTGATCAACTTTCCCCTTCTGCTCTTGTTCAATGCATTATGTGCAGTCAGTAACTGCAGCATATTTATTTATAAATATTGAACCTAAGTCAACAAACCTTTGGTCCCATTAACTTGCAAAGTGTATACAAGAGTGTCTTTTGTGTTCTCATTGGAAGATCGCTCTTCATTTGTTTTAACCTTTCCCTTGGGAAGACTCTCATGAAGTTATGTATGTCCAAAAGTATTCGGTCAACGTTGATATTATTGACATTACTTGGGAGAAGGCGTATCATGCGCCATAAACACTGTGAATATGAAGAGATGACAAACAATATGCAAATTAGTTAAACCAATTGGGTATTTGAAAAGCTAAAATTGGCAGTGGATAAACATTAAATTATATCTGGAAAGTTTGATGCAAGAAAAATTCAGATAGCTTACTACCTTCATAACCAGCTCTGAAAACTTGGGAGAGTTATTTGCTGTAGCCAGAAGACTATCCTGCAGTAGTAAAATCAAGGAACTGCAAAGGAAAAAAAAATTAGGCAATAAATATTTGCAAGATTATGAGAAACAGCTTTAATGAACCTTACAGAATACCTAAATTTTTCTCCCATTGAAAACCCAGCTTTGCCATTACCTCAGGATGTTGGTTGGATCAGATTTTTCCAAAACTTTCACCATCAATAGATTGACCGATCGAATAACCTGTGGTCCCTCATCCAAGTCTTCCAAGCGAGAGTCCAGCATCAGTAAAATTAACCCATACATGAGATCCTTTAATACTCCTACAGAAGCCTCCTTAGCCAAAGTTTCTATTTGAAACAACTGAGCAAAGATGAGACCTGGTTAACTTACTCAGTAATGACAGAAAAAACATAAATGTAAAACTAATTGATAAAGGAAATCACACAATGTTACATTTACCCACCTTCAGTAGGTTTGTTATCCTTTGAAAGTAATTTAGTTACCACATATCCAATGCAATAAAGAAAGCCCAAAAGTACAACTCTAAGACTGCTGCACACCAATTTAATCAGCATAGGCTCAATTAAATTGTTTTTTTTAAAAAAAGGTAGTTTTCTTTAAAAACTGCAATTTCTTTTACATAGCATTTTCAAAATATTTATAAAATTTAACTAAAGTCTCTACATTGAGAAGAATGAAGCATGAAATAAATTAAATGTGCGAGTCAGATGGCCCCTGTGCACATGTTTAGTCATCAGGGTTCAGAATGAAACAGCCATGTCACTGCATTACTGTCCCATTCAGAGTGCAACTCATCACTCTCACACACTTAACAAGTGCACTCTCTTTGGATTATGAAATGGATTTTTGCTCATTCAATTACTTTTACATGAGCAGTCCCCTTGCTAATTCATAGAAAATCTGGCATTAATTTAAGGTTTTATACACAAATGAATCGATTTTTGGCTTCTACCATGCAATTTTGTTTTATTCTCTGGCTTTTATAATAGTTGAGTATTGAACTTAGAATCAGAAGTTGTTCATACCGTAATCATGTCCCCAATGATACAGCTATAAAGCTTCAGGATGTCATTCCTGTTAAACTTTTCATCAGCCATGTGTGTATTATTAATTAATCGAAGTTGCACAATTGTGGCAACCAGCAACTGATCAATATGACCAGACATAACTTCAGCTTTATCCTCCTGACGCAGAACTTCATCAATCTGAAAACAGAAAAAAAATTAAATCATGGAAGTGAATAATGCAGCTGCAACCTTGCACTTGCACTGCCACTTTTAACAACTTTCCCGCTCCTCATCATTCCTTACCTGGGCAAGGGCTTGAATGCTGGTGTTGATATCATTACTTGCCACCTGTGACACAACAAAATTGATAGTAGATGTTGTGTTGCTGTGCAGGTCATCAAAATGTGGAGAAACTGCACGATTTCTGAAAACAGTTAAATTGCAAGACAAAGTTAAATAATGCAAGTTTGTTTTAAAAACAATTCATATTGCATGAGATGTTAAACTGAGGTCCCATCTGCCTGTTCAAGTAGATATTAAAGATCCTATGGCATGATTGGAAAAGAGTTTCTCCCAGTGTCCTGGCCGACAATCCACCAAATAAAATTGGTGACTCACTCCATGGCTGTTTGGAGAACATTGCTGTGCACAACTAGCTACCGTGTTCCGCTCATAAAATACAGAGGCCGTCCGGCGTGGAGGGCGCTATATAAATCCAAGTTGTTGTTGTTAGTCAATCCACTTTACAATATATCCTGTGAAGCGCTTTGAGACAGCTCGACGACATGATAAGGTGCTATATCAAATGCAAGGTTTTATTATTCTGTAATGAATTCCAATTACAAGAACTACTGCCATGCATCTAAACGTTATTAAATTCCCTATTTTGTTCCTAAAGGTGAGCTTCTCAATTTACATAAACCACAATCTTTAAAAAAAGGTAGTCAAGGTCAGATTTCATGCTTTGTTAATCACAAGCACGTTATCAACTGTTGGAAAAAAGTGAGCAGTTACACGGCCTTCAATCAATGGAACCGGACATTGTTAAATGCACCATTCGTTTCCAGTATTTTTTCCAGGCAGTAAAGGATTCCAAAATAACGAACTATATATTGGTTACTCACTTTGGTTCTGGAATACAAACTGGTTCATAGAGTTCATCAAGTTTGTGCTGTACTAGATCTGGCAATTCACATCCACCAGCAGTGTTGTCATTTTCTATTTCATCAAGATCTAGCTGGAACTCTTTTGGGATTGCATGACTAGCTTCAGACGTCGCGTGTACGTTATTGGCACGTGCTTGACTGAAAGAAAGAAATGCAGAAATTAGGAGAAATTTCAAAAATAAGTCCTCTGCTGCAGCAGAAAAAAACAATTTCTATAGTGAATATAGTGGAATTCTGATTGTAGGATATTTCAATCATTTTAGAAGGAGGAAGGCTTCTATCAATGAAACAAATCATGGCTTAAACATCTGCCATATCACCATGGCTCTGCTGCTGAAGTTTGTTCTTACGCAGGTCGAGGGTATGTATTAGAATAAACTGAATCTGTTGCTATTTTAGCATTTTCATAGAAAGAGTAAACATATTAGGAGCTGTTCAAACAGCATTTTCTGGGAGAAACAAAGAGTTTCCAGAGTTTAAGAACTGCCAATATTGTCACTGAAGCTGGTTCAAAAAGGGTGTATAGTCAACCAGCAACCCGAGAATGAGCTCTACTTACATTCGATAGGTTCGATACATTATTCTTTCCGGGGAATTGCAGTGAAAGAAGTCAGAAGATAGATTTAGACAAATAGACAAACAGCGTAAGCACAAGTAGAAAAGATTTAAACTCATGAAACAAAAATCATAAAGCACAGAAAACGAATGAGTAAACAAAACATGTCTTTGTCATGCAGTATGTTACAGAATCTAGTACAGTATCAATAGTTATTTAGGATTATTATCACTTAGACTTCTTCCTCTTGTTTCAACTTATCAAAACCATTTCACTATGGGTGTATTCAGTTCCTGCCACTGGGTGGCAGGATCTACAAATACAATACAAACTGACAGGAGAAGTGGATGGGATCATAAGAAAGATTCCAAAGAGTTATAGAATGGGCTTTGAAGCAAGCTGCATCATTCTAATCGCACCAATGCATTATAAATGTAGAGGTGGTGCCAACTGATTACCCTCTGATTAAAAACAATGCTTCAAAAGTTATTAGATTTTCCATTATTACTAATGAACAGCATATTAAAGACCAATAGATTTTTTTTCAAATAGTGCCATGGCCATGGAATCTTTGATGAACAGCAGTCAGAATCTTTGCATAATATTCATCTGAAGTGTGGCACCTCCAACAGTGCTTTCCCAGCACAAATTTCTGACTCAGAAATAAGCATTTTCAACTGAGACAGACTGCCAATCATGTCTTGATTTCTCCATTTAAAGACAGTAGATTTTACACAATTCAACCATCCAGTACACAAAGCACTGTTTTAGAGATTAGATCATTACAGAAATGTATGATTTAGGGTTACGTTAATTGGATAAACTGTCACCTCACAAAGATTAATAACATTATAACTATAGGCTAGAAGAGGAGAAAAAGAACCACATCACAAAAACAGAAGGAAACGTGCAGAACTGGAAGAAAAAAATGATTCAAGCAAATACTCATGAAAACAGCAAACAAAAACATGTTTGGAGGCATCTTGATCGTGCATGAGAAGGCCACATGGTTCTGCTGAAAATCTCAAAGGGATGGTCCAGCCATAAAATTCTTATTCACGTTGATATGTTACCAAAGATATAGCTAGTGTAATCAAAGCTGGTTTTAAAATAAGATTCCTTACTTTCTTTAATCTAAACAATCAGACTAGACATCGCAGAAAAGTCATAGAAGACATACTTCAGTTTGGATGGTACTTCTTCAAAGCCTTTACGTGGCATGGCAGCATTTGAACTTTGCCCTTGCGATCTTTGAGTTTTCTCTTCTGCCTGTTTTAATGGTGCCGTTGAGAGTTTCTTGGCTGATCGTTTGATTCTCTCCTCTAACATGCTCATCTCTTTCTCTGAAAGCTAAATAAAAGATTATATTTACAAACTCCATAATATTTGCCCTTACAGATATTTAACCAACTGAAAACATTTTAGCCATTATTACATTTCTAAACCACATGAAAAGGCGCATTTCCATAATAGGTGTTACACCATCTAAAAACAGCATTTGCAATATTATGAGTGGATGAATGTTTTTCTATATTGAAGGAAATTTTGAAGGATTGGGAAGACCCAACTTTAATGCCAAAATCAAAACCCCTTTGCCAAGCTAAGCTGCAATACTTACATTTCCAATCAATTTAAAAACTTGATCTCCACAGATATTATAAGCGGTAACCAAAGTGTTCAAGGCAGCATTACGGACTGATGTGTCTCGGTCTCCAATCTGACTTGCAATTTCCTTCAGAGCTTTGGCTGGAGTTGGCTGACACACATTCATATCATAAGCTTCAATTAAAGCACCCAGTTCTTCTAAACACTCTATAAGATAAGGTAGTTATAAAAAACATTCATACCTGCTTCTGGTATCACACAACTAAAACACTAAGTTAAACAGGCTACAGTAAAGTGCACAATACACATACACTCACCTACTCGTTGTTTTGAGTTCTTAGATTTCAGGCCATCCATAATAAAGATAAACATTTTACTTGCTGGATAAATCTTGCACATCACATTCAGAATGGCACGAACATCCTTGCGAACAATATCTTTTGATTCTCCAACCTAAAACAGAGCAACACATGGGCTATTACATATATATTGCTTAAAATTATTAAACTGGATAAAATGTACCAATTAGAAGTTAAATATTTGGGGAATACTAATTGTTGACTATGAATTAAAGGCATTTCCTCCCACAACTATATTTTTAAGATGGTACTATGCATTCACAGATTATGGTTATCAAGTGAGCAAATGTTAACATACCCTTAGAACTTCCCAATAAGAAAAGATTTTTATTAAAATTTCTTCCCAGACAAAATAGCAAATTTGTGCAAATCCATATCTTGCTACACTAACTTTAGTTTTGTGGCAAGACTTATACTCACAACACCACACTCCTGAAAAGTATGTTTAAAACAATCAGCAGTCCTTTACCTTGATAATTAGATACGGAATGAATGAAGAGGCCTCATTTTCAATTAAATGGTAATCCTCTCTGCTCAGAAGTGCAAATAGGAGCTTCAAGTACTCCAGGACTTTCATCAATACACTGGTGTTTGTGTCAAAAAAACGGAGAGTCAACCATTTCAGAATAAGATCCAGGCAGCCAATAGAACCCTCTATTTCATTTTCCAAATGCTGCAAGTAAAATGAACATTTTAGTAATGTTATTTTGTTCCAGGATTCAAAATTTCACACATTATTTTTACAAGTTGTTCCTCATTCACACCTCCCCTTTCTGCACTCAAGATTTTGAAGCTGTATTATAACATCTTATCACATCAAGACATCACAAAGCACTCACGAGTAAATTATTGTTAAGTGTAGGGACTGCTATCTTTGCAAGCAACCCCAGCAGCCATTTGCACCAGCATGATATTAGAAACATACCATGAGGTGATCAATATATTTGGAAGACCATTGGCTAACACACTGGGAGAAACAGCTTCATTTTTCAATCTTGTCATGGAATCTTTGATATCCACCTAAATACAGGCATTGTTACTTTATTTGTTTCATGGCTTATTTGAAAATTGCTGCATCAGACAATTTCTGCCTCCAGTGCTGTACATAGGTGTTTGCCTCGTCTTGAATAAAGAGACCCATTTTTTTTGAAACATTTGCTTACCTCTATCAAAACTGTTAATGCTTTGATGTGATGATGAAAATCTGGATGGAACATTTCATCTTGCAACCATTTGGCTACACAGCTGGACATCTGAGTTTTCAGTTGTTCTGTGTATTCATCTCGAGGAGTTGTAAAATTCCACTTCAACACCTAATGTAAACATACATATTTTCAACAACAAACAGATAGATTTACATTTATAGTGCCTTTCACGTTGGGAGAATATCCCACAGTTTACTGTAAAGTAATCTCATTAAAATAATTGTCCTATATAAAAACATTGTGTAAATTTATTTACTTATTGCTCAGTTCTAAACATTATTAGTTTGACAACAAAATGTAGAAGGTTTAAAAGAGTATCTCTAAGACTCACCTTTAAACCTTTCTCATCCTTCATCCGTTGGTCCTTTCCATTAGGAATAATCATGAAGATTGGCCCAGATTTATCTTCATCATCCTTGAGATTTGTCTTACTTGGCACTTTCTTACCAAGTACAGACTGAAAAAGTAAAAGGTCAGTTTATGAAAACGCTGTTAAATCCATTTACATTGGTAGAACATAATTCATCCGTTACATCTTCCACATTTCTAAAAGTAACTAACCTCTTCCCCCCCCACCCCCCCACTTTACCTTTGAAATAATTAGGCTCAACAATTCAGTGCAATGACAGCACACTAATATATTGCGCTTACACAGTATCTCAGAATAAGTATATTTTTGTGAGGAAGCAAGAGTCAACTTAAATTGATATATCAAATCCATTACTTGAATTAAAAATTACTGTAGGCAAAATCCTCATTTATTGAAGGCTGCTTAACCTGTGTCCCTCCACATACTTCTGGTATGTCATCCCAAGGAAAAGCTATTGGCCCTTTAAGAAATTTTAACTCGGAGGATATTTGCTCGTATGGTCTCATCCCACCCTCATTGCAAGGAAAGTCTTCAGAGGCTTTATTACGCAGGGGAGGTGGCAAAGATTAGCTCATAACAATATGGAAACAAAGTGTGATAAACTGTCCAGACGTTAACCATTTTCCACATCATAGCAGTTCAGAGATTACAGGTAGGGCAGATAGTTTTGCACTTGAGAGGATGTGCTTCAACAGCAAATAGGGACACATAGCATTTCTTCAGTCTTTCTGGGTGTGCTGAACTGATAAGTTATTTAACTCAAATATATAATTTAAAGACTGATAACAAAACAATACCTTGGCTTTGGCAGTAGCTCCAGACACTTTGGCCTTCTTCGGATCGGCTTTAAGCTCAAAAGCACCTGAATCATCACTTGTCCCTGCATTCTGTGCACGCGAGGCTAGCAGAAAAGTGTTTGGTGCAACAAGAAGAAAACAATCTGATCATAATTGTAAAATATTTAAACTATTTTGCAAAAAACATGCAAGATTTGCAAAGCAATTAATGTCAAATATTCAATCACGATAAATAAAAATACTGGAAAATAAACTCAGCACAATCTATATAGACGTTTCAACTGCTGTAAAATTAAGCAGAAATCAATCCAATTTTAGAGCTACAATTTCAATTAAAATCCCTCAGGATTCCAGATCTATACACAAATTTCTCTCTGATATGTAGGATGCATGAAAGCAACACGGTGAATAGTGAACTTAAAAAATTAGGGATTCAGGGAGAAAGCAGATTCAGTATTTTTTTAAAAAACGTACACCAAACAGGATCATATCAAAGCAATTCAAAAATAAGTACATAACATCAATGCAACACATCAACCAAAATTGAAGGATATTGGTTACCTGCACTGGATGATCTACCAGCAGATGAAGCAGAGGCAACTGTACCCTCACTTGATTTTGAAGATGTTTTAGCTGGCTTGGCTGGCATAACAGCATGGGCCTTCTCAAGAGCTGCTATCACTTGGTCTTTTGAGGCAGGCTAAGAAAGGGAAGCAGTTAAGTATTATCCACGGATCAATTGATAAGTTAGTTTTGCTCACATTACGAATTGTTTGGATCAGCACTTATCATGTCTGTGCAATGATCTGCTCAGCGTTCCCCCACCTCTGCAACATTGTCTGCCTCCACCCTACTTTTTGGACTGCTGAGACCCATATCCATGCTTCATCAAGTTGGGGTTCGACTACAGACACGGTCAAGGAGATGGAAAAAAAACTGATAGGCACTGAAGTAGGGAATCATGTAAGAATACAAGGTAACCCATCACTGGAATGCTCATTTTTTCCCCACGAAGCCTCCACATAGAAATGAATGAACTGAAGAAAGGAGCTGGAACCAAGAGTAAACTAACAATCTACAAGAGTCCAATAAATCTTCCCCAACTTTACTACAAAGAAAATAAGCAATTGTTCCTCCTTAAAAAGGAACTTCATAAAGGACATGCACCAGATTAGTTAATGTAATCTTGATTAAATCAGGATTGTGAACAGGAATTCAATGGAATAGTCAATCTCGTATTAACTATAGGAAATGACTAAATTAAGAACATAGCAGTCATAAATAAGGGTTTATTCTCAAAATAAACCATGCCTTATGAATCTATTATTTCTTTCAAGAGGTACCAAAATTAATGGACAACAAGCATCCACTGGAATTTGCTTTGAATTTCCTTCAATACCTTTAATTTGCCCGTTGCCTTAACCATTTTTTCAAAGCCTAGGTGCATCATAAAAGTTGGCAGTGCATCTTGAGCCTTCTTCCTAACATCTCCATTTCGGTCTTCCAAGCAAGAGTAGAGATGAGGCAAACAAAGCATGACATCAGAGGGCACAGTTCTCAGTGTTGGTAATTTCTCTGCCAGCCAACCTAGCAACTACACAGCAAACAAAAAAAAAAAAATTAATTCCAGCCAACGAAACAGAATTAACTCAATTGTACTGGTTATCATTAGTAAACATGGACCATACCTCCTGCCGAAGAAAAGGATTTTCTCTCTTAAGTTCATCAGAAAGATCTTCCCCTTCCAACCATTCTTTCATACCAGTTTGATCAACCCAAGAATTCAGTGTTACAAGAGCTGCGGCACGAACATTACTCTGTAAAAACAATATTATTTTTCTTAAATCATGGTACAACCTTAAGCCAATTTAGCATTACTATTACTGCTTTCTGAATTAAAATAACAAAGGCATAGGCAGGGCCACAGAAGCGATGTCGGTAGCAGCGCAGAGACCTGGGGCCGAGCACACTGAATGTTTGTGGGGTTCTAGTGGAAGGGATGTTTGTAGCTGATTCTGCAGCTGCACCTTTCTATTGGCACAGGTTATAGATAATGCAATGGCTTCAATGAACAAAAGTTTGTTTTTAAACAAGTTTTTTTAAAAATTAACACAAAATGTAAGGCAAATATAATTTAGATCTTAAAACTATTCACCTTGCTGTCACCAAGCACCGTGCAAATAGGTATTCCAAGCATTTTAACATGTTGTTTGAGATTAGGCCCGATTGCTGTAGCCATCTGCTGCATGATTGCAAGCGTTTGCTGTACCTAAAACAAAGGAAATCAAGCAAAAATAACTTTGTTTTTTATTTCTATAGGATTTTACAATGTGAATTATGACTTTAAAGTGAAAACCAACTATACCACTTATATTTGGTGTGACCAAATTCATAACAGGTTCAAGTTCCCAATACCCAGATCAAATTGATATTTCACTCCATTGAGTCAAGAAAACCACGATCCCAAGATTAACCTCAAACTCCAGAGACATGAAAATTTTAATTCCGTTAAAGCCCGACAGCCCACAGAGTACTGGCAGTGTGCCCTCATTGTTCGAGATGCTGCCTTCAATTAAAATGTTAAACCAAGGCCCTGTCTGTCTGTTCAAGTGGACATCATTAAGATTCCATGGCACTATTCAAAAAGAGAATTTCTCCTGGTATTCTGACCAACAATCCCCCAAATAAGATTGATCATGCCCATTTGTGGGATACTGCTGTGCGCAAAACTAGCTGCTGTGTTTGGCTACAGTCACTACACTTTACAGTATCCTGTGGATCTTTGAGGATGATACCAAATGTAGGAATGTAAGAGTTATTCAACAACCAAAATGACAGCCTATATTTTATGGAGAACATGAATGGTAATCTATGGAGTGTTACTTACCAGAATCTTATTCGAGTCATTAAGCCGTCCTTTAAGTACTCCAGGAAGTTCTCCAATATTTGGCTGAATAACTTTGGCCTCATTTAGAATGGTACTCAATTCATCCAATCCTTCTTTCCTGATCTTCCAGTTTTTGTCTCCAATTTTGCCGACAAGTTCTGAAGTAATCTTGTCACTGTACACAAAATATATAAACTCAATTAGCAAATGTTTAGAGCAAGTCTCCTCTCCCCACTCTTGGTTAGAAAATCCAAAACATAAGATATAACCAATTGTATCAAGTTAAATAATATTGAGTCAAATGTTGACAGGACCTTTGCCAGCAAATACTCTGAAGTTCCATCAAAATAAAGCCTATATTTAATAGTTTAACATTAATAACAGAAGACATGCATGCAATTAATCCACTATATGCTAAGAAGATAGAATTCCACTATGTATTGTAATATTATGCAATAAAAATGTTTGGGATAACCTAAATTGATAGTTGCATCCAAGACCATAAAGAGACCTCAGCATTTCACAGGTGGATATAAAATGTAGAGGCTTGACATTATCAAAGCTTGTTGCAACTTCAATTTGTTTATGGAATTGGCCAAAGAAAAATGCTTAGAGATAACCTTATATCTGATCTTGGCAAATGATCTTGAAAATGCTGTCCACCGTCTTCCTCATCCTGATCTTCAGCTACTTCATCATCACCACCACCCCCACCACCACATTTAGATCCACCTCTCACAGGAACAGGAGGAACTTGTCCCTGCATCTGTGAATATGTGCACAAAGATTTACAAACTTTGTAATTTGATACATACATGATAGAAGGCAACAGCAAGGTTATAGGGGAGTGGATTAGGAGGTGGAGAATAAACACCAACATGGACAAGTTCGACTGAATGGATATAACTTTCTGTAGAAACTTGTGGAAGTTTCTTTGCAATCCAACACGAGTTCACTTTTTACAAAACACATTGTACTTTTAACAGGTACAACTAGAGTAATCAGTAATCAACATGAAAGTGCAAAATTCAACATTGTGGGAAGACTGCACTGCTTTTGTAACATTTACCTTCTCAAATTCAGCATCAATCTGTGACAACAAAGCTGGCTTCTCATCCTCAAAAAACATTCTGAGAGGTGCTCCCACATACAAGTACATCACACCCAGCAAAGTAACAGCAGATATTCGTACCGCCTACAGAAACAGCAGAGAAAATTTAAAAATTTAGTAGTAACTGCAGGAACATAAACATGTCGACTAATAAACGTAACAAATTGCATTTACATAGTGCCTGTCACGTCAGGAGAGTTCCAAGTGATGGGACAATCAAGGGTGTGTGCTTATCGGATACAAGAGGAGTGGGGACCAAGGGGAAGGGGGTGGGGAAAGAAGATGACCAAAGGCGTGGTCAAAGAGGAAGGACTTGAGATGGACCTTGGAAGGAGTCCAGGAAAGGGATTTAGGCATGGGGGTGTTAGAATTTACACTTTTTGTATAATGTTAAAATCATAATAGATGTTGCGAACGGGTTAACTTTCAATTTAAGTGTGGGGGACAACTGGACTGACACTCATGATTAACACTCAAGAGCAACAAAAGGCAACCCTCAAGAATAGCAGCTAACGAGCAAGTTACTTAAACTAGAGGACCTTGGTACCATCCCGGGATACTGATAAGAAATAGCCAGTCACTTAAAAGGAATGTACTAATGATCCCACCTAACAAAATAACAAGCATCAGATAACAGGGGTCTTAAGGACAATGTGATTGTGTGCTGAGGTACGTACACCCCATGAGGTGTTCACGTGAACCCAGCATGATTTCGACCAGGTGATCTATTGTCCGTATCATGATTGCACGAACATCGGTATAAGAGTTCCGATAACTTTGTGTACGGGGCCATCCCGGGCTGCGGAGACAAGGGTACGGGAGATGGAAGACTGAGAGCTAGAAACACTAAGACTGAGGATATCAGATGGAAGATTGAAAGCTGTAAGCAAGAAGACTGAAAGCATGAAGAATCAAGCTTGTGTGCTGTAAAGACAGTGTTGAACTCGAGATATCTACGGTGGTATTATTCTGTTATAAGATCTGTTGATTGTACCGGCCTTTGGTCTGACCCATCGGGATATTGGGGAATAGTGGCATTAGCAGAGAACGGGGGATGTGCCTGCAGAGCAGTTGGCAAGGACGGGTTGGCACGGTTTTAGAATAGAGTGGAGTAAGATCCAAGCTTTAACAGGTGAGGACAAGAACCTTGAACTTGATCCTTTGGGGAATGGGGAGCCAATGTAATCAAGCAACAACAACAACAACAACAAGATTCCATTTATAAAGCGCCTTTCACGTCAGGAGGACGTCCCAAGCAAGGACAGGGTTGATAGGCCCAGAGCCTGGTGCGGGAGAGGACATGAGAAAAATAATTTTGAACAATCTGCAGGCTATAGAGGGAAGACCAGCAGGCAGTGAGTAACATCGTCCCAAATGGAGGTGATTAAAGCATGGATAAGGGTCTTGACCTCCCGAGAAGAGGTAGTGGCAGAGGCAGGAAATGTCACAAAATGCCTACTTACAGGGTTTGTAGCAGCCAAAGCAGTCTTCACATTACTAATGAAAGCCTTCACATTTATCCTGAGGGAAAAAGTTGTACAAAAGATCAACATTGAATATCGTGCAAGAGAAAGACCTTTCCAGTATACACCGCAGAGCTCTTTTACGTCGCCATAGTTGGGTCCATAAAATCCCAACTAACCTCATAAACGGGGCACACACGCCAGCCAGCACTCGTGCATTGTAACGTCACTAATCACACATTATGCAGGCAGAAAGCAGAGCAGCTTCCTGTGCTGAGTTAAGCGAGGGTTGGAAGCAACCCAACAACCTGGATGTCCACTATTTTGAGAACGGGCCAACCAGTCAAGAGTCCACAGGACACCAGTATTAAATAAACCCGCATTATAACATGTGTTATAAGGGGGAGAGAAGTCAACCAAGTGTCTGACACATGCAGAAACCCATCATCTTGATTAACAGTATCCAAACCAACGAGTTCCACTCATCCTGCCTCTACATAGAGGTCAACAACCATTGACAGTATTCCAGCCAAGGTAGGCTAATTATTTAAACAGCTCTAATGCAAATCTATAGGAGATAAATAGCCTTTATCAGTTTAGAAATAGTGAAGTTAAGCAGTATTAGACTTTAACCTACCCAACAAATCCAAACTCCTTGATCGCATTTGCCAACCAGTTCAGGACTTCGGATTGGTTTTTAGGATTTTTGTGTGCAAAAGCCATTGCGACGACCTGTGGACAGCAAATTGCAAAACTTGACATTTTATTCATTCCTTAGCATTAAAGTACAAATTCAACTGCGATTCCAGATCAGGGGTGGCACAGGTGTGGTTCTTTACATGCTAAGGCAACCAGTTCCCGGTTGATTTTCACTTTCAGATATTGAAGAGCACCTATCAAGCATCTTACATACCTGTTCAGCTGTCCATGGAAGGGAGCACACATCTGCTATTGCAGTAAGTGCTTCTTTTGCTTTCATTCCACATTTTACATCTCCTATTTTGTCAACCAGACCATCCAATACAACTTCTGCTGATGTTGTGGAAAAATTCCCATTTTTGGCAATCAGTGCAACAATATGCAACTTCATCTGCATCACCTAAAACACAATTTATGAAGCCAAGCACACCAATTAATATCAGTTTGCAGCAATAAATTGAATAAATCTGATGAGTACTTGTATTCGTACTCATCACAGTATATACAAATAACATCTGATAGTCTATGCCTAGAAGCCTGCCCATTTCATATAATTAGAAAGCATTTTTCTATAAGATGCTTGGCCAATGATTTGTTCACATTTCAAAAGCACTTCACAGGATATTACTGAAAGTACAGTATTCAAGTACCTTACAAATAGAACAGGTAGTTGGGATCTCAGTTTAAGGAGGACAGCATTCTGTAGCTCAAAAGTAATCATACCTGGAAGTTAGTTTCCTTCCAGCCTGGTTTTTTAGCCAGCATCCGTACTAGTGCCTGGCAGGGCATCTGCCTCATCTCGGTGACTTCTACTCCCTACAAAAGGACAGCGGATAAGCACCAATATGAATAAAATCACATGTATTCTTAAAGCAAGACAGAAATTCTATTCCTTTCTGAACACAGCAAAAGGGTGAATGTTGTGTTGGCTCACTGAAGGTACACAAACATTTAAAGATTATTCAGGACAAATTTCACAATTCATTAAAACAGCTGTAAGAACAGCTACAGTTTTTGGTGAGCTGCTGGGTGTCTGACACTTGCAGAAACCCATCACCATACTTAAAAGAGGATCGAAACCAAGTTTCAAGCATCCACCTACCTATGGAAGCTCTCATATCAGGATGGAATGCGCACTCTCCCACTGGATGGACGCATCTAGTTTACCTAATTCCAGAGAGTATTAGGTGCAAGCTGGCATGAGAGAAGACTTCGGGATCCCAGAGTGAGCGTTGGGGTTTAGTTGGTTAAAACAACATATCTTAAAAGCACTATTTAGTAAGCTTTCTAGCTGCTTGTCCAGCTGAGACAACCTACTCATTAGGGCATTGACTTGCTGGGTTAACAGAAGTGGGACTGGTCCAGAGTGATTGGCATGCCCTCCAAGTCCCATTGATGAGCCAAGTTGCCTGGGCTGTCATCAGCAGTGCCTTGGAATATGTTCTGTGGACCCGTTCAGCTCAAGAACTGGACGACCACAACAGTCATTCCATTGCTATGCATGGCCTTTTGGAGCCAGTTCAGCTCCAAGAAGATCCCACTTACCCAGACCCTAGTCATTATATGTAGAGTAAAAATTAAAAATCCAATACCTTTTGAAATTCCTCCATGCTGGCCAGCCTTTCTTTCCAGTTACCACTGTCAAGTAGCTGCAGGCAGGAGGCTGGCAACACAGCTGCTGCTTTCTCTTCACATACTTCAATCTGAAAACATTGTGAAGAAAGTGAAAATTCTAATTACAAATATAATAGTAATCCTTGTATTTGATATAGCGCTTTTCACGTCTTCTAGACGTCTCAAAGCGCTTCACAGAATACTCTAAAGTGAATTGACTGTATTTAAGAACAGTGATTTGGCAATGTTAATGATCTCACTATTATTGGGATTTATTCATCACATCAGCTGACTCCCTTCAGGACTTCGCTGACAGTCAGCAATATGTTCTGCTGTAGAGAAACTGGCTTAGCCATGTTCGATCATTAAGGTTTTTTGTTTTGGAAGTTGTAACATCCAGTGAGAACTGTGCTAGACCCACTTTTAGAGTGCGGTGGATATTTTGTAATATTTGATTTTGCACAGCAAAAGATGAACCTAATTTCTCCCAGGAAATCGAATTTTCAATTAATAGGCCCGCTAGGACAGGTTTTCCTAATTTCAAATCAATTCCATGAGACAAATAGCTTACTTCTGTTAGCAGTGAATTAATAATAATAATAATCCTTGCATTTGATATAGCACTTTTCACGTCGGGAGGACGTCCCAAAGCGCTTCACAGAACACACTGTAAAGTGAATTGACTGTATATTTGTGGGCGAACGCGGCAGCCAATTGCGCACAGCAATGTCCCACAAACAGTCGTAGATTGAAAATGACCAATTTTTTTTTATTATTGTTTTTGGTTTTGGAGGGATTATTATTATTAGGCCTGTGGAGTAAGGAAACTTGCCCAAGGTTTCGCCCTGCCTGGAATTGAACTCAGGTCTCTCACTTGCAAAGCGAGTGCTCCAACCACTGAGCTACAGGACTCCAAATTCCCACTCACAAACAATTACAAAGTTAAATTCTGGTTCCCATCCAAATTCACAAGAATGAACATTCACTTTTGTAGAAGGGAACCAGAAAATCCTACCCAGTTCTGCAAAATATTCTATTGAACATGACCTCCTATTTTAGCTCCAATACAAAAAGGTGAAGAAAGGCAGCTTCTCATATTCCAAGAGACAATGGTTAAAAAAAACTTACAGAAAGCTCAGGTTCTCTCTCTTTAACTTCTGTTGCTTTTCTCCCTTTCCCACTTGAAGAAGCCCCTCCTGCTCGGCCTTTTTTAGGAGGTCCACCAGTCTGCAGAATAATAAATAAAACATTTGTAAATAATTTAACAACTGAACTTGAATTGATATAAAACAACTTGTTTATATTGAAACCTTCACGTGGGATAGCGTCCCAGAGCAATTGAATATACATTTAATAATCACATTTTAAATATTAATGCTTGTCCAATGCAAATCAGTTGAATAAAATTGTGAATGATCCTGCGAGTTAACTCGAATAGTGCTATTTGGCAGACTAAATTAATTGTATACATTTTAAATGCTTAAAGCAATGTTTTGGAGATAATGGCATGGATATATTTTAGCCAAATAAGTTGAATGTGTGGAGTCCTGTAGCTTAGTGGTTAGAGCACTTGCCTCACAAGCGAGAGACCTGGGTTCAATTCCCAGGAGGGTGAAACCATGGGCAAGTTTCCTTACTCCACACGCCTGATAATAATCACTCAAGAAAAAAAAACGCAATAAATTGGTCACTTCGCTCCATGACCGTTTGTGGGACTCTACTGTGCACAATTGCTGCCATGTTTCACTCACAAATATACAGTCAATTCATTTTACAGTATATTCTGTGAAGCACTTTGAGATGTCTTGAAGACATGAAAAGTGCTATATCAAATACAAGGATTATTATTAAGTGCTGAATATCAAATCCACATCCACTCCTAGGCAAACAAAGTTCCTTTTCATGTTCTGAACTTGATTTTTGAAGGCAATAATTTACTATGTGACCAATGTAATCCATTGCCTAATAACCGAAGATGTCTATTCTTGCACATCATACCTTGCCTGCAGGAGCTTTCTTTGAAGGTCCGCCAGGTTTGGCTACAGGAGCATCTACTTTGTCACCACCTGATGTAGATGGACCAGCTTTTCCTTGAGGAGCAGCAAACTTTCCTTCCTTTGACACACCAGATGCATCCTTCTTCCCATGACCCAATTCTATTTTATCTGAAGATTCTTTGATCTGAAATATTTTTAAGAGGCAACAGCAATGAAGGGTCAACATTCAAGTTAGAATGCCCAATGCAGTTTCAAAATCATATCAATGAGCAAAAAAGGCACTATACAAATGTAATTTTGTTATTGTTTGTTATGTACATAAGAACATAAGAAATGCTGGACGAAAAAAAGACCAAGGTCCATCTAGTTCACTTTCCACCTTCCTGGGGGTCGCATGCACATATGTCCCAAACTGCTTTTGGACTTATACATCAAAAAGGACAGATTGGAATCGGAAGGCAATAAGGTTAGCTAGAAACGTATGGAGAACGTCAGCTTTAAAACCATTATTTTACATTACAAACTCACCCTATCAAGCTTCAGTTTATCCACATCAGCAAGGAAAGGATTCATTACTCTTTCACCAACCACTTTTAGTGCAGTACCTAGTGCTTCGAATGCAGCATCTCTCACGTCAGCGGCAGAATCATTAATTTGCTGTAGAGAATCAGAATACATTTGTATCAGAACAAATATTGTCACTAATTCAGAATAAGGGCTGGGAATTAAATTTAAATTGCACGCACGTGAAAATGCAACTCAGCATTACATCAGTTAACCTTACCTTAAGCAGTGCAGCACAAATTGGTTTTAGGAGACTTTTTGGCAATGTGGATGGAGTACAGTGACGGAAACTTCTTGCCAAGAAGAGTGACGCTTGCTGCTTGATTGATGGGTTTTTGTTGTCCATCACAGCAAGTACATCTTCACTTAAGTTTTGCAATGTAGTCTGAATACAATCATTAGCAATAGTGTTATTGAGATAAAAAATATTCTCGCCATCTCTCTTATAGCAAAAATTTGGTAAATCTCTTATACCAGGATTTTAGTCAATCAGAAACTAGAGATATCTAGGCCATTTATCTAAATAGTGCAAACACCCCAACCGAAGCACTAACACCCCAATTGACGCAAAATGTAGCCCACTTTGGTAAGAACCAAGCTGAACTGTACTGAATAACAATATGCAAAAAGGATAAAAATCAACATTGTGCTGTGGTTACCACAGTGAACTGCATTTAGTCTGCTGCTTCATGCCATACTTCAACCCAAGGTACAAGAAGGAATTCTCAAATATCATTGAAACTTAATTTACAAGCTTTGCTCAAAAACGCTTTTACAAAATTTTACAAAATTAACCTACTGTCCCACCTCGGTCAACATTTTATACTTACAAGTTCTAATTTGGTACTTACTGTGAGAAAGACTGCATCAATAGCTTCTTGCAAGGCCTGAACCACCTGAGGTTTCTTCTCTTTAAATTTTTCCAATAATGTTGGCACCACCTTGAAGAAGTCCAATCAACAAACACAATTTGATGGAAATTGCACTTTATCAAAATTGTAGTCAGCTATAATGCCTTCCAAGGTTCAATGGCCTACAAATTCTAACTATCAGGCTCATTCACAGATTAAGAGTTACTTAGGTGAGTTGACGTATGAAACACTACCTCAAGTAAGAGAACACACACCTTTAAGGAGGGGACTTTGATGTTTAAGCTGTGGTATAAAAGTTAAATAGGAAGCACAAGGATTATCTTAAGTTTACTGCAGCTAAAAAAATTATAGGACAAGGTTGACATGCAGCAACCAGAAACATTCTCACACTAGAGTGTGAATTTGCCTAGGGAGAAAGAATTAAGATGGGATGCATCAGATACTATATGGCACAGTGAAGAGTTTTGACAGTACAATACAGGAAATATCATTGGTGGTGATCCGACAAACTCAGAAGTCAGCTATATTTTAGCATGTGGGAAGCTGACTTGTCAACACATCTGACATGCAGCGCACGCGCCTAGTAAGGGAGCACCTTATAATGGCGTACACAGCATGAAATCTATAAAATAAGTGAAAATTGAAAAGCCATTTTTTACTCAAATATTATTGAAACTTACATGAACAGCGTGGGACTGGAACTTTTTCCTGAGACCAGTTGCTAAACCACAAAGACATTTTGCACCCAAGGTCACAAGCATTACATTTGTGTCCTTTCCAATAACCTAGAAAAAAATAATTAAATAAAATGCGAGCTTCGTGCACCAGAGCAAAACGTAGGACTACCTGGAAGGTCAATAGAATATACATTTATACAATGCCTTTCACATCTTACAACTCTTATAGCCCAATATAAGTTTGCCAATTACAATGTTATAATCAGCAAAAATATTTTCTGTTATTGTATATTAGTTATTGTAAGCTAATAACGAGAACAGTATGTTTCCTTTCAGACGTGTACTCTTATATAGCTAAATTTAAAAAAATATTGCTGCCCAACCAATTCTGATCACTGCTGTTAGTAGTGATCAGTATTAAAGTTTGCTCGATTCCAGCTACTATGACCAGCTACTATGAAGTTGATTTTTTTATCATCACTCATTGTTCTCTTATTGAGCAGAGAAAGAAATATTCAAAACTTCTACATGAAAATTAAAGGATCATTAAAGTTAATTATCCATAAAATAAAAACAGATTTTTTTCTTTCAAAGATAGGAGGGAAAAAAACAATTTATTTTGGAAAAGATTAGGATAGCACAACTTAACATTTACACCCAGGCTGAGGTGAATGGATTCAATATTGACATGTTACAACTGTAATTACCTTTTTAAGTGCTCTCACAAGATCAGTATAATCTCCAGATTCTAGCTTGGGGTTTTTCACAAGCACCTCAAGAGCGTCCAGAGTTTCTTTCCTCTCTTGCCATTTCTTAGCCTCCTATTTATATTAAGAAAGAATTGAGGGCAGTTAAGCAGTACACAGAACTTTAACAAGCATGGTAACACAACATTTATATAGTGCTTTTCATGTCAAGAGGGCGTCCCAAGACAGCTTAACAAGCCTGGTGATGGGGGAAAGGAGCTGAAAGATGACCGAAAGCAATGTCTGAGGTAGGTCTTGAGATGGATCTTGAAAGAGGTGAGAGAAAGCGAGTCGGAGGGACTCCAGAATGGAGTTCCAGAGAGAGGGGGCAGATGGACTGAAAGCCCCAATGCAAACATAGGGTAGGGGACATTAAAAAGGCCGACGCATGCTGAGTGAAGAAAGTAGCTGTTTGGTATCGTTTGATGTTGCATAGGTAGGATGGGATAAGGCCAGATGGAGCGATGCACCCACCACCCTGCCCCACCCCGAGCACTGGAATATCAGCCTGGACTATACCAGTTCAATATCCCCATGTGGAGATTGACTCCAGAACCTTCTGACTCAGACAAAAGTGCTATTAATGTACTAAAGATTTAAATATTTTTTAATGCATACCAAATGTATACTTACAATTTTTTCATAAAAATCCTTTGGAAGCTTTGAAAGAATCTCAACAGACTGTAGAAGATCATAAGCATCCACAATAGGTGCTGCATCTTCCTCACCATCTAAGATACACAACAAGCATCACTGTGAATTTGATCTTAAAAATATAAAGTTTTTAAAAGTTAGAGCAATGGATTATTTTAAAAAATAATAGATTATGGGGTGGGTGGGGATAATTCTGCGTTCAGAACATGTTGACAGTGTGCAGTTAGTTGCAATTGGGACACATTGTTGTGCGTGATAATCTAACTCACACATCATCCCTTCAAGACTGTTAGTTCAGAGAGGCGGATGGTCAAATAGCTATTTTACAGATAGACAAGTCAAGTTTGTTCTCTAGATTTCCCATCACAACACGGGCAGAACGTAGAAAGACTTTTGAGACAAACAAAATGACAATTGGGCAGTTTGTATAATCTCTTAATTATATAATGACCAGTCTTGGTTATTCTCAACAAATACAAAATGACACCAATGTTAATCTAACTTCATTACACGTTTAAATCTTACTTTCAAAAATGAACTTGAATGTTATACTAAATAAATCAATTACTCTAATTCATAACACTTTATGACCTCCTAAATTTCTAGTTAGTATGAATTATAATTTTTCATAAGGAATGAGATATTGGATTGATCGATCAAACTTTTCCTATCAGATCTGCTAGTGTGTGCAGTTCATTTTTGCTTAAATATGAACAAGGTTCTTTTCTACACGTACCCTAAATGCATGTTAAAAGTTCAAATTAATGTCTTCAAAACAAAAGCAAAATATGTAATAAGGCCAAGATTCTGGTTTGTAAATTGCTGCACAAAACTCGCCATATAAACTAGATTTGATAAATGCATGTTCATTATTCCAAATTTAGCAATCAAATTAGTATCCAATCACATATTTATTTCCAAATGGGATCTTAAACGTGCCAATATTAGTGCTCATCTTCAAAAATGAAAGGAACAGCAATTCAGCAAGTTGCCAAAAAAACATTGAATACACATCCATGTTTGACCAATTTACCCATTTTCCTACTACAGCATTTTACTGACCTTCGGCATCACCGCCTGCTGCTTGCTGCTGTTCAAATTTAAGTTTGCGATCGTGCTGAGATCGCAGAAACCGGCACTGTTTCGGAGCTGTAGCTGGCAACTTAACCCATTCTTCTTCGAGTTCTTTCAGCTGAGTAGAGAAAAAAAGTGCAAATTGGCTGCTGAATTCCCATAACATTTAAATTTAGAAATCATGGGCATATAGCATAGCAATGTACAGCATTAATACCTAATAGTAAACATCCAAGAACACAACTCATACCTGCACACTGTTGATATTTTGCAGTGGTGGTCGCAAGGCATCACGAATCCACTTGTAGACTTCCACTGCCAACAGCTTGGCTTCATCTCGAACTGCTTTTTCACGCGATTCAAACAATTTTGGCAAGACCTTGACAATTGGCTTCAGTTGCACTATTTTAGAACCAAATTCACTTAAAAAAAAATTTGAGAAAAGCTTTAGAAGTTATTATTATATCAATGTGGATTTGCTGCTAGGCACTCGTTAAAGTTGAGTAAAATGCAAATGTAATACAAATCTATAAATGATGCAGTTACGAGTTCCAACCAGACAATAAATTTATTGCAGACACTAACTGCAACTATGTAACTTTAGGCAATTTTCTGACTTAAATCAAGATCTAAAAATAAAACAGTGCAAAACATCAATACATCAGAAAGAAAGTTTACTTTCCCATATATATATTTCTCCATTACTAATTCTATATTTACCTGAGTGCCTTCCTTATAGTTTCTATACAGGCCACATTAACCTTGGGGTTTTTGTTGTCCAATCCTTTAAGTAGCTCTTCTTGAACTGGCTCAGCCTTTTCTATTTCTATGTACATCAGACAAATGTCAATCCCCAATTCTTTTGCTCTGGCTTTTGGCTGGTTAAATACTTTATTTACAACTCCTGACACCACCTCTCCAGCAGTTCTGTAATTATAAGAGAAAAGTATTGAGTACAATTCATCATTGTGGAGTCCTGTAGCTCAGTGGTTAGAGCACTCGCTTTGCAAGTGAGAGACCCGAGTTCAATTCCAGGCAGAGGGCCAAACCTTGGGCAAGTTTCCTTACTCCACACAGAGCCTAATAAAAATCCCTCCAAAACCAAAAACCAATAATAAATTGGTCATTTTCAATCTACGACTGTTTGTGGGACATTGCTGTGCGCAATTGGCTGCCGCGTTCGCCCACAAATATACAGTCAATTCACTTTACAGTGTGTTCTGTGAAGCGCTTTGGGATGTCCTCCCGACGTGAAAAACGCTATATCAAATGCAAGGATTATTATTATTATTATTTCACTTCACCCAATTCAACCGTAGACAACTCCGAGGTGCAATTATTTGGTAAGAAGACACATTAAAGGCTTCATTTAAAGCAATTTGTGATCCTGTCACAAATAGTACAGAAATAAGCCACAAGTACTGAAGTCCTGACCCTTTAGCACTTACTATAGCGCCATACAAAATAGTCCTTAGTTCATATTAGGGTATTGAAGGTTTATCATATTGTAAAGGTACTTACTTTCCTGCAACATGGGCACGTTGTACATAAGCAAATGTTGCTTCCAGTCCTTTCAACTGAGCTATAGCATTTGAGTCGGTTACAAATTTCTTGATCAAGCCAAGGTATTTTGCCCATTCTGGATTTTTTTCATCACTAATCTTCTGAAACAACTTCAAAGCTTCTTCATAGCCATTCAATCGAGCTTTCCAGATCTGAAATTAAGTATTTTTCATTTTCACAATAAGTATCCGGAGCTATTTACATATAGTACGTCATACAAATGTTTTTCAAGAAAGACAAAATGGATGCAGTAAAGGCGTGTTGCACATACTTTATGCTCGCACTTCTGGTCAATTGGCAGCTTCATCCATTCACTTTCATCCGCCATGACGACAATGTGATGTGTTCAATGGGTTGCCTTATTCCTGTCATAGGAATAAATATAGTTAATAAATATTCATTAGTTTATATTCACGATATTGCTTTCCAAACCTCTTTAAGAGGTTCTACTACGCCTTCGTAATCAGTTATATTTATCCTGAAATACTGAGAGCAGAACAAAATTGTCTTAGCTTGCTTTTGCAAGGTGATATTCACAGACTTGAAAAAGTTTTAAAATGCTGGTAGACCAACTGAATTACATCAGTTTCCAGGAATCAAAATCAATATCCTTACTTCTGAAGACTAAAGCAGTTTCCATGCAGCACTGAAGTCAGAAAGACTGTAATAAGCTCCTGCAAATCTTAAACAGCAAGTACTGTATAGATCAGATAGATTTCACTTCCTGTTAAAACCCTGTCCTAACTGCCTTAAAAATTAAAGTAAGCTAACCCACCTGTCAATGGCCTAGAACAGAGGTTTCTAATTATATTCAGAAGAGGTCCACAAATCTCATTGATGAAAGTTAAATACTCAGATTGGAATGTGTAAGCTTCAAATAAATTGCAGTTTGATGGGAGACAATTATCAGTTTGTCACCGAGGTCAATTTTTCTCCTCACAAATTTAAATCATTGACTTTCAAACTTTATACATCATATTCTTCTTCTTACCAATGTTCTTTCTGCATTCTTATCAATCCCTCAATAGAAATTTCACATCCTTCTTCCTCCTTTGACTACTGCTGCTCTCCTCCCACACTCATGTGCTGACCCTGTCTTTGCCTGATCTGGCTCAACCTGTACTTTTTAATTTCTGGCATTTGTTAATAGAGACTCGCCTCTATTAACCTATCCTGTTAGTTATATATATATATATATAGATATGTGTGGAGTCCTATATGGTGTCCTGTAGCTCAGTGGTTAGAGCACTCGCTTTGCAAGTGAGAGACCTGAGTTCAATTCCAGGCAGAGGGCGAAACCTTGGGCAAGTTTCCTTACTCCACACGCCTAATAATAATCCCCCCAAAACCAGAAACAATAATAAATTGGTCATTTTCAATCTACGACTGTGGGATATTGCTGTGCGCAATTGGCTGCCGCGATCGCCCACAAATATACAGTCAATTTACAGTCTATTCTGTGAAGCGCTTTGGGACGTCTAGAAGACCTGAAAAGCGCTATATCAAATGCAAGGATTATTATTATTGTTATCCCTCCTACCTCTTCGACCTGCTAACCAATTTATTAATCTGTCCGCTCCCTCCGCTCAGCAGGCTCCGAACTGTTCCATGACCCCTGCCTGGCCTGCCCCACCAATGGCGGTCCGGCCTGCAGCCTCTCTGTCCCCACCTTCTGAAACTCCATCCCACACTCCCTTTGCCTCGCTTCCTCCCTTCCCTCCTTCAGGGCATGCCTCAAGACCTTCCTCTTCAACTGTGCCTTCGGCTACCCTCTCTACCCTCCAGCCTTCCTGATCCCAACCACCCCCCAGCCCACCCGAGTCCCATTTCCTCATCCCTGACTGTTCAGTGCCTTGGGACATCCTGCTGACGTGAAAGGTACTTTACAAATGTCATTTTGTATTGTATCTTTCTCCACTATCAACTACCTCAGCTTCCCAACACTGCTGATCTTCCAGCACTATAACCTCTCATGACAGAAATCTGGGAATCGGAATATATAATTGCATGAATTAATACAAATGTACCATGAATTAATTAACACAACTGGTTAATTTTCAAATGCTGTGACTATTGTAGACAAAACAGCTAATCAAATGCAAAGAATTGCAGGATTAACCATTATTAATTTGTCGCAGAAATATCCCACAACATGTAAAATGAGCTGACTGAATAAAAAAAATCTAGTTCTGGGTGAGACATTATATTGCCGAGTACACAAGAAGAATTAGAGAATGTTACATTTCCATCATATAACCCTGTACATCGACCTGGATAAAAGAAAAAGGTACCTGTTAAAATAAACACCACTACAATGATTACATAACTAATGATGAAAATATTTACATTTCTCCATTTTCATCTAGGCTTCACTGTTCTCACAATTTAAAAATGCTGCAATACAAAACCTTTATATTGAGCATTATTTTCATAGAACAAGTGAATGCTTTGTCTTAACTGTTTGCTCTGTATGAACACAATTGTTTTCCATAATAATAATCCTTGCATTTGATTTGATATATATGTCGAGACATCTCAAAGCGCTTCACAGGATATACTATAAAGCGAATTGACTGTATATTTTGTGGGCGAATTGCAGCAGCCAATTAATTGCGCACAGCAGTGTCCCACAAAGTCACTGATTGAGTGACCACCATTTTTAAAAAAAAGGGATTATTATCTTCAAAAACGCTATTCACCAATTGACTAACAACTGGGTCCTACTTACTGCTAGTTAAACAGAGGTGTGTGGAGAAAGGAAACATGCCCAACATTTCACCCTGCCCAGGAATCAAACCCAGGTGCTCTCGGTTTCAAGGCAAGTGCTCTAACCACTAAGCTACAGGACTCCACACTCCACAGGACAATACTACTCATCATTTTTTAACAAAAGTATTACTACAGCTATCAAAGGCAATCACAGGAAAGCTGCCTTGTGACGATCAACCTTGCTGCTCTAAACCTTCCTCCCAACATGATTTACCATTGTTGACATTCAAAATTGCTCCCTCTAGCTCAATTGAAAGGAATGGATTTCAAGGCATCCCATTCACTAGTGTTTCAAAAACAGCTTGAAGTAACCTTAGTAAGCATAGTGGAAAGAGGGAATAGAACATGAAGAATCACAAGAAGAAAGAAAACAAACAATTCTCACTGTAAGAAATTTGAAACACAACAGATAAACTAAAGACAGAAATGACAATGATGAAGAAAAGAAAGCAACTTTCAATCACTCATAATAGATATGTTGCATAGTGTTGGGTCATTCCACCAACCTCTCCCTTTTCAAAGAAACTATTTGAAAATATTATCCCCATACACTTCTTCTGAAACAAAAGCACTCTTGTGATGCAGCAAATTACTGTGCTTCTTGAAAGACTATACAGGAAAAAAGAATTAAGATATGTTGAGTATATAAAGGTCTATAAAAGTTGCATTAGACATCGTCAAAGCCAATTTAGAAACTACAGAGCCTGAAAAGTTCCTTTCTAATTTGCAATTCCTTTCTACATTATCTTTGGTGTATGGATCAAGAATGCAGTACAAGAACAGGAAGACATGGGAAGAAGTAACAGAAATTGACCTGGTAGAAGCCAGGTGAGGGCTCCCATGATTGGGTGGACATTGACAGGGAATTTTTAATTAACTTGAGTTTATGGCTAGTGCAGGAAGGGGATCCATTAGAGAAGTTTTGGCAGGAGGCAACAAAAGTATGAATAACGGCTTTGACTACATTTGGTAAGATAGAAATGCAAGTGGGCAATGTGGCAGAGGTGAAAACAATAATTCCTGGAACATCAATTTAATTTTTTGGGGGGTAAACCAGTTGTCTGACACAAGTAGAAACCCATCACCATACTCAAGTATCCAAACCAATACGTTTGCCACTCACTCATGAAAAATTTTCAGTATGGAATAGAATGGGCATTCTCTCTCTAGAGGAATACACCACGCTTAACTAATTCCTGGGAGTTACAGCACAGGTTGGCAAGAGCCACCCCAAGGCACACAAGCTCTATAGTGTGTGGGTGCTGCTGGAGTTCAACCAGCTAAAACCGCACATCTTGCTTTTGAATGCACTGTCTGGCATGCCTCCCATTTGTTTCACACATCTAGGACCATCCTAACAGTTACAGCTTTGTTTTGGAGGATTAACAGGAGCCGAGTGGGACGAATCCCTGCCCCCAGAGCAGCCTGCCAGTCCAAATCCTACCAATGAGCACTATCTGGTCTGTCATCAGCAATACTGCAGACCTGCCTGGAACGTTGTTACCAAAGCAGGTCTGTCACCTTGCAGCCATCTCAGCTCCCAAAGAGACCCTGCTTACCCCTCCCTCCCCCCACACAAAAAAACCGACAGATAAACAATCTGAGTTTGGGGGATTACGGGGCTTGTTTGCTACACATTGTGCTTTCACAGCGATGTAATTGATTAACCAATTCCAAACTGACATTTCACAGGGCAGCCAAGGACCCCGGGTGGTGAAAATGGCTGCACTTCACACAAGTCAGACCAATACGGGGTTATTGTGATCCCGCCCACCACGTTTAAATCCACTATCTTTATTTTGACGGCTTGTGTTGCAGATCCATCACCTGGAGAAATGGAAATAAATGTACGTGGGGGCGGCTTAACTGGTAGGACGCTTATTGTCCATTCAGATTCAGCACATTCGGGTCAAATGTTCGACAGGCTTCACATTACCACCCCCCACACTTAATGTGGGCTCATTCGGCGGATGGGTTTCACAAGTTAAAACAATACAAGCAGGGGCCAGACTCATTTAAAAAGATAACCACACAAGATGCCTTCATCAAACCACCGCCGAGTCGGGTGCTGTGTGGCGGGGGGGCAGGGCCCCATCCACAGGCCGGGGTGAAAGAAAGTGCTCGGCCTTTCTTTTTTGTTACTCAATGGACATTAAAAACAAGAGCGTCGTTACCAGACAGCGGGGGGGGGGGGGGAGTTCAGCTGATATTTAAACCTCCGTGTGTGTGTGAGATTGATTGTAACACAAAAAATAACACCGTTCAAGTGCTCGGGGAGGCGCGGGGGGAGGGGGGGGGGCGGAGGAGGGGAAGGGCACAGGATTTCAAGCCTCTCCGCTATTAACACCCGCACAACCCCTTGTAAACGCTTCCCTTTGCGTTTTCGAAGCTGCGAACGATCAACCCCGGGCGACGGCCACCGGCACCGAGCACCGTGATAACGAAAGGGGGGGCGGTCTGAGGGAGAAGAAACCAAACCGCCGGTTGCCCCCGTCTCACAATCTACTCCCTCCCCTCCCGAGACTAAAACAGGCGGCGGCCTCGGCCTACTTATACAACATATATATACACACACACACAGAGAAGAGTATATTAGATATATATATATATATACGTGTAGGTGGAGATCAAAATAAACTGTGACTGCGCAACGACGACAGAAATTGCGACGCCAGCGCGATTCAAAGCGTCCGTCCGCAAACAGCCAGTCTTGGGCCCGGGATGGGGGTGGTTGGGGTGGTGGGGGGGGGGGTGGGGGGGGGGGAGAGAAGGAGGAGTTCAGGCTTCATTGTGTAAAGTGGGCCCCCCCATTCCTCCCTCGGCACACCGGCAGCGATACAGAAAGGGAAGGGTGGAGGTGGAGGAAGACGAGGGCGCGCATTTCCCTTTCAACATTCGGCCTTTATGATCCACACACAACAAAAAAAAAACCTCCCTCTTTCTCTCTATCCTCCCTTTCCTTCTTTCTTTCTTTCGGGTCATTTATTCTCAGCTCACCTCCCCTTTTCCCCCCGGGGCCACTCGTTAGCCGTTACCGCCGTTTGCGTCTGTATGGCCGCTGCCCCCCCACCTTCCTCCTCCTCCTTCCGCCCGTTTGGCGGATCGGGAACCGTTAGCGACGGGCAGCGTATTTGAAAATTCTCCTGTCGCGAGCTTATCTTTTTTTTCCCGCCCCCTCCCCCTTCGCCGCGTCACGCCTCACCTGAGTGGTGGACGGCCAGTTCCGCCCCGTGACGGCCCCCGCTGATTGGTCCGATTTAAATTTCAACGGACGGCGTGGGGGTGGTGGTGCTGGTGGAGGGAGGGAGGGAGGGGAGGGGCGGGGAGCTCGCGGGAGCTCCTCCCCCTCCTCGGGCGGCGCCGCCGTCGTCGGGGCGGGGCCTTTGTGACGTCAGGGCGGCGGCGGCGGACGTGCGGCGCGCGCAGCGCATTGGCCTCGTGACCGTTGTCAGGGTTTTTTTTTGAACCCTTTGTTGACTTGTTGCCATGGGACTGACTCAGTGGCTGAGGGGGGGGTGTGTGTGTGGGGGTGTGTGTGGGTGTGTGTGTGGGGGTGTGTGTGGGGGTGTGGGTGTGAGGGTGGCCGTGCCCAGAGGCTTCAGGACCGAGGATGTTTATGAGCTACGCAACAAAAGCAACGATATGTTTGGAAACGGTCGATCCGTTCATTGGAACAAACGAGTGGGGGGTGGGGTGGGGAGTGGGGGGGTGGGGTGGGGAGTGGGGTGGGGTGGGGAGTGGGGTGGGGGGTGGGGAGGGGGGTGGGGGGGGTGGTTGCGGTTTTAAGACAAACTGGTGAAAAATACGCCGTATCCGGTATCGGCGTCGGGACGATACTACTACTACTACTACTGATCCTCGCGTTTGATACGGCCTTATCACGTGGTCGAGAGACGCCTCAGAGTGCTTCGCGGGATTACGCTGCGAAGTGGAGTGACTGTGCGTTTTGTGCAAGCGAGAGGACCCGGGTCCGAATCCTGGGCAGAGCAAAACATTAGGCAATGTTCCTTACTCCACACGCCTCTCTGTTCACCCAGCAGTAAGTAGGAATCCGGTTGTTAGTCGATTGGCGGATCGCCTTTGTGGAGATAATAATCCCTTCAAAAGAAAATAATAATAATTTGATCACGCAATCCACGACTGATTGCGGGACACTGCTGTGGGCAATCGGCTGCCGTGTTTCGCCCACAAAATATACAGTCAATTCACTTTATAAGTATATTCTGTGACGTGCTTTGAGACTTCTCGATGATGTGATAAAGCGTTATATCAAATGCATTTGATATAGTGCCTTATCATTTCTCGAAGCACTTCACCAGATGTTCCACAAACTGTAGTGGCTGTGCATTTGCAAGCATTTATTTTGCAATAACACGGAGGCAAAAATTGGTCAATCTCATGCGTGTAATATAAATCATGCATGGGAATAGCCACAATTTGGATGTAGTTAATTAATCATCACTTTTCTCTGACTGAAAGGCTTTCTGGAGGAATGGAACCATTTTGTTAGTGTACTTTTTTTTAATATAAAAATGCAGCCCTTAATCTAAATGTAAAGTTAGGTGTAAATATATCATGAATAATTATTCCTCTGCACTGTATCTACTAAAATCTTAAAAGTGAAAACCTGTCATTTCAGGCATTTGTGAAGTGGGTAGAATGATCTATTACACCATTGTTTTATTTGCCCAAATCATATGGAATGTAAAAAGGCAAAGGCATTCTGGCACTTGATGAACAAACCCACATGAGGACTCTGGTTACTATTTTCTGAGCAATAGATTTTCATGCATAAAATATAATTTGAGGTGCAAGATATAATTCTGAACAATCCAGCCATATCTGTTAAATGAATACTTGCATTTATATAATGCCTTTCTTGTAAAATAAATCATTTCAAAGCACTTTACAACAATAAAATTGATTTGAAATCAAGTGTTCTTACAATGAACATTGGCAAATGCAGTAGATAATTTGTGCCAACAATTTCATACAAACAAGAATGAAGTAGCCAATGAATTTGAAGATAGACAAAATTTGAATGAGGAGTGAATATAAACTAGGATAACTGAGTGAAAAACACATTTCTTTGACACTCGGGCAAGGGGACGGATGTGATCCCTTCGTGCCCGCCTGAATCACAAGGCAGACAATGAAGGTTCTGTAAAAGAAACCAATATAAAGAATGATGATCTGGAAATAAATAATAAGTATGAAATAATGTGGAGTGCTAGTACAGATATGTAGGCAAACCATATTTCCTGTCCCACCATCACATGTTTTTTTTAATGTGATACATAACATGTAGATAGTCATTTGGCTCAATTTAAGTAATTGCTCTAAGGATCAGAGTGAAGTTGATAGGTTGCACTCTCAGATGCATGTTGGAATCAGAGTGAGATTGCCCTCACAGATGATGAATGTTTGAAGTTGTCTCTCAGCTGTAATTTATCAGAAGGTTTGTCAAATCTTCTGTGATTTAGTAACTGACGGTAACATGTAAATCAAATTAGATACATCACAGTGCCATTTGTATGCAAGGTTATTGTGAAGAAAATAATCTAGCTGGTATCCCTCTCCAAATTGATAGGTTTTGCCTTTTTTCATTACAAACCCCCTCTTTAACACACTGAGTTCCAGGCTATGTAATCCAATTAAAATTCAATTTATTGTATTGAGCACATTCATTCTTTTCCCAAGAGATGAAATCTAACCAAAATCAAGCCACAGAGGTGAGACACCAATGATCTTGTCCTCTTTCCTCTGTGCTGAATTGGAAGTACTGCACCTTTTTACGCAAGAACCAGAAACATATGCCAAGTAACAACAAGAGAGGTCATAGTCCAACACTGAGCCATTAAAAACTCTGGCCTATTCTTTCCCTAATGACTTCATGATCTACTCAGTTCTCTTACTTGCACCACTATTCTGCCATCATTGCTTCACCCTGTGTTATGGTTGAACTTTTCATTGTTTAGTCTAACTTCATTTCAATACACTACCGAGCAGCGATCAGATCTTTGTGGTGCTACAGATTGCAGTTAATTTGTTATATTAACTTCAACCTTCCATTCCAAGTCCAATGATTTGCTGTAAGCAGGCAAGTATTTGGGTTGCATTACTAAAGTGATTTCCAGTTTGTGAAATCCATTAAACTGAAATTAATCCTGTGGTCAGTGTGAGCTGCATTCTATTTCAATTTTATTGCAGGAAAAATCTTTCTGTAATGCATTCTGTAAAAGAAAAGTACAATTTAATGTACTGCATTCTGTAAAGAATGTAGTGCCTTATCAATTTGAAATGTCTAATGTATTCATAAATATTTAATATCAAGTTTATATAGGCAAAACACAGCAGCCATTTGCAGTAGCAAAGGTGGATAAATCGCCACGCCATGAAAAATAAATTAATCAAGTGTTCTGTTTGCCCAGGATACCAGGAGAAACTTCTCTTATCAGATCATTTTGTGGGATCTTTCGCACCCACCTTGATAGGCTGACCTAATACAAATACATTTGGCCATGTCACAAATTAATTATTTCTAAGTATTTCCCAATCAATTTGCCAGATGTACATCTCTCATGTGTCTTATTTGATGCAAAGGTGGAGTGGGAAAAGGCAGAACACAAGTCAAACTAAATTATTTCCCTTAAAGGTCTACACCTACTGCAAATTAGTTCACATTTAAATATAGATATGAAAATATTTTGTACATGGACATTGATGTTTAAGGTTCCATTGCACAAGATGATTTCCTTCTCAGTGGTCGGTCTATTAGTGAGGTTTAAAAAAATATGCAAATTAGATCTCAACTATCAATTCGCCGTTGTTTGCGCTGCCAAATAACATTTTGAAAACAGAGCCTTATACTGTGAGGCACAATGCATCAGCACCAATTGAAACACAGGCTTCAAGATTTAAAGGAAGTCCGTAGCATAATAAATATGCTTTATAAATCCTACATAATTCACATCAGAATTGTTTCATGTTAAAAAACAGAAATTTCTGTTATATGCGATCGCAGAAATTACATAAAATTCACATGATTATAAGTATTTGAAAGAAAATATTTGGACAGTGAATCCAATGTTGGCCAAATCTGACACTTTTCTATCAGAAAAATATTATTATAAATCAGGTGTATGAGTGCCAGAGTCAGATACTTCAATTATACATTGGTATACCAACAGAGGATTCAATAGGGGAATTCTGTATTTCCCAAGATTTGTTAGAAAACAAAAAGGTTTGTTTTTTCAACTCTTTGAACCAAAATTCCCATGATCGTTTTTTCTCAAATCAAGATCAGTAAGTTTTAAGATATCTTGGATCATTTTTCAGTTTAATTTTCTCATATTCTTGCATGTTCAATTCCTTCAAGTCTAATCAAGCCAGACTTCATAAATCCTACTTTAATTGTAGCACTCTCAATATTTTGCCCTCATTTACACTTTCTGCTCTGTTTCTTCGATTTTCTAAATAGTTGCTATGACAATTCCTCTCGTACAATGAGTTCCACAGTTTCCCATTATCATGTAAATTAGTGAATTGCACGCCACAATATAAAATTACAGTATCCTTTTGATATTTGTTATTTCAAGCTCCTGCATATTAAATTCATCTACCAACTGTAGAAGATATCCTATCATAAGAAATTTCTTGGTACAGAAGTTGCAAGTTGTTGGCAAACCAGTTTGTCTCTGACAGAATGTGTGATAGTTCAATGAGCACAAAAGGGCTGCATTGTTTTAAATAGTTTTCTAAGAGAGATTAACATTCTCAAAATAGCTGCCCTTGGCAAAATTGTTAAATGAGTTTCACTTGATCAGTTTGATAAATTTTAAAGTTTATCATAGTCCAATTGCCAGTACAGTAGATAGAAGCTTCAGAAAAAGTGATCACAACATTAACAGTTTAAGCCAGACTAGATAATAATACTTCTTGCATTTGATATGCCGTCTTAGCACATCGTTGAGATGTCTCAAACCCTTTCACAGGATATACTATAAAGTGGATTGACTGTGTATATTGTGGGCAAAACATATATATAGGAGAATATTCAAAATCAAGGGTGTTTGGCCTTAAATGGAACTCCATCCCCCAGTGCCTTCGCCTCGCTTCCTCCCTTTCCTCCTTCAAGGCCGGTCTCAAGACCTTTCCCTTCAACCGTGCTTTCAGCTCCCCTCTCGACTCTCTGCCCCCTCCTCGCTCCCTCCCTTCCCTCCCCTCACCCTGACCATTTCCCCCCTCCTCGCTCGCTCCCTCCCTTCCCCTCACCCTGACCATTTCCCCCCTGCTCGGGTCCCGACCCAACTGTCCAGCGCCTTAGGACGTCCTCCCGACGTGAAAGGCGCTCTATAAATGAAATCGGAGTCCTGTAGCTCAGTGGTTAGAGCACTCGCTTTGCAAGCGAGAGACCGGAGTTCAATTCCAGGCAGAGGGCGAAACCTTGGGCAAGTTTCCTTACTCCACACACCTAATAATAATCCCTCCAAAAAAAGTAATAAATTGGACATTTTCAATCTATGACTGTTTGTGGGACATTGCTGTGCGCAATTGGCTGCCGCGTTCGCCCACAAATATACAGTCAATTCACTTTACAGTGTGTTCTGTGAAGCGCTTTGGGACGTCCTCCCGACGTGAAAAACGCTATATCAAATGCAAGGATTATTATTATTATTTTGTTGTTGTTGTAAATGAATACCCCTAGAGTGCTAAGAGGAAGTCACCACCAATAGATTCCAATTTGGCCCATTTAGTGCAGATGCCTCTGTTAGATGTCCAGAGATGCACAGTCGTATTTTCTGGCACAAATCTGCTTCTTTGCCATTCTGTCTAGATCAAGCAAGTGCTTAAAATGCAATGGGATAATATGCAGTTTTAGCACATAGTTATAATAAGGTGATTAGAGACATGAGATTTACTAAAATGGTGCCAAAGTTCAAAGGATATATAGTTATTATAAAATGCTTAAAATACTGGAGATGAGTTTATTGAAGCAGAGGTCATCAAGAGGGGGATTTAATAAAATTATGAAAGGGTTTGAGAGGGATAGATTATTCCTATTAGTGGGTGAATTAACAACAAGAGGCGACCAAATCAAGATGATTACAAGAAGCAAAAAATAGGTTAGCGTCTATGAAGCTAGAGTCAATTATAACAATGAAAGAGGATTTGAAACATTTGAAGATTAAACATATAATAGCTTATGGGAAAAGAACAGCGAAATGCCTTTGAAGCAGATGTCTCCAATGGGAAGTTACATGTTAAGGCACTTTAAGCTAAATTACCTCCTTCTGTGGTGAAGTAACTATGAAGCTAAAATTCTATTTCTGCAGATGAAGTTTTTCCACAAGATTTGAGTCTTGGAATGCAGGTTTGGTAGATTTAATGGAAGATGCAACCACATGAAGACCAAGAAGGAACATAAAAATACATTTCAGTTGAAACCACGATATCAAATACTATACAAATCAAATCCAAAGTTTAGAAAACGTCCAATTTTAATAACCAATTCATTTTTATATACACACAGATATATAGTTCACACTAAACAATTGTTCTGTAAACATTTTCTACTCTGAACAAAGTTAGCAGTTTCAAGACTGTCTTAATTACAGATTTTAATTTGGGATAATTATAAAGACCCAAATTAGTTATGCAGCCTTTCAAAAAAATACATTATTATGACACAATTGGAAGACAAATGCAAAAGACGAATGTCCAAATGCAGTATGTATGTTCCAGTCTACATATTCTGCTTTCCCTTCTGTTAGATGCAACATAATGTTCAAAATCACTTATACTTTTATAATATTTTCTATGTTGACAAAGTAGATTACAAGGTATTCCTGTGATTGCAATGGAACAACCTAGTTTTCTCAGCAAAAAATAATGTTGTGCTTAAGTCAAAATGCTAGATAATATGGACCATGTGTTACTCCTTAAAACCAAATATTTATACAAATTAATGAGTTAATAACCTAAGATGTCAATATTTATGGTGACTGGTGTATCAATTATTGCCACAATTAGTTTAGTTTACTACCTGAGTATTTTAACCCATTGAGTACCGAACATCCCTAGCACACCAGACAACATGAACCTTGGCATGATTTGACAAGCTATGGAAATCTACATGCATAAAATTAGACATTTGAATAAAGATGGAAGCAATATGTAGCACAAAATAATTACAAATGGAAATATTTAAGAGCGTAACATTTTAAGAAACTGGCTTTGTATTGATATGGTGTAAACTGCCACGATAGTGCTCAAAGGGTTAAAAGGCTTTCTGTAGTTTCACCTCAGAAAAATAATTATATTCATTATTAAACTATCATTCTAGTCATTGGTTACAATAAAGAAAATTTTACAAGCCTTTGATTTATTTTTCGTTGTCTATCACGGAATAAAATCTAATCGTTTTTAGGTACAACACAATTTTTACAATTCTGGAGTTTTAACATATATTTACATAATCTAAAATCTTGTGTATCAGTCACATCATAGAATGATAGTGTAATTCAATTAATAGTCCAGTTTTTTTTNAAAAAATGCAAAGTTTTTGTATGCAAAATTTTCCTGTGTGAAGGACAGAGAGGAAAAACAAACAAACGTGTGATCTGGATGTATCAACACTGTCAAAAAGTTTGAAATTTAAGTGCCAGGCACTCAGAAAGGTTATTAAAAAAGCCATTTATCCAAAGAAATGCATCGAATAAAGAAATCAAGCGTGCGTACAGCAATAAAATACCCTTGAGTCGTAACACTATTTTCACCACAATTGCTTTTTGGCAGGAATTGCTGTAATATAATTGGGAAAGAAGAAGGAAGGGGAGGGGTTTAAAAAAGCACAACACAATTTTGGTCAAGAATGACGAAAATTAGGCCAATAAAATTGGGCCACTTGCCGGCTGGTACTGGTAAAGCTGGCAGGAAGCCCAAGCGATCCCAAATCAGAGTTATTTCTGTTGCCCTAATGCAACAATATCCCATGTAAGCCTAATTGCAATTAGCTTGCATCAATTAAATTATGCAAGCAAACTCCATACAAATGGATCAATTGACCTCGATAAAGATTGGTTCAAAACAACAACAAAGGAATAAAGAGCAAAATGGAAGAAGTTGGACTCTGAAACATGTTTTGGGGGCGATTGAGAGAATGGAGCTACTTGGTGGTCATGTTGACCCCGAAATAAATGAGAGCATTGTGCTTAGATATTCACCGGCTTGTCCTGAAGTTTCCAGACATCCTCAGGAAGAGGGGAAAGGAACCAGTTGAATAAGTCAGATTCGTATGTACAACAATATTCTGAGCATCAGAATGACATTTAGCAAACAATACTACTTGTTTTAAATTAAGAATGTATATTGGTAGCACTCAAAGTACATCCCCAAGATTTTCCTTCAAAGGCTGCCTTCCCTCCCCCAACACCCCCCCCCCCCCCCCCCCACAAACATTCACACTAGTCTAAGTCTGTGTTTGATCGTTGGGAATTTTACAGGTTTTTCTAGATTTACGGCATAAATAAAACCAAGAATATAATTCTTTTGGCTGACCAAAGGATTTAAAACATGGCAAGTGATATTAGCCGAAATTTAGAGAAAGCCCAGAAAATAAGAAAATCAACAAATGATTCAACAAATAGAAATCATCAGTAGTGGCAAGTAGAAGAATCATTCATCAATACAACAGTTAAAATAGTTCTTTGTGACGAATATTCATTTGTTTGATGTACTTACATTTTTTTGACAGAGAAACAATTCTCTGCTTTTTCCATTATGTTCCTGCAGTTTCAGTCACTTGTTTAATGTATTTCTAAGATAGTGACCTCTCCAACAGTCACTTACAGCAGCATGGTCTACTGTCTGCCCATTCACGCGCACCAGAATTTGTTACGCTTTAAATTTAATATGCAACATAACACTATCACCATGTTATCAAGTTTGATATGAAAACGTTGAATTCTGCCCTACACCAACAAAGTCATCTGTAATCCTGGTGGTTTGTGATATACAGTATTTATAAGGTATTTAGCATAAGTAGTTTGCATGGCCTCAATAATGAAAGCATGTCATCTAAATGTACATAAGTTGTTACGAAATGGTCACCATCTGGTCGTTTATGAGCAAGTATAGTCAAACAGTGACGGCAGCAATTTAAGCAAAGTACAAAATTAGATGTTTAATTGCAAATCAGTGCTTAAACATATATTTAGAGGGGAATAAACAGCTGGTCTCATTTTAATTCTCTACAACTGTTTGCCGTTATCCCTTTATCCTCCTTACAAAGCACTAGGAAAATACAGTGATTCCAGTCGTGTTAGCAACCTATGGTGTATCTGTTTGTCAAAGTGGGCGTGAAAGGGTTAAACATGCCCCTTCAATGTTTTCCCCTCTGTTCAGAGGTCTTACCTGAGACCACAAGGGCTTTCACACTATCCCTCACAAAGGCAAGACATAAAGAGGTCTGGCACAGCAAGAAAAGCTTTCCTCCCCAAAAAGTTAACTCTGTTCCACGTACAGAATTGCATCCATTTTTTTTTCAAAAAGAGGAACCCTCCATCATATAAAAGTAGGTCAAGCGCCTGCTATGGATCAACATCTGTACAATTCGGCTTTAACCGGACACGGATATACATTAGTGTGAACGGAGGGAAAATAATTAGCTAAAACGGTATTATGTGGCATTTTAAAAACACTCGCAAAGAGAGTTGTGATCTCTTGCATTCATTCTATTCAGGCTTGCTGTTTACGGTTGTGTCCTCCAGGGTATGAGTCTGTACCAGGCTGTAGTACCAGTCGGTTCCCAGTCGAGTTGCGAGTCTTTGTGTTTTTCTTTGTTTTTTTTAAAAAATCTGAGACCCCCTCCTCCCACCCACCCACCATGCTGTTTGTTTGGAGCATGCTCAGTCTCTGGTTGCCTTAGAAATACATTTAAATAGAACATAGGAAAAGAAAGAAGCCATTTCGAGATCAGACCTCGCTCTCGGTCGAAGGTTTGCGATCGTGCTGCCAGCCAGTGTCAGGCAAGGGAAGGCCACTCCTTTCCTGTGTGCTGGTGTTTACGCTGCTGCATTCTGACAGCGGTTCATCCTGTAACAGCTGTTCGGTCTCTGTGTCGTCAAGCGAGTCCGTGCTGCCCTGAACAGACAGAGTGTCCGCCGTCATGCACACATGATCTCGAAGGATTCCTCCCCGCATGGTCTTAATCTGTTTTAAGTCATCCCAATACAGGTCATCGTTGGACAACAAGCAGATACCTTCTACAATTTTTATCTTCTCTTTTGTGTAGCTATTATCAGCAGCAGCCTGGAAAGAAGGAAAGAAAGAAAGAAAGAAAGAGAGGGCACTTTACTTAACACAATAGTCTGCCTACAGCAGTCCACTCGAAACAATGAGTCACAAGCTGACTGCAGCACATTTTATTGTATCGCGGATTCTCTCACAATACAATAGTTTCGCAATAGGTCTTTCTATAGAGCTATACTTTTGTTTGATGCTGAGGATTCTACTCTTTGTTTTTTGGGACAATTTACATTTGTATAGCGCGTTTCACATTGGGGGGAAAAAAAAAGCTTTGAAGTGCTTCACAGAATGATACTGAATGATGATAATAATCCTTGCATTTGATATAGCGACTCATCTCATCATTGAAACATCTCAAAGAGCTTTATAAGATAAAAATATCGTAAAATTATACCCCAAGGCGAGATTTATTCTATTTTCTTAGCATTTCAGAGCCTATAGAATATGTTAAATTCTTACATGCAACCTTACGTTTGCAGTTGCTTTTCTGTACATTCTTTTATGACAAATAGAACAAGTTTCAAAGTGAAGACTGAATTCAATAATTTGCCGAAGTCTGGGACCTCTGAAATGCTACATTGATAGAGTAAAGCTCAAATCAAGTAGACATTTACCCCACATGTGCCTTCATTTAATTTGCTTTGTCTTTCAATAATAGCTTTAGCAGGTTTGATCAAGCAGTGCATTATATCTTTGTTGAACAGGTCCATAAAAATAGATCATATATCATAGGCAAAAACTAAGTTAATTCGGGGAGAGAATTTGTTTATAAATATGCCATAACTAAGGAACTACAAGTACTTATTGGTCTGAATATTTAATATTCACACATCTAATTTGTGAAAGCCATGTTAAAAAAAAAACTTTCATGGATGAAGTTAACAGGTCTCTCAATCAGAGCTGTGAACTTTGCTGGGTCAACAATAATCCATACAAGGTTAGCTTGGAAACATGAAGTTCTCTATGCCGGAAGCCAAGAAGAGGTGAAATATCACTTTTTAGCACCTCGCCTCATAAACAGTGACCAGATGTCAATTGTGAAAATACTAGGATGCAGGCCATTATTTTTTTTAAAAAGTTTCTTTAAACTTCAACCCAGGCTTGTTTTCCAAGTGAATACTGAAAGCTAATGATCCTGAATTCTCTCTTTCATGTGTTTTTAAAAATAATTCCGATGTCTTAGTCACCAAAGCTGAAGTCGTAGCCTCATTAATTATGGGCTGAAAAATTAGCAACCACACCTAGCAACCTTGGTGTGTACATTTAAAACTCATTCTCTTGTGGCTAGATAGTGTGAATTCTAGCAGAGCCATGCAGAAATCTAGGTTATGGGAGTGTAAAAGGCAATAACTGTAAGAACATTGTGCAAGTTGCAAAATTAATATCCTTACTCATTAATAAAACACAATTTGTATCCAGTTTAAAAACAGTGCACCAATTAGTTTTATTACAGCATCTGTAAAGAATTTAACAATTGCTACCTAGTTAACACCTCAGCCATCAGCACCCATTTACTCCCTTCAGTAAATCAATGACTCGCTTTGAACCTGTTCCAATGGTTTGGGCAGCTCTATAGCCAATTTGTGGATAAAATGCAGACCATATAAATTATCTAGATCATTCTGTTCTATTCTAATCTTTCTCTGTGTCTGTTCGTTGCTTCTCTGCTTTTCCATTTATATCCCAGTCACAATTGATAGGGTAATTCACTGGTAACCTGTTTCCAATAATCAAACTGACTCTCCGATTCTTTTGAGGTCGCCTACAGCCACTTGCAAAACATAAATAGAACTCACTTTCTTTCGACCCATTTTCACGCTAGTTACAAACTCACATCTGCTGCAAATTTACAGCTGTGTTTTAATGATGATAAAGGCGGCATAAACTGGTTAACTTATTAACTCCCAGCTCGAGGCATCCATTCCAAACCGTGTCTAAAGTAAACCTATTTGAATTGGGGAAGGATAAACAGTCCCCTCTGAATCCTAGCATTTCTCCAGCCCCCAGCACTGGCATGAGGGCAGTAACACGATAGTTGGAACCATTTCAGGGTTCACGGCTGAGATACACATGAACTGGAAGGTCACTTTCAGTTCACATATCATAGATTACAAGTGGAAAAAAGGGTATTCGATGATAAATTATAGTGTGAGGCGAAACTTTTTGCAGAGTTTGCATTGCTACCCTATCATTGCAGACAATGGGCAGTGTGGCATAGTTAAAAAAATGTGCAGTATTTTGTTGCTATGAATTGATAATATTTAGCAACACTTTTCTTAATTTAGATAAGTTTGCAGTTTGCTGTTGAGTCCTCATTCACTGCCATATTTTAGTGAGAGCGATGGAATGATCAAAGTTAAAGTAACTATTCCTCCTGGAATGTGCAAGTTCAGAAGTTAGGAGTGGGTGAAAAGGGAGGCTGATAAAGCTATTGGGATTGTTGGGAGTTTTTCATATCAAGAAGTAACAATGCAACATAGGTCACTGGTGCATTGTCTCAGCATAATGTTATGCATTTAAAGATCAATTTCCCAGGTTGAAAACTGCTCCACCTGAGTTAAGTCTAAAGCAACTGCAGATACAAGTTAAAGTACACCATGTAAACTGTAAATAATGTGGGTAAACACAAAGCATTTTTAAACCACCCACATCCTGTTCTTTTCTTAGTCAATGGGAGACCACTTTAATCCAATGTACCGCAAATGCTGCTGGAATTGATGTGTAAATACAACTCTTGAACACAGTTTATGGGGCACACTTTGACTCAGACAGATATAAAACTGACGGCTGGAGATGGCATTTAAACTGCACTTTCTCTCCTCCAATTCTGACTATTGTTCTGAAGGCACATATTTATGCTGGAGTACGGCATCATAATTGTTTGCAACCCTTTAATACCACATCTGAGTGGCCATGTTTCATGTATAGATCTAAGCATTGGAGGTTTCTATTGATTTAGGCTGAAAATGCTGTTCTTTTTACAAACTTTTCTTTATTCAACTGTCATAACCAATCTTGCCTCACAGCATAGATCTACTTAAGTCACTCAACTATTTGTGGGGATCATGCTGTATATGAAATAGTTCTTTTATTTGCCTACAAGTATGGAGCCAAATGAAAGAACTGCGCTTGACAGAATTACAAGTGAAGAATATTTGAGATGTTTTGACAGGATAGGTAAGAGATCAAATTCAAGGCTTATTTATAGTACAAAATCAGAGCAGCTTGTGATCATATCTACTACATTATTCTATTTATAAAGCTATTTCTATTAACCACAGCTGAGGGTGACAAATTACCCATTCAAAAATCAAACTGGAAGGGAATCGATATTATAATTCTGTTCTAATAACTGAGATGATCCTAGCATAAAAGGAGGAATTAGTATAGAATTACATGCAAAACGTGATGCGTCTTCATGCTGGACAGGGAATTATCTTCTGTTGAAAAGCAAGAAGTTAAGGATGTAACAATATTTTGGGGGAGAAGCTTAAGTATTGCATTTTGCAAACTGAAAAACCCTTGCATTAGAAAACATACCAAAGTAAGTAAACCTCAAGGATATCTTCCACCCAATGTCTCTTTAAATGTTTCTTGGTTTTTTTTAAGAAAAAAATACATTTCCATAGCTCCACTTAACGAAATGTTCAGGTTTCAAAATAAAACCGTTAACAGAAAATTTACCTCCCTCCCTCCCCCCCCCCCCCAAGCTCCAAATTTGCAAAATGCCAGAGTGACCTGGAAGCCCAAATGAAATGAACAGGAGTAGCTGGACAGTGCAATGCATGTGTCACACACTCATGCTGCCGGGTACCTGAGCTGAACTTTGTAGAAGAAGTCAGAAAATGAAAGGTGAAAGGCTATCAGATGGGTCAGGGAGCTGCAGTGAAGGAAACATTTCCAGAATATAACATCAGTGTAATATCTTCCATTCAGTATTATTAAGTAGACAGATTCTAATTGTATTTTTCCATGATATATATTGAGTTTTACGTCAAAATAGGTTTTTTTTTACTATGTATTTCCGGACGATAACCTTCTCATATTTCACAGCCTATCATGATTGCCTTCAGAGACAGCAGTATTTTACTCCTTCAAATAATTTACCTTTACTGTTCAAAGTAAAACGGAAAAGGCTGGTTTATTTTTCTTGTCACTTATTCCTTTTCTCAGATTAGTCCCATTTTCTTGATTCTGACCTGTCTCGGCTGGTTATACTGTTTTCTACAAGACGTTGTCCAACATGAACAGCATTGATGCACATCAACAGCTCAGTGTCCCACTGGACTCCAGTGAGCCAAATCACAGACATTATAAACCACGCTTGACCCCACCCAGCTCAAAAATGTAACTGACAATTGTGGAGCACAAAAACACAAACAAATGGTATAAACAGATTCCCCATCAAGAGGTTGAGATTTACAATCAATAAACAACACAACGTGCTTTGTGTAACTCATTTACGGTTGTGAATTATTCATGCCTGCAGCGCACAATGATTTATTCTGTGCAACCCTCCCCCACAGCTCAAAGTGTTCGCTCCATTTAAGCGTCTGACATCTATTGTCCTCCCGATGTGAAAGGCGCTATATAAGTGCAGTTGGTTGTTGTTGTAATCATCGGCCTGCGAATCAGTATAATTGTTCGAAGAATATTGCTCATAACCTTTTCTACTCACCTCCTTTTTATATCGAAGCTGGTTGTATATAGCTGGTTTCTGAACAGTTTCAATCTTCACCTCCTGTGTAGACGTACGGTATGATGGGTTGCTGTAGGTCAGATTGCTCACTGCAGGATCATCAAACTTGGCCTTTTTGTGTCTGAAGAGGGAAAAACAAGATTGCTTTTTTTTCTGAGGGTGGGGCGGCAAAGCGCCCATTTTTACAACTAAATTTACATTGAAGGGTTAGCTAACTCTGATCACTAAAAATAGCAAAACTATCTAATATGTGTTCGGAATTGAAAAGCTTAACTGAGCGTCCGTATAAAACGCAATGATGTAACCAAGCTAAAGTGCTGTAAAAATAAGCTGGTGTTGTTTTTGAAAGCTAACCTCAATACAATTATAGAATAGGTAATGCACCTGATTTAAATGGCAAATGAAAGGTTCTGACATTTTTAAAGGCCAAAGGCAGTCCATGAAAACTGAAACATTACTGCCTGTAGCTGTTCTGAATTTTACTGAACAGGAAGGGGAACCCTAATTGATTTCTCTTTGGTCTGTCCCCGGTGTGTGAGGCTAACCGTTGGAATCTTACAACCTAAGATACTTAGGAGCTTTCTGGTTTACAAGACTTCAGCAACACCCCAGCCCAGACAGTACAGTTATAAACCAGTATTGAAGAGAGCGAGAGAGAGAGAGAGCTTCTGATTAAAAGCAAAACAATCTAAAAGGAAGTCCTTTTTGTTAACAATAAGTCAAATATCCCCACTGTAGATGCAGAAAGGACATCAGTGGCCATGTTTTATTTTTATTGAACAATTACATTTACCTTGTGCACAGATTACAGTTGGACAAAGCACCAAAGGTGATACCATGACTCATTACGCCTGATAATAATCCGCTCAAGAAAAGAAAACAATTATAAATTGGTCACTTCAATCCACAACTATTTGTGGGACACTGCTGTGCACAATTGTTTGCAGCGTTTCGCCCACAAATACAGTCCATTCACTTTACAGCATATTCTGTGAAGCGCTTTGAGAGGTCTACAAGACATGAAAAGCACCATATCAAATGCAAGGATTATTATTTATTATTTTCATTGCTGCTGTGATTCAAAAATCACAGCATACATTTGTCTGATCATCATATAAATAATGCAAACTGGCTCCAGTCTTGACCATGTTATTGTGAATCCAGAGTATAGAAAATACGTTAGCTTACCGGAGACAGCGAAAGGCATCATTAGACAGTCTCCTGCTGTGTATCACAGTCAATCATGTGTAACTCGTACATTACATCAGCTATTATCAACACTTACCAAGCTCCAACATTTTGCCAATGACCAGTAAGGAAACCAATTTAAAGTGTCTGACCTCAATGTGAATCGAGTATTAATCATTTGAGAGCAGCACTAATCACTGTCAGCATCTAAGGAAATATGCATGACTGCAGCGGCATATTGAATGTTAAAAACAAGAGGTTGATGTGAAGGGGCAATTATTGTGCTGCAAAGCAATAGAGGTCTGAATATAAACAGACCGGCAGTTACCATAATTCTGTATGCTCCCCAATATTCAGGAGCTGGATTTTTTCCTGAATATTATCCCTAGTCAAAGGACATGAAGGGCAATTGCAGCATCTTTTGATGTTGATCAATTGACCACAAACCAGAATTAAACTGGAGACTTACTGATCTGTATCTACTAACATGTGCTGAACAGGACCATAGAGTTCATACTTGGTGCAACTTATGGGATGAATTGTTTGCAAAATATATTTGATATATCAGGAATGAAAAGCAATGCAGAATCAGAAAGTGTGTGTTAATGTTTCAAAATTTAATATAAACACAATACCTGTATATGATCACGGCAGCAATGAGAACCAAGATCGCTAATATTGTCAAGACAGCTCCCACAATGTAACTTATATGTAGTCCATCTCCTGTAACAATTATAAGACTTAGCTAAGCTTCATTTATCAGCAACAATAGAGGAAACTGCTTCAAATTACAAGTGAAACATAAATGCTTTTTATTCTATAAAGCACAATCTTTATTTGAAAAAGAGAGCTTAAACTTTTTAATTAAATCTCAACTTTAAAAACAATAAAAACATATTTGAGTTATGATGCAGAAATTTTGTAAGTTTGATTCCAGTTTTGAGTCTGAATTAATGGATTGACTGAGGTTGATCTGAACTGAAAATCCAAACTCTATTTGCTTATCGCACAAACTATTATTCAGAGATCAGTAGAATAACTCCATCCGTTTTGTAAGCACATACAGCATCTCACCAGGCAACCCACATATGGATAGTGAACAACTCAATATATTTTCATTCAAGCATACTGGATATATGCCAGGGTTTCCTTTGAGCATTTCGATTTACGTAAATTTGCTAAAACGCATTATATACATACAAACGAGAGCAACGTACAGAACAGTGAAGATGCCAGAAATGAACTGGCAAAGGTGGGGAGCAGATTCTGTGCATGCCTTTTCTGATGTCTGTCCCTGATGCGTCCGTTCCAAAACCAGAAAGAAAATAATCTTAAAACTTATAGATTTGAAAAGGCAGTTTTGCATAATTTTCCACTGTTATTTGCCTTTCGTCCTACCCAATTACTCTTTCCGTGCTTTCAGCATTGTGTGCAAGGAAATGTCATTCAAACTGCCCAGTCAGCAGTCAATGGAAGAAGTGGTCACATTGTGGAGGTGTAGTACGCCACCTCGTGGCATCACTCAACAAAACAAGAAGCATGAAACTGCTCTTGTTCCTAATGGTCTGTTTTCAGTTTGAAATGCCCCATTTACTACGGTCTTGCAGCATAGGAAACTCTGAGCTGCTCAACATAAAAGTTATCGATGAAATTCACTTGGCTTCCTGAAGTACTGACAAGAATGCTGAACATTGAAGTTATTAAAAAAGGAAAACAGAACAAAATCTGCCATGGGATTTACAAATCTGTGTTGGAAATATATCATACCGACTTCAATACCATATATGGGCTGATAATGAATGAATAATCTTTAGACTAACTATCAACATATACTGTACAGAAATACAGAACATACCGGTTACAGCAGGCATCACCCAGGTTTCATCTATGACACAGAGACCTTGATTTCTGTCTTTCTGAGAACAGCTGGAAACAGAAATGTCTTCAGTTTACATCTTAATCTTTGAATAGATTGCTGCCTTCAGTACAGGATATGCAGGAAAATAACTCAATTGACAAGTTCAAATGTAGGGGACGCATTCGTGATGCGCCAACTGAAACACATTATGGGAATTATTTCCCGAGTGAGTGAAAGAGAGAGAGAGAGAGTCCAGTAATTCAGCTGCAAATGTGTTATATAATCCTTTCAAATGGTGAAGTTGCATTCAAAATATCAGCAATAGTGAAACTCTCAGGCCAATATCAAAATGCAATTTGCGTATATTACAGTAACACAAGACATAAAAGATGGGAAACGGTAATAACACAAGGTAGCCAAATACCTTCCAAAAAGGTCTGATACTGTACTATTAACAGTCAATGACTAACATTTTAGTGCTTGTGCTGTGATGATAAATAGTGATGAAGTGTAATATGCGTCAGTCTAATAATTACTTCTTACTTTTGACTTGAGTTCTTCGTGGATGCTGTGGGTTTTGCTGTTAGAGGGCCTGGAGCTCTGTGTGGGTTGCTGCCTTCAGAAGAGTTCCTCTCGCCTGGGCTGGTGGTTTCCTGGAATGGAGGCATGTACCCAGGGACTGTAAAGAAATGCAGCACGTTAATTGTTTCAAGAATTCATTCATAGATTGAAACAGCACAAGTGTGGGTACAAAATCTGCAAATATTGGGCAACATCGGTGCAAGCATAATATCCTCGAGCATTTGTGTTGATATTCGGCCTGCAGCTTTCAACATGGTGAGCTCCTGACCTGAACCAAACTATCTGAACAAAGATAATAATAATAATCCTTGCATTTGATACAGCGCCTTATCACATCTTTGAGACGTCTCAGAGCGCCTTCACAGAAAAGACTGTAATGTGAATTGACTGTATATTTTGTGGGCTTTGAATTAGGTGGCGATGAGCTTCTTTCATCATTGAGAAAATATGGCAAGTTTTTTTTCATCTGATAAATGTCTATACAAGTGTAAAATGGTAACAACAGAATTGGGATGAACATTTGGACTTTTTTTATTGATAAAAAAAGACTTTAGATGTGAAACTTAAAATTGGATGCAGTGAATTTGAATCTCGGCTATCTATAAAATATATATATATTGCAGTTTATAAATAGAGTTCAGGAAAATACTATTAAAATCGATTTAACAGTGTAAATAAAAACATCAGCCACCAGAGGGCAATGATGACCTCCACTACATCACGAGAGAGGGCTGAGTCAGTGTCAGAAACTGGGAATGCTTTATGGTAATTGTGTGAGAGAAATGAGCAGATTAACCTACTTAGATTATCACTGAAATGGCATGATTAAGGTCGATGAACAATTAGATGTACAGTCTATAGCCTACTGATGAGAGAGCAGAAGAATGAAGCAGTTAGCACCTTCCAAACCTGTATAATGAGCACCTATCTCACCTACACACACGTTTACAAACAAGATTTTATGTATAATAATTACGTATTATATGTTTATAAATATATTCTCTTCTATACACTGACGCAAGAAACTTAAAAAGGTACACAAGAAGGTGAGCAAGGCCGTTTGGTGCATTAACTCTTCTTACGAGGCGTTTGCATGTACCACAAATGGTGCCGTGCCTGCAGAGTGTGTGCAAGAGTCAGCAATGCAGAGCCACAGAGACTTTGGTCTCAAAGGAACAGTCCAGTCAAATTAGGCCAAACATTTGGTTTCTGATCTTGTTTCAAACTTACGACTCTATAAGGATATAGATACTGAAACATTCCATCCAGGAGCACACAACTCTATTTCTCAAGCTATTATCATTTATCATTCTTGACAAGATTGGACACCTGCTTTATCCTGTAATAATAATAATAATAATCATAATAATCCTTGCATTTGATATAGCGCTTTTCACGTCGGGAGGACGTCCCAAAGCGCTTCACAGAACACACTGTAAAGTGAATTGACTGTATATTTGTGGGCGAACGGGGCAGCCAATTGCGCACAGCAATGTCCCACAAACAGTCGTGGATTGAAAATGACCAATTTCTTATTGTCTTTGGTTTTGGAGGGATTATTATTAGGCTCTGTGTGGAGTAAGGAAACTTGCCCAAGGTTTCGCCCTCTGCCTGGAATTGAACTCAGGTCTCTTGCTTGCAAAGCGAGCGCTCTAACCACTGAGCTACAGGACTCCACTGTACGCAATCTCTTCCAATCCAGCAAAACCCACACCAATTTACAATCCAACAACTGGCATTTAAACAACGCCCTTCACCCAGGGCTGGTTCTTGGAGCACTGAAATCCAGGAACACTATGGGGCATTTTGTCTAATAACTCACCTACTGAGCAAGGCCGTCCGTCTGGCTCATCAGGACATCCACACACAAAGTCCGTTGCCCTGGCAAAGCAAAGATGTGTGCAGCCTCCATTACTGATACCACAGGAGTTGGTACCTATAGCAATTGAAAGTACACAGTACACTTTAAATGGTAACATCAGCTATTGTTTCTGATGGTTTCAATTTGTGTTTTTTTTTATTTATTTGGATTTCTTTCATCACTGAAATCAGTAAAACAATGTCATTCAGGCCAAACAAACAAACAAACAAAAAAACAAGCACTTGTGCTCTTTTTAAGTGAAACTCGGAGCTCAAAATCTCAAGAGGTTAGCTTGTCAATGTGCTTTTTTTAAAAAAAAAAAATTGTCGACCCACACTCGCTGCTCGACCTCGCTTTGTACCTGTCTGTCTTTGCGGCGAGACCACGATGATGTCCATCAGCCCCTCCACATTGGCGAGGATGGTTTCCTTGTTGCGTCCTGTGTACTTGTCCACTCGTTGGATTGATTTGGTTTGCCAGTCAGTCCAGTAAATCCAGCGATCATGCTGATTTTGCAGAGAATGCCATTAGAGTTGACACAGATCAGGGCATGCAAACATAACGAATTCGGCAAAGCTAAAAGCACACTTATTTCAAACGCATGGACCATTTCAATTTACTTTGGGGGGTGGGGGGGAATCTTGCATGTGAAAAGCCTCTTACAAATACACAAGGGCACATTAACTCAGACTCAGATTTGCTCTGCCTCATACTTGCGACTCGGGAGTTCCCATTAGTAAACTTTGTTACCACATATTAGGCTGCAATGTATCTAAGCTGTTTTGTTTAATGAACAATTTCTAGGTTGAACTGCATTGATTAGTCACTGTTAGTAAGCAGCTGTAAACCTCTTTAGCCCTCGACCAGAAGCAGCTTGTCCCAGCATCAGCATAATTCATATTTGCAGAATTCTCCCAAGCTGGGTGTGAGTAATAGACTGTCATTAACTGAGCACTTGAGATGATATCATAAACCATGAGAGTGCAGCCTGGGTGGTTTATGTATGTCATGTGAACCCAGAGGTTAAGTTAGTCTTTTAATAATAATAAATACTTGCATTTCATTCAGTGCTTTATTATGCTGAAACGTCCCAAAGGATTGTAGACGTGATCCTTGATATTAAATTGTAGTCTTTGAACAATAATAATACATTCTTGTGTTTAAGTAACAGCTTCCATTAAAAGGGGCTGAACCACTTCAGACAATACGGTGCTTTAAAGAACAGTGACTGGAGTGTTGCAAACCCAACAATTAATCTGGGCCAACAATGTGCCACAAGCAGCAATAGGGAGGGAGAAATATTGACCAGGACACCAGAAATCTTCAAAATAGGACGATCTTTCAACTTCTTGTTAACCATTAGAACAGCGGATGAGACCTTGGTGAAGTTTCCCTGCTCCAACAAATCAGCGCTCCATTAAACATCAGACTATAATATTTCAGTAAAAATGTGAAAATTCTTTTGTAGTTGAGAGGAATTACAGAGGGAATAAAAGAAGAGACTGGAGTGGATGAGCTGAAGTGCTAACTACAGTACACTAAATCACTTTCCAGCATCTATCACTTTTTCTAATTTTTACAGAAGTCAGACAAGAAATAATTGGAGCAACGAGGCTGAAATTACACTGATGGAATACGGTAGCAAGGTGATCAGGACCTCACAACCGCAACTCTGCTGCTGATAGGATTCAGCAACAGAATTACTCAAATGTGGAATAAGAAAGGAATCGAGACCTTTAATATTGTGAGATGTCTGGTATACATCATAAATTATATATATATATATATTACATTATTTATTTATATACACCATACGACATGCTGTGCAGCAGATTAGAGCATGGATTGCTTGAATGTGGTTCAGAAGGTCAATGCCTTATTATGCAAATTTCTTGTTTTCCTCATTACCCTATACTTTTAAGATGCTAAGGCTTCATAATAATCAGTCCCGAGCGAATATAATGGGGTACTCCTTACCTGTGTTAAGGCGAAGGGATGGGTGACTTGGCTCACCAGGACTTGACGCAGGTTTCCATTTAAATCTGAACTCTCTATTCGGTCTAAGTGAGCATCTACCCAGTAAATCCTGTCGGGGGAAGATTAGTATCAATTAAAGTTGGGATTTAGACAGTTCATCGTGTAATTCTGGAGTACACTTTTCAACCCAGCCCAATCTCACAGCTGGTAAAACACTAGTATATATGTCCCTTTTCTGTTAAAAATAACAGCAGGCAGTTCATCTTCTGTGCGATTTTATGCACTCCTAAAGGAACAGAAGTGTCTGTAACTTTCATCTTCCTGATGTTATAAAAATGATTGACAATGAAAACATATATATATAGTCTTGCAAATGTACATTGCAGTAAATATACAAGTAATATTACAAATACTTTCAGTAACTAAATGCATTTCAAGAAGATTTTGTATCGTATAAAATAGATTTTGAATAATCCCAAAATCCTCATTAAGGAAGAATTAATAAGCAGTCAGGGCAAAATATAATGTTATTCTGGTCTTTTAAATGACCGTTCTCTTGTGCCCCTCATACACAGATTAGCTGTCAATCACAACCTCTGCTGCTTGTCTTTTCTCAACTCACCTTCTTGTATCATAGTCCAAAGTCAGGCCATTTGGCCAACCCAGATCAGTGTTAATAAGGACTTTCCTGTCAGTGCCATCCAATTGAGCACGTTCAATTTTAGCAAGATGTCCCCAGTCTGTCCAGAAGAGATACCTAGCCATCAGAAATACAAAAATAACGTATGAAAAACCTTTTAAGTTTTTAAAACACAACCAAAACAATTTTATAGATTTTAATTTCAGAATCTGTGGCTTTGGCTGAGAACGATTCATTAAAACCATTACTTTGTTATTCACGTATTGTTCATGCCTATGATGTGTGTTTTTTCCCTTAAAGTAACAGACTTGGGAAAATGTTCTTCGAGAGTTCAATGATCTTACTATTCCATCATTCTGGATTATCCACTGAAGAGTTTGTTAGCACTTCAGTTCCTAAAGCATCACTCAGTGACATACACAATGTTAACAGGTGGAGGAGTACATCATTATGAAGGTTTGAAGACATGCTTCTGGGGACAAATAGACATTGATTGAATATTTTTACTGGTCTACCTGGGATCCCAAATAGACTGAAACTGTAAGTTACAGGAGTCTTTTTGTCTTTGTTTCTATATCAGCATTGCATATTATGGTTTGAACTTTAGATACCTCCTTGACACGAAATATAGTAAAAACAACTTCAAGACAGGATTGCCTTTATTTGTCTTTTGTTCTGTGCTAAAGGTGTGTACTTGTTACTTTTATTACATTGGAAAATAGCACGTTTCCAGATTACAAAGACTTTTACAAAAATGTAAAGTCCTGGACAAGATGCTGGACCTTCTTTTAATAATTTCTTACCCTTTTCTAGGAAACACAGCAATTGCTCTTGGTTCATCCAGGCTGTTATTGATGAGCACCTTCCGACTGTTTCCATTAAGCCAGGACACCTCAATAGTGTTTCTGCCTGTATCTGTCCAATAAAGGTTCCTTGCTATCCAGTCAATGGCCAAACCATCTGTAGTTTTCAAGCCATGGCCGGTAACCGTCTCCATACGGCTGCCATTGAGATTTGCACGTCTGGTAAAACAGAGAGTACAGCTTACTTTAACAATCACTAGCTGTATGTTTTTGGAAATCCTATAAAAATACAGAAGGTAATTAAGAGCTGGATTGGGCTAGTAGAAAAAGGTGGTTGAGGCTAGTACCCTGGAATCGTTTAATAAACATCTTGATATTGTAATAGAAAACCTTACTGCTGACTTATACAACAACAACTTGCACTTACACAGCACCCTCCACGCAGGGTAGCATCTCAAAGCGCTTACAATGTTTCTGGATGAATGAGATTAAATGGACTAAAGTGCTTTCTTAACCTGAACCTATCGTGTGAAAGCATTAATCCGTGGTGCAGAGCACGAATGTCCCAACCTACTTAACTAACCTTTTGGCCATCTTTTAGATTTTTAATGGAATTATTTGGTATGCCATATGTTTAGGCCATACCTCAAATAGAAACTCGCCACGATTTGTTTGTTAGTTAGGATTTTATAAATGCAATGCGAACTGTAACTTAATACAATTTCCTTACCGGATTACATCCAGGTAGACATCTGTGTAATAAACCTTCATCTCCACACTGTCATAATCCAATGAAATGACATTGTGTAGCTCGGGAACCGGGACGTATACATCTGTATAATCAGTTGTATCCAAAGAAATTCGTCGGATGCTGCCACGGTTGGAGAAAAGCAGGTAGGTCTCGGGAGTGTCCTCACATGTTTTCCCGTCACTCTTGATCTGGATTCCCGTTGGACAAGCACAAGTGATACCATTGGGACGTGGCAGACAGAGATGGCTGCATCCTCCGTTTCTGACGCTGCACTTATTGTAACCTGTGCAGAAAACAGAGCATAATCTCTCAACAAAACGTGAAAGTACAAACAGGAATTCTACTAAGTTTAAGGCCGTGTGTTTTTCAGGGGTTTGTGTGTGAAGTGGAAATGGGGAATATTTTTTAACATACACAACCTAAGTTGTAAATTGTTTTCGTCTAGGTTTAATTTTTCCTAAATCCCAATGAGAACTCAACTTGAAAAATATCAACGTGGTTTGAATCTATGTCTCAGCTCACAGCTGTTTCTCACAAATACATAAATAGCTCAAACTGCAAAGGCAACAGCCTTAGATATTAATCATTTGTGCAACAGTTGCTCATGAATCAATCTGTTCTTTCTTCCAGCTTCATCACCACAATGATTTTGGTTCTAGACTCATCGATCTTTTGGACACCACTTACCCAGTATTCATTCTCACATCTGGATTTACCATAAAATCCATGCATAATTCACACCTTCCTGTCTGTTTCCCTGTCTTTAAATGCCAGAATGTGACTTGTAAACCAAAGAGATTTATAGGGATTTTACTAAGATGGCAACATTAAAATAACACATTTATGCAGTTATGAGAAACTTTATCGGGTGCTCATTTTTGATACAAATGATAACATTTCATTAATCGTGGGACAAAGTACTAATGGACAGCTGGATTACAAATCTGCTCACTAAATCACCAGAAACTGAAATGCGTCTGTCAGTAACAGTGCTTCACTTTCCTATTCTTCAGCTGTACTTTTGTACAGCTCTTCCACCCCCGCGCCCCCCCACCCCAGCTCGGGTCTGAAATGCTGTACTCTGTCCAGCGCCTTGGAACGTACTTCCGAAGTGAAAGACGCTTATACAAATGTAATCTTGTTGTTGTTGTTTTGGAAAGCCAAGAACATTCTGACATGTTTTTTTTTCTCTCTCGACCCTTGAAAGAAAAAAAAGACGGCTGCTGCAATTTCTATCGATCAATTATGAATCAAAGAATTCATACATCGACAGCCACACACGGAAACGAACGCAAAAATATACAAACATACCAACAGGTCGTACTCGATCGATAGCCTGAATGTCCATGAGCCCCGGCAGGTTGCCTCGCACTGTAATCACATCTCCGCCTGTGTTTTTATCCGCTCTTTGGATGCTTCTGGTTTGCCAGTCTGTCCAGTAAATGTGAGAGCCGAGCAGAGTCAGGCCATATGGGTGCTGGACAGGAGTGACCAATGTCCGACGGTTATCACCATTCAAGTCTGCTGCCTCAATGCGCTGAGGAACACAAAGAGATTGCCGTCGATGTGATCACATCATTTATTCTGAAGGGATACAACAGTCCAGATTTGCTCAGTGATAGTTAAACCAAGTATTGGAAGCGAAACAAAACTTAATCTCATGTACTAATGAATACGGCACATGTATTCCCCAGCAATAAAGCTGCAACAGATCAGAGATCTGCTCACGCGATACTGGTCTCCTTAAGGAAACTCGATGCACCTGATAAGTCAACGTTAGGAAACAGTGACGGCACATACCTCAGTATGTGCATCAGCCCACAGGAGCCGGGACCCTGCTTTGTCAATGGCCAAACCATTCGGCCAACCCAGGTTATTATTGATGAGAACTGCCCTGTCTGAGCCGTCCATAGCAGCACGTTCCAGTTTGGCATGTTCCCCCCAGTCGGTCCAGTACATGAATCTAGCAAGTTAAAAAACACAAGGGTCCTTGTTATCATCAACAATTGCATTCATCAGTTTAATAAGTGTCCTTTTCCCAATGAATCTAATCATCGTGTAGTTTTGAATTCTAGGTCTGGATTAATCCTGGGTTCAGAGGACAGTAAGGTTGGCAACCCATAAGCACCTTAAATGTATTACTAACACACCTCTGCTTTGTTGAATATGAACAGGATTCCCTCTACACAGGAAAAGTGATGAATGTTTTAAAAATCTCTCACTTGAGCCTTGATGTTTGGGTGGACATTACTAAAACCCCAAGCACATTCAGGAGTTAAATATTTTACATCTATGTATCGACTCCCTGCAGGACGAAACCTTAGGCAAGTTTCCATACTCCACACGCCTGATAATAATCCCTCAAGAAAAAAAAACAATAATAAATTGGTCACCTCAATCCACAACTGTTTGTGGGACACTGTTGTGTGCAATTGCCTGCCACATTTTGCCCACAAATATACAGTAAATTCACTTTACAGTAGATTCTGTGAAGCACATAGAAGACGTGTAAAGCTCTATATCAAATGCAAGGATTATTATTACATATCAGGGCCTGCATTTTATTATTCTTTTATCGGTCTTGTTGTATGCTACAAAATGTAACCAAAATGTAAATTAAATAAATAACAAGTGCGCTGATTTTAAAACCACAATATCCTGGGTTGTTATTGTGCCATTTGCTACACTGAAAAAGATCAATCTGTGCATGTTACATTGTGAAACAGATCGTCAAAAAAAACTTGTTAGTTTATCTTGAGTTGAAATGATTTATTATTTGTTCAATCATTCAGGTTATTGAACGATACCAGTTTAGAATGGGTATTGTTCTGTACTGACAATTAAGTTGCAAGTAAGAGTTAATGTTATAACGGCAGCTGTCACTCATCTTTAAATCAATATTTGTAAGTGGAACAAGTAATATTTGCTGTTTTAAAATCCTTTGATTGAAGAATGAAAGGAAGAAGCTGGGGTGATCTATATCCCTTTTTTTAAAAAAAACTAACGAGATGCTGCCATTATGAAATCACATTCGCAAAGTGATTGATGGCAGGAAGAAGAATTTCACCTTCTAGATTTATCATTTCCTGGAACAGGATAACATTAGGCAACTGTAACCTTTCTACTCACCCTCTGTCATGGTGAAGAGCTATGGCTCTCGGGCTATCGAGATTCTGCCAAATCAGAACCTTTCTCATCGTTCCATCCAGATTGGCAACTTCAATCCGATTGGTCCCTGTATCCGTCCAATATATTTTACGGCCGATCGCATCCACTGCTAGTCCATCAGTGGTTATTAATCCTGAGGAGGAAAGAGGCCAAATGTTTACTTGTGGAACCTAAGTCGCCAACGACACCTTATCTTTATTACTACCAGCTCTTGGTGCCTCAGAGGCAGCAGTGATGCCATCTTAGTTGGGACTGCTGGTAGCGTCAGTCCAGCAAGAAAACACATGCATTCAAATGTGGAGTCCTGTAGCTCTGTGGTTAGAGCACTCGATTTTGCAAGCGAGAGACCTGAGTTTAATTCCAGGCAGAGGGCGAAACCTTGGGCAAGTTTCCTTATTCCACACAGAGCCTAATAATAATCTCTCCAAAAACCAAAAAACAATAATAAATTGGTCATTTTCAATCTACGACTGTTTGTGGGACATTGCTGTGCGCAATTGGCTGCCGCGTTCGCCCACAAATATACAGTCAATTCACTTAACAGTGTGTTCTGTGAAGCGCTTTGGGACGTCCTCCCGACGTGAAAAGCGCTATATCAAATGCAAGGATTATTATTATTATTATTATTATCTGGACTGAAAGTTACAGTATTCCAACTGCAGCAAATAAGCTGAGGTTTTGAGACTCCACAGCATTTGTGTTGCCACTGTCAAGAACGAGAACAGCTCTAGGTCAGAAACAATAGTCAATCTGTTCAATTTGATAGGTCTTTAAAAGATCTTAGATACCATTGTATTTCCTTCGGACACTTTTGAGCATAATGCACAAATCATTTACAGACTGACTATAGGCAGAAAACATAAACTCTCTTAATACATAGCTACACTCTCCTTACAGTACTTTTTTGGCACTCCCGAATTAAATTGTTCTCGAGAGCTAAGCGAAGGAGCTCTCCATAAACACCTGTGAATACAGCAGAGGATGGCTCTGACTTCTCACCTGTGGTTACAATGTCTTCTTGCTCAGATCCATTTAAATTAGCTCGGCTGATTTTATTCAGTGTGCTGTCTGACCAATACACCTTCCCTAAAATCAGAAAAATCAATTTCAGTAGTGTACCGACATGAAAAAAGTTAAAATATTTGAAGCAATTTTGTTCAAACCATGAAATGCAATGCAATCAATCATTGATATATACGCAGAAGAAGTAAATCAATAACAAGACCCAAGTGAATTCTGTCGTAATTTTCACCTTAATTTATATTTTGGAACAGTTTCAAAGATATAATCTTGTCTCAGCCTTTACCTTTTGGTAACAAATTACTTTGACCCAGATTATTGTTGGTCAACCTGTGCTGCTACTGTTCCCAAAAAGGACAGAGCAATTTTTCACTTAATTTTTAGGGTGTTGCTGCCTGCTGATTTTCTTCCCTACTCTCGTTTGAAGGCAACGGAGTAACAGTTTAGGACGCTAGGCATTATTATTTATGTGCAGAAATATCTTTGAAATATTTCTTTGCATGAAAAGCGCTGCATAAATTTGGCATTGTTGAGTGAGCCTCCACAGTTGAGTGCTAATGTGAAAAAATACCTTCTTTAGGATCGACTCCAATTGCAATTGTGTTTTTCATTGATCCGTTTACAGGCACAACCACATCTGCGAAGTAAGGAATATCCAGCGACACCAGTCGGATATCAGTTCTTCGTGCGAATATGAGAAAGCTCGTCATACCTGAAATAGTACAGGGAAAATAACAGACCTAACACCGTGCAGAATCAGTGGAACAATAATTCCTGAATTAATACTTAAAACATTTAACATTCACTAATGATATTTTGTGTGTTAGCATTCACATGGATTGCCAAGTGAAAGCTTGACTCAGTTGGTAGCACTCTCGCCTTTGAGTCAGAAGTTTGTAGGCTCCAATCTCACGCTAGGAATTTGAGCTCATACTCCACTATGGTAATTCTACATTGTTAGAAGTGCCATCCATCAGACGAGACTTTAAACCGATGTCCTGTTTGCCTGTTAAAGAAGATGTTAACAATCCCATGGCACTAAACAAAAGCAGAATGTTTTTTTTCCCCCAGTGTCTTGGCCATCGATCTTCCAGATAAAATTGTTACTTCATGTCATGTCTGTTTGGGAGACATTGCTGTGCAAATTGGCTGCTGCACTTAGCTACAAATTCAGTCACCGTGAAGTGTTTATAGATATTTCAATAACATGATAAGGCGCTATATCGGATGCAACAATGATTATCTTATCATTTAGGAAACAACGAGTAGTGTATTAATACTGAAGAACTCAGTCACATCAATAGCTACAAAGATCTGTTACATTTCAATACAATTAAGGTGAAGAAACAACTGGGAATCTTAAACGTCTACGTGTTTGCAATGAAGAAACCAGTAGAAGGTTCCATTTTGGGCAATCATTTGTGTGATTTTTTCAGCAATAATTGGCACATTCTTATTTTAACGAAGCTTCCTTTGGAATTCTGAAACTCATGTTATTTAAAATGTTAAAAATGTTTTTAAAATCTCAAAGAACAAGGAAAGTCACATGTCTTACCAGGTACACATGTTTTGCCATCTGAGAGGAGGTTTATTCCTGTCGGACATGCACAGTTGTATGCCTTGGGCAGAGGAGCCAGAAGACAGAGATGGCTGCAGCCACCATTGTTTATTTTACACATGGTAGCCGCTGTAATCACATAGGGAAAAGTCAAGATTTTAGAAAGATTGAGATACCACTCAAAAGACTTGTTGAAATTCCATTGAAAAGTTATTTTGTCTTTTAACAATTCCGTTGGCCTGGTTACTGCCTCAGTGATTACCTGACGTTCGGTGTCGATGGAACATGTGAATATCCATTAAGTTTTCCAGCTTCTCTCGGAGTGTCTCACGTCCCAGGCCGCTGTTTTTATCCGCACTCTGAATACTCTTCGACTGCCAGTCGGTCCAGTAGATCTTGTCTTTGTGCAAGGTCAAGCCAAAGGGGTGGGGCAACTGACTGCCGATCAGGACCTAGACGAAAGTTACAAAGAAAGTGTGGGTTGGGGAACAGAGGACAAGAATTTAATTCAAAAGTTCTCCGCTTCCTGCAAAATTTGTGTCGAGTATGGTAATCTTGACACGTTCAGATTAATAGGGCCAGGTTGGAACACTGTGGATTAAATACCAATACGCTCCCTGAAATGCAAGCAAGGAAATTTAACGTAGCAAACATTGGAGGTCAGAGGTGCCAATATAGATTGCAATGTTATGCAACACTCATCTAATTCGGTTCCCTGCGACTATGATTATGTTGTCGTACCCTCCTGTCAGTCCCATTGAGATTTGCGTATTCGATTGTCTTCATCCCTGCATCGGCCCAGTACAGTCTCTCGGTCTCGTAGTCAACTGCCAGGCCGTTGGGCCAGGTGAGATTGGAGGAAATGATGACTATCCGCTGAGATGCGTCCATCCCCGCACGTTCGATTTTTGGACTCGCTCCCCAGTCTGTCCAGTACATGTGCCTTCATTTGGAAAATGGAGTACAAAGAATTAGATTATACATGAAGCTGCCAAGTGATGCAAAATAATTATAAATTTGGCTGACCAACTCTCAAGTCCTTCAACGTCCGATCACGTTTGTTGCTGACTGAATTATAAAGTGAGACACACTAAAGAAACCTAGATCCAATTTAGGCTGGGATCAGGCATGGGTTTACTATATCCTGAGCAGGCAGAAAGCAGTTAAAAGCTGAACAGCAGTGAGAGCTCCGCAACCTGATAGTGAATAATAAACACAGAGGATTTGAGCTTACATTTACTGAATCATTAGATGAATGAAACACAAAATATACATTGTTTCATAAGTAACAAATCCATAAGAGCTATGATCTGAAATGCTCTGCTTCTCAACAGCTTAATGATCAAGACTGGTTGTTAATTTCAAATGAACACACCCTCCGAGAGGATCCACCACAATGTCCCTGGGTCTGTCTAGGTTTTCCCAGATGAGGACTGTGCGCATACTGCCATCTAAATTCGAGGCCTCAATTCTGTCTGTACCTGAAAGAAATGGAAAGTGAAAGGATAATGATTGGAATTTGTAAAACATAGATAATATCTTGTGTGGTGTAGATGGCACAGCAAACTGGTTCTGGCAAGGATTCACAACCCACAATTGACCGTTTCACAATTGACACCTCTTAGCAAACGGCTACAAACTCATTTTGAAAATAAAATTACGTGACTGATTATCCGATCTATTAAGGCTTTATTCAGTGTTTGTATATTTGCTCTGCATTAACGCACACTTTAATCATATCATTCAAAGTATTGTTACCTGCATCTGTCCAGTAGAGTTTGTTTGTTATCCAGTCAATGGCTAAGCCTGCAGGACTCTCCAGGCTACTGTCCACCACAGTCTGAAAGAAAATTAATAGAAATGACTGTCAGATGGAGAGCAGTGAACTACAACATTGACCCAAGCAACTTTACAGCACAGGTCATTCGAGCCATGATGCTTGTGCTGGCTCTTTGAAAGAGCAATCCATTCAGTCTCATACCCCTTTAAATTACTCCCTTTTCGATATCTAATTCCCTTTTGAAAGCAAAAATGGATTCTGCGTTAACCACTGCTCCCCGGCTGGGCATTCCACACCTCAACAACTCTCTGGGTAAACAAATTCCTTCTAACCTCTGTTATTCTCAAATCAATGCCCTCCAGTCACTGACTCACTGAACAGGGAACATCATTTCTCTGCATTGACTCTAAAACCCCTCGCAATTTCAAAGATCCATTTCAGTGAAGCCACTCCTCTGGGTATAACCCTAGCAAATCTATGTTCCCATTCTCCGCTCTTTTAAGTTATTCTGTCTTTTGGCTTGTATTTCTTCAAATATACAGGATACATTTACATGGCTCTGGAAAAGGTTCTTCTTAAAAGCATTTTGCAACATTGCCCTAGGGTAAACTGTACTTTGTACAGTTTTGATTGAAAAGAAAGTGCCTTCCTTTATAATATTAACCTGTCTAAACTTTTCCAGTAGATAAAGTGACGTTTCTGAACTTGGGATAGGCCCAGGAACATACCTCCTGATTTGTTCCATCCCACTTAGCTCTGTTGATAGAGTCTGTAGTGACATCTGTCCAATAGATGTATTCGCCTTTGGCATCCCAGTCAAGTGCAACAGCACTGCGCACATCAGCCAGTGGAATAACATCATCAGACCTGTCCTCTGTGTCAAAGCTGATGCGACGGATGTCCGTCCTTCGAGCAAAAAGCAGGAACTTGTCAAGACCTGATCAAAGGCCGAAAGGTCTCTTGTCACTGCTAAGTTCAAGAAAATCACATACGACTTCTTCTAAAAACGTAACAATTTACACAGCTTCACAATCACATGCCATCAGTGCATCATTTTACGCCCAGTGTCAATACTGACACTCAGGTGAGTATCCATGTTGTTCTTCCTCGCAAATGCACGTGCACCAATTTGAGCGGCTAATGCGGCTGTACTAAATCTTATCCCAAATGCATCGCAACGCCTTCCACTTGAGACCGCTCCCAGTATTTAGAATGTCATGCCGCAATAATGTTATGTTGAATAATTCATTCAACACACTGTGACTTCATGAGATTATAGATTGAGTTATTAAGCGTAATTAAGTTAACATGGACAACCTACGCCAACATACTTTGCGAAATCATCAATTTGATTTACAATCAATTTCCTATGGTGTAAATTAGGTTTTTCCAGTCAAACCGGCTCATCAATATTATAGGAAATATTCCCCTTACATTATCTAAAATTCCCAACTTTTTTTTATACTGTACTACTACAAAGATAGTAAGTTCAAATGTAAACCGCACATTGTGATTAGATATGCTTTTGTTTTCATTATTCTCAGTCTTGGGCTTTCTGTTTTAAACTACAGAGAACAAACTGATTTGGTTCAGACTTGCTTTTTTCTTAAACAATTCACCCCTTTATCGGTTTAAAAATATCTATATTGCAACAGTTTGGCCTCTGTACCATCACAAATTCCCAGGATCAGCAGGAAGTAAGAAATTTCTGGTTTCTGGTCACAGCAAGTAATCGGGACTCTTAATTGTTTTTTTGAAAATAACTACGGCATGTAGCAATAGCACATCACCACAGTATCAACCACACTATACAAAACCCAGCAAAGCATTGAGAGCCTTTACCACATTGTGGAATTTGCATTTAAATTGATTGACCAAATTGACCAAAACTCAGAACAGAAAAATACTGTATTTGTGTTGGTAAATTATTGGTTGGACTTTTTAAATTGACTCTTCTGATCTGATGTATAGCACGTAAAGGCAAGGCTTTTGGGGCTGGCTTATGGGTTTTGGAGGGGCAATGGTTTAATTGTAACATGTGCCTGAGATTCTCCAAGCACGGAGTTCACAACCTCAGCCATGTACTGGCGGTACCTCCTGAGGAGAGGCTACAGGGATAGGGAGAAGGTCCTCTGCCTCAATCCCATACCAAGCCATTCTCCAGCAGTTCACAGTGAGCCTGGAGGACAAGAGGGTGCAGCACGCTTTCTCCCCCTTCTTGCTGGGCACAAAAAAAGGGATTAAAAATTATTTTATAAAAACAATTAAAAAAAACAAGAAAAACGTGACATTGTTCAGTTTGGAGAGGTGAAATTCTTCCTCTACATATGAAGAAAGATAATAGTGTTTTTTTTAGGCTCTTTAATTCTGCCTGCCTGCCTGCCTGCCAGGTGCGAAGTGGAACAATCACACAGCGCACATGCTTTTACTTACTTCCGGCACAGCTGTGTGCGTCGACCTTCTTGAAGCCGGTTGGACAAGCACAGGTATAGTTGGTGTTGCTGGGAAGACAAAGATGGCTGCAACCTCCGTTATTCAGCCCACAGTGGTTTGTCCCTGCTCAAATAGCAAACAGTACAACACGCAGCATAAGTATTGGCAACACAAACAGTACTTAAGACATTCGATACAAGCCTTATAGTGTCTCAACAGTGCATCAAGGAATATGTGGGCTGGAAAGTGGTCTGACTATACTTTTGTGGGCGAACGAGGCAGCCAATAAATAATGGCCCACAAACAGCTGTGAAGTGAGTGGCCAATCATTCGGATAAACCTTGGAAACCTTGAGTATATATATATATATATATATATAGATAAATAACTTTTCTTGAATGAGTCCACAGTGGTGGTAGCCCAGGTAAAAGATTGCATTAATTCTGGAGCACGGGCAGGACCGACTCCGGTAACATGGTGCTGGGATTCGACTATGCTCTGATCAGCTGCTTTTCTGTTCTATTAGGAATCAACCTCAGTGGACTTTACAAGAAAGCCTTTGTGCATCAGCAAATGTTTTGATAATCTTAATGGATATGCTCGGAACGCCTGCAGCTGCATCATACAAGAGTCAGCGAGTCAGTCACATCAAAATTTTGCAACTATCACTGTCCATATTTTAAAGCTGAGTAAACCTTCCTGTGTGTACTTTAAAAAAAATTAAACAGCGGATTTTGTTTGGATAACTCAGGCTCTGAAGTAATTTGTTTCCAGTGCAGTATTAGTTTTATTTTACACATTGGTGGCAGCGTTCCCACCAAGTTAGATTAATTATTGCTGCAGGACTGTGCTGATGGTCTTCTTATTGGACTAAAGTAACCCTTCCTCTCGGTGGAAGAAAATGATTTGTTTTTGGGTAGTACAACATGTACAGTAAATCATGCACGTTAATAGGTTGTTATTGCTGCTGGAGAGAGAGAGAGAGCTCGAAGTTGAGTTTTATTACGATTCGCCAAGTTCCTCAGGTAATAGTTACAGTAAAGTTAGTTCTTGTGTGTTTGGATGAGTTTGTTTGTAAATCCAGCAGGTGGCAATAGTTAGTTGAGATTTTTTTGGTGACAATCCACAATCAACGTTTCATTTCTGACTGAGGACACTCTGATGGAATCACTGGGACAAGCAAAACCTTAATAGTGAATAGACCTGGAGTAATTTCCCATTCACTGAGTGAAGTTACCTCAGAGTCTGGGTGGGGGTAGTGGGGGGAATTGGGAGCGAAGGGATTTCCACTGGTCAGTAAAATAACTGGGCAGTCTCTGAGTTAGAGCACTACTGATGGGGAATTCCAATTTCATTTAATCTTCTGATAGCAGTTACCTGAAGATTAAAGAAGCAACTAGGCTCAAGCTACAGAAACATTATTAATGAGCACTTTCTCTTTGGACTTTTTTTCCTCCAGAGCTTTTCAGGTTCCTTGCTGGATTTGATCAAATAGGTGAATACTGCACATCTTTCATATAGCTATTAATTAATGCCCATTATTGCATTAGATAATGAAGGATAATGTTAAATGGTAATCATGTTCTTACCTGCTGGTTGTCTCTGTGGATGGAGTGTGTGAATGTCCATTGGAAAATGTAGCTTATTCCGGATAATCTCTTGATTTTTCCCAGTAAATTTGTTGGCACTATTTATGCTTTTTGTGTGCCAGTCTGTCCAGTACAGACTGTCTTCAAACACAGTGATGGCAAAAGGATGAGGAAGGCCTGAAATTTAAAGATCAAATATTAAATTGCCACAGGGCCTTCCAAAGACAATATAATCAACTGTAGAAGCTCTACAACATTGCACTTAATGTTTGTCCAGTGATATATGAACTCTTGAGTAAGAAGTCAATTGAAACCTCAAACCATTTAACTCAGTGGCTACTGAACTTCCAAGTTTGCTCAAAATATAGGTACATTATTTCACCATAGCGACAGAGTTACTCAATTGGCACCACAACCTCCCGACCAAACTGGTTTATCAGGGAAAGACCCCACTGTTCTGTGGTGATAACGTTTTCTCCCCCACTATAAATCGAGGCAAAACTCGGATTATGCTAGCAATATATTCATTCAGAACCTGCTGTGTTAGAGAGGGGAAAATTAACCAAGGTTCCAACTTCTGATCACCATCCAGTGATCCTGGCTGCATAGTGCTTGCGTGCTATTGTCATGAGGCCAGGATTGGATGGGTTCTAATGTCTACAGTCAAACAGTCTGATCACTGTCAAAGCTCAAGCATGAAGATTATTTTAATTACTGGAGAGCAGCCAGCATCCTTGGACTCAAATCCCAGCTTTCCATTCAGAGACAAGATTGCTGCCAATTGATCCCGGTGTCCCTTTCAAGAGTTATTTATGTCTAGGTGAAATTTTGGTTCCACAACTGGTGTTGGTGTGACATGAGGTAACTGAAAAGGCTGGATTACTTTCATCTGGTCCAGATTATTCTGGAAGCATCAGAACTGCCAGATGGTGGAGCTCATGGTAGACTGAACAACAGCCCCGCTCAGCACATTAGGAATATCTGCAAAATAGACTGGTTGGACTTAAATCTTCAGAAAAGTTGCATAATTGGAATTTGGTTTTACCTAACCTCACCCGGCTGTTCATGATTCTACCAGTTGTATATATCATGACATCTGGATTCCTTGCAGTTGATGCTTTCAACAAGCAAATCACCTGCATGTAACTCAAAATTTGCATTCAAACAAACCCACATCACAGGCATTGTGCACTACAGATCATTCACCAGCTATTTGTTTATAAGGACATCTGTCAAGATGGAAATAACAGGCTCACAAAAATAAAAGGAGGGTAAGGGAGGTGGAGGAGCTCAAATATTGATGTCGAAGATTGGAAAAGAATGTCCTTGTGCATGAAAGGAAAAAAATGTTTCCCAATATTTATACGTCTCTCTGAAGTCTACAGAGGCATTTTCCATGGATATCTTTCAGCTCCAGGTGCATTGCAAAGGAATGGCTCAACCGATTGGTTGAATTGTATCAATAAAATTCTCCTGGAGGAGAAATTGGTCATTTTCCAACAGGTCACAGCTACAGTGCATCTCTGTTATAACACCCTGGTGTCTCATTGACACCTGCTAACTGGAGGTGTGGCAATAGAAGAACCTAGAGTCTCTTCCGTGCTCTGAACCTATGAAAATAGGGTTGGGAGATGTGTCCATCATGAGGGCAAGGAACAAAGACATAAATAACTCTTGAAAGGGACAATAGTGCCTTGTGTTTGTTTGGGTACTATACACTCCTTCATCTCACCGAGGCAGCCCAGTCATCTGATACAAAGCCAGTCTTTTTATGAACAGAATGGAAAGTGTATCTTGTATATACTACACAAATAATGGATCATCACCCGCATCTTGCATATAGGCTTCTCATTGACTTGTAGTCAGTAATAAATGGCCCTCTACACAATTTCACACAAACTGGTCTCAAACCAACTCAGAATCAGATACATGTCTGCAGGCTACCCCTGACCTGGTTCTCTCTCTCTCTCTCTGTGTAAACATAAATCTAACCAAATGTTTATCCAGATGGCTGTAGCCACCAGCCAAAGTTTCTCCAACAACACTATTATGACAGTGTGCGCTTCGGCTCGCAGCAGGGGAGAGTTGACGCTGCCCAGCTTGTCCCATTTCTAATGATACATTTGGAGGTTGCTCCCAAGCTGTGGCTGTGGAGGAGGTGACACCCTGAGAAGCTGCCCTTCACGCAGAGCGAGCTGTAGGGAAATGATCCGGCACCATCTGGGACAAAGCGGAGGTGGGTGTGAGAAAACACAAGCGTGGTAGCTCAGTGCAAATTATTCATCCACACACTGCAGAAAGATTACAATGAAGGAATGGTTTAAAACACTCCTGACACACCAGTTGCTAGAAATGTCATAGAATTTTGGGGAGGGGGTGTGGATGGGTGGGGGGTTAGACTGGTTGGTTGAAGTAAACAACTAAGAAAGGAGGTTGCAGAGACTGTATTTTGTTCCAAAATGAAACAAATTACTCCTAGAATTGTACAGCAGTGGCTTCCACTTTTTTTGAAATGTTGGGTGAGCTATATTTAGTGCGTCAATAATTTTAGCACCGCACTAAAATATTTGTCACCCACAAAATGCATGTTGTGCCACAATCATTTACATATATTTCATCGACTTGGACAAGGTCAGTGTTTCAGGGTCAGAGACAATACGTACAGGTCGATGCACTCACTATTACTCTGGTTCCTAGAGAAGTTACCAAGTCAGCTATTTCTTCTATTACCTGAGCTGTACCATTATAGCTTACCTATTTGAAAGAAAACGAGCTGATTTTCAAGTATAACTTTGCAATTCCCGTGAGACAATTGAAAATAAATCAGTTCTCCAATATTTTGAAAGAATAGTGATCCAGCATTCCAGTAAGACACTCTAACATAGATTGTTATAATATAAAAGACACAAAATCTATTGAATAAAAATCATCCTTTTATGTGAACATAACAAAGATTCACCGCTATAGCAGTAAAATGATAAATTACACACCTTGGCTTATCACTGCTTTTCTGTTCTGTCCATCAAGATCAGCACGTTCAATCACATGGTGTTTGGCATCCACCCAATACATCTTTTGTCCTGCGTAATCGATGGTAAGTCCATTAGGCCAGAAGAGATGGGTATCTGCTATGATTCTGCGGTTAGATCCATCCATGGCTGCATACTCAATCCGAGGTGTGTTACCCCAATCTGTCCAATAGATAGTCCTGTAAAAAGAGGCAAAATACCAAACAAATAAAATACCAAATGATGGAAATATCAAGAGTTTAAATGAAAGTGATTGACAAATCGGAAAAGTAACAGAATGCACCAGGATAAGCGATAATTACTCGTAGATCTAAATAAACTGAACCGAAACTCGGGATTAAGCTACAACGGGAAATAAAATGATGTACAGCTTGTCACGACTGACGCAAAAACTGGTTTAAACATTTACCACAAATAAGTTGAACATGACAATACATTGATAAAGTTTCAACTTTAAAAAAATCTCCTGGAAAAACTGAAAACCGCTCTAAACAATGCATCCTTCGTTAGGGAGTGCTGTCAAAATTATCAGCGGCAAATATAATTTATAACTGTAATTAGTAGCAAGTTGAAGGTACAGCACACATCAGGAAAAATGTTGCCTTTTTTTGCTTTCAATATCATGGGTCCATACATTTCAATGGGACAAAGTACAACTGATTTTACAAAAGAGAAAACAGTAATTCAACACAATTATTATAAACCCAAATTGCTTTAGGCCGCAGTTCATTTCACTTTTGAGAGGAGCTGAATTTCATTTCATCTGTAAGTGCGTTTCAGCAGCTTTATTAAATGAATAATTTGCCTCATGTTTTTGCACAAATTAACCTTCTCTCCCTGAAAAGTATCACTCACTCAGGTGTTCCTGAATGTCCAGAAGCATTTGCTTTCACACAGTTTGTACTTGTATTTCAAATGCACAGAGTTATATTTGGCATCCACCCAATCCACACTTACACCCACCCAAGAGCAGGATGAACCTAGTGATGAGGATGACTGCAACAACAGCTTGCATTTATAAAGCACCTTTCACGTTGGATGAAGGAAACAAATTAACCAACACAACTGAAGTTGGATTAAGAACCAGAAGCTGGAAAATTAGGATAATGAGCACAAAACGGGACAGCTGAGACAAGAGACCAATGCTGGGCTGGGCTAATGGCACAAGCAGGCCAGCTGCAGGAGCTATTTAAAATCCTGCACCGCACACGCACAGCCCAATAAAAAGGGCAGCTGAATCAGCAGGATTCAACTGCAAAAATATCAAACTCCCAAAAGTCGGAAGAATTAAGTAAAACACCCAAAAAAAAAAGACGTGCAGTTAGGTTATGGGTTCCAAAGCAGATACCAAACCAGATAACCTCGGCTGGTATGCATGGCTGAGCAGACTCGCTTAATTACATACATCTGTGGATTTAGCTGGGACACAGCGACACTGCAACTTAAGTCTGCAACATCAAAGGCTTCCTTCAATTTGCTGTGCATGAAGCAGGTCCCAAATGACAGGGTGTAACATGTCGAGGCAACCCTTGGGATTGAAGTATGTTTGAAAACAATGAGCCACTAAAAAAAAGCTGCGGACTATAACAGGCTTGAGGTTTCAATCTGTTACTAATTTGCAGTATTTCTTAAGACCCAATTTTGCTTGAAGAACAGCCTTGTGATGCTAAATACATCCAACCACTCACAACAACAACAAAATTACATTTGTATAGCTCCTTTCACATCGGGAGGACGTCTCAAGGCCCTCTTAGCACACCGACAGGATGTATAGGTGCTATATCTGACTCTCACTGGATTCATACATTATCAGTAGCTCACCCCTCCATTGGATGTAGTGCTATGGCTCGAGGTTTCTCCAGGTTCTGCCATAGAAGCACTTTTCTCTGTGTCCCATCCAGATTTGCGACCTCAATACGTGAGGTGCCAGAATCTGTCCAGTACAACTTATCATGGATCCAGTCAATGGCCAGCCCACCTGACAAGGAAAGATTTAATTTGCGCGCATTAATAATAATAATAATCCTTGCATTTGATATAACTTCTTAAAACCAGAAGGAAGCATTTGATGGACAATTATAAAATCTTTCCTTACTCTGAGCAAAAATCGCAGCACCTCTTGTAAATTTCCCAAATACAAGAAAAAACACTCAACTTTGTATTTATATTAGACAAGAATTTAAAACTTTTTGCAACTCTTCGAGTTTCGGATTTCATTAACACTCAGAATTCCCCTCTTCTCTTTGCCTTCTTTCTGAGCCTTGCTAGAATTTTATTGTTACTCCTGCCTCATCTGTGTTGGTTTTATTTTTCGCTGCTGCTCATTAACAGCATTCCACACTCTGTTAATGGCCCATTAGACTGTCTCCTGACTTCATATTTTTTATATATTTCCTCCGATTTTTTTTCTTTACTTCCCAACCTCCAAGGCTATGTGGTGGAGCCCCAACCCACACTTTGAGTCCTGATTAAGGTTTATAATAATCCTTACATTTGACATATTATCACGTCGTGAAAATGTCTCAAAGTATTTCACAAGATTTACTGGGAGTTGTGGAATTTTTAGGCCAATGTGGCAGCTGCTTTTTGCACAGGAATGATCCACAGACCTTCACAAAGTGAATGACCAATTTTATCTGGGGGATTTCTGACGAGGAGATTGGAAGAAACTCACTTCTCTTTCCGAAAAATGCTATAAAATCTTTAACATCCACCAAAATGGGCAATTAGGACCTCAGTTAAAGTCCTGAAGAACAACACCTCAGAAAATGCAACGCTCCCTTGCAGGCTAGACACTGAATTGGGGCTTAACCCATAACCTTTTAACTCAGAGGCGAGACTACTACCAACTGAGCCAAGCTGACACTTTATGCCCAAAATGTTAACCTAGCTTTCATTTTTTAAAAAATACTGATTAACCTCAGACGGTTTTCCAATATTTCTGTTTTAATTTCAAATTAACTGGAATTCTGTCCTACAGCTAAGCTTTACCCATAAGACGCATCTCAAGTTGGAAGTGCACCAAACAGACAGGACAAAATAGTCTCTTACTGATGCATCACCCTTTCTCGTTATCCAACCAGATGGTGAAAATGTGAACTAAAGGTAATGCCTTTTTTGAAATGAACACTGCACTGCAGCTCTGAGGTTTGTTTATAGGACCATCAGTACCTGGGCTCTCGAGACCAGTCGATACCACCTCCTCCACGTTGCTCCCATTTAAGTTGGCTTTCATAATGCGGTCTAACGTCACGTCTGACCAGAAAACCAACTCCATGTTGTGATGGAAATCCAGAGCGATGGCATTCTCCAGGTTGTTGAGGAGAAGTGTGTATTCTGATCGGCGGGGCAGTACCTGTCGGATGTCAATCCTGTTTGCAAACAGCAGCACCGGCTCCGGTCCTTAAAAACAAAATGAAGCAATTTTCTTTTAAAATAACCTAAGATTCCTAGAAGAGGATTTCCACTGCCCTTCTCTCTTAAGCTTTTCTACCTCAGAAAACTACAGTAAACTCAAATTTATTGAGCAGTATTCTCGCCCCATTCTATGTAACTTGTTAATCCCATCCTCCCCCACCTCCCCCGAGTTGATTGGCTTAGTTGTCAACCTCAATTCCTTTTACCTTACAGGGTATACGTGTCTCGTTTTTCTTTGTTGCTCAGCAACAACCAAGCTACCATGTGAATTTGATGCTAATAGATGCATCCTTATCAAATTGCTTTAGCTGTAAACTCAGAATCCCCGTTATGTTTAAATACAAATCATAATTATTATTATTATCATCATACAGCGGCATTCTGATCACATTGACACCACTGTCACTGGTCTTGACTTGTATTACTGCCGATCTGAAGCACTGCGGTCAGGTCAGACTCTGACAGCAATGCTGTGATCTTTATGCAAAAAGAATTACAGGAAGGTGCTTTATTGGAGGGTTTGTACAATTGGTTTCTACCACTTCCTTCTGCCCGAAGAAGTACAGATGAGTGTTAAAGGCTAGTGTTAAAGGCTGGTGCCCTTCTCTTTAACATCCATTTGAACAGGCAGATGGGACCTCAGTTTAACATCGCATCTAAAGGATGCCACCTCCAACAATGCAGCGCACCCACAGCACTGCATTCAGCTCTTATGCTCTGCTCACAAACAGACTGAGGGTATGCAAATAGCCTCATCACCTTTCCTTGACATGAACACCACATTTAGGCTGCAAGCATTGGCAGAACGATTACAATTGTGTGCATGGTCAGATATCGCTTTCAGCGTGAGGCTTCTTTAATTAATCTGCAGTGTGGCCTGCAGCAGAAACACTTGAGCAGCCAACGTCAGAACTCCAGCGACAGGAATAGAAAAACAAACTAAATTAACGGGAGAAAATTTACGAAAGTGAACCCGAGGTGAATGAAACAAGGAAGCCGAAGGAAAGAATATTAAATGAGGGAGAGTCGCGTGAAAATACACAAAAGGAAGGCTGAAGGGACCACAAGTATCAATGACACGGTCAAAAAAAAACTCAAAATGGCAAATATATAAAATGGAAAATAAAAGAAGTAAAATCGCACGACAACAAAACAAACGAAAGGTTAGAAAAATAATCTGCATAGTCAAACTCATTTGCGACTTCCGATCGAAGCACAATTAAAATGCGATAATCTGGTACAATCACTTAATGTTGTTAATTGATGACTAGAGGGCACTTGCGAAATATGAAAGCACACATCAAAGCATCAATAAATACAGTGAAGTCAAAAGGCTAATAGTTTCTTTTTAATGTGAATCGATAAGTCAATAAAGTGGAGTACGGCTATCCCCACTGGAACTGGATTGGAATAATGCAACTTGATTTCACGCAGGACCGTTAACCCTTTGAATGCAAGGGAGTCTGGAGATTCTACAGATTTATATCCCGCTAATCCATTCTATAATTCTCTACGAGTACATGCTTTAAGACATCGGGGGTCAACCTTTTGTAAGAATAATTTAGAGGGATTGAGGTGCACATACCCAATGCTTTGCAGCCCCGTTTGTCAGGGCGGAGTTCATAGCCCTGAACACACCAGCATTGGAATCCTCCCTCTGTATTGGTGCAGCCTTGACTGCAGTATCCATCCTCCGCACATTCATTGACATCTACAAGACAATTTACCACATTTTGATCATTGTGACATTTATGTAGAAGGAAGGCCAACTCTTATGCCCTTTCACATCTCATGCATCCCTGTGTAAACTTCCCAGATCATCAGGAGATTCCTGTCCACCCACCCTCTATGCTGAATGCAAGATACCAACTTAGCTCAGTCAGTATCCTGCAAATTATCACTCAAATACTACCTAGTACCCTAATTCAATGCTGCCGGAATTTGGTGTCTAATATTCGTTAGTGTGTGTGTGTGTGTGGGGGGGGGGGGGGGGTCGAAGTGAAGGGTATTTAGGGATTGTTAAGGAATAGCTCTATATCTGCAATATTTTATAATTATCACATTTTCCACATTATAAATGCTATAAATCTCATCGCAGAGCTATATTCCCTGGGGAAAACATGGCATCCTACAAAGCACGAGACAAACGGCATTCCGAGGGTAAACAAGATTTGGAATTCCATATCAACCAGGTGCAACCTTTCACTTCCGCCCAATACCACCCGGCTTTGTGGACTCGGCTAACTATTTGTACTAAGACATTCCACATTGTAAAATAACCCGCGTTGCCGAGGGAAATACCCAGTCTTGATTTATTCCTACACTATCAAGGAAACGTAATGATTTTAAGGAGTCCCACCTTGACAAAACTTTCCGTTCTCGGATAATCGGTAGCCTGTGTGGCACGTGCATTGAATAAGGCCTCGAAACTGCTGACACTTGTGAGCGCATCCGCCATTGTTCACATTGCAGTTTTCGTCTTCGTTGCGTGCACCTATGTTTGAAAGGACAGTGATTAGACTTGGTTCGAGTCAACTGCACAATGATTTTTGTTTTTTGTTCATCCTGAAAATCAATTGGGGGCAATGCATTTAGCTGGTACTGTGCTGTAAACACCGTGTGTGCAGATATTTTGAATTAGAATGCATTAATGTTCTAACTTACGGCAGTTTTGGTGTGGGCTTTCGTCACTGCCATCTTCACAATCATTGACACTATTGCAGACTTTGCGTTGACCAATGCAACGTCCGTTGCCACATGTGAACTGATCTGGAGCACAGTGCGGGGTTTCTGTGTTGGGAATAGGAAGATTAGCATCCCCCAAGTCATTTCAGCCAACAGCACTCAACAAGCTGACACACTCATTTATTATCCTGTGCTCTCACTAGCAAAGATGACTCAACAGTTACTATGGACATAAAGCAAAGTGCACATGGAAATGATAAATTAGGGCAATTTAATGGAGTGGTTTAATTTAACCATTTAAAGGAAATTAGGATAAATTTGTAGACGAAAAAAATTTCTTCAAAAGTCTTATCCTTCAAAGTGATTAAAGTGGCATTTTACTCAGCAATCATCATCGCTTTCTGCCTGTGTCATTATGCAAATCAATGACATTCCCGGAGAGCTCCCATTATCACCTGTCTTCTCACAGTCTTCTTCATCGCTATTATCGGAGCAATCATCCTCTCCATCGCATCGCCATGACAGCCGCACACATCGGCCAGACTTGCAGCGAAACTGGTCTGTGGTGCACTGCGAAGTGGCTGCACAATAAAGATAAGCACTTTCAGTGTTTCCGCTAACGTACGAGAAACAGAATCCATTATATTATTTGGGAGCTTGTGATCAATTTCCCCCCCTTTTTTGGGGGCAAACAAAGAGAGGCTTACTGCAATTTTTCTCATCAGACTGGTCGTCGCAGTCAAAATCACCATCACACCTCCAGCCAGCATTGATACACAGCCCACTGTTACATAGAAATTCACCCGATCTACATGGGTGATGTGATGCTATATAAAAAAAAATCAGGGAAACAGAATTAGTATACATTGTACACATAATGGGTTAATCGTCTATTTCATTGCTTTTTTAAAAAAAGAGTAAATCTGTAACTTTAACATTCTGATTTGAACATAACTTTATAACATTCTCAAACTTACAAAAATTAAACATAATTTTATGATTTTATCATTTGAACAATTCCCCAGATTTTAGTCAGTACTTTCAGGGCAGAAAAGAGTTGTTGAGATATTCATTTACAGATGTCCAGGTATTCAGGCATATGATACTAATAATGCCAGGTGTTAAGGTATTGATGCTTAGCAGGAAAAACATTACCACACAAGCAGAAATTCAGGTGCAGAAATGCATGAATGCCCGATTTCTGTTTTCTGTTCACCTTACACATCGGCAAACTAATTTGTGTCATTTCCACGAACATAACATCAGTTTCAATGTCCACATATCAAATACTCAAACAAGTGACAAAAGCACAAGATAAATTACAGCTGATGCGCGAAACATGTCGGCAGTACTCAAACAATGCGCCATTTGGCAGGGCACGAGCTCTGCACCATGGACTGACAGCCCCTCTTTCCCTGCACAGTCAGGTAAATGGTTCAGTCATGCCATCAGGAGATGGTGCCATTCGGAGGGGCTGCCAAGTAAAGTCTGGGAGGTTATAATAATAACAATCCTTGCATTTGATATAGTGCTTTTATCACGAATTCGAGACATTTCAAAGCGCTTCTCACAGAATATACTGTCAAGTGTAGTGACTGTATATTTTACCCACAGGAATGGAGACATAATAGGAGAGAAAGGCTTGAGCAACCATTCCTTTACAACTCTAAACACTCAGCTTGTAACATGGTGGAATTGGCAAGGGTCAGGGAACAGCTAATTGCCCATTTTCGGATACAGCAAAACTAAAATATTTACCTCTCCAAAAATGCATATGTGTACGTGTGTACATGTGCGTTGTGTGAGAGGGAGAGTGAGAGAGGGTAAGAGGAAGAGAGAGATAGAGAGAGAAATCTCTAATGTTGCACTGTCTTCTTATTGCACTATGTTGCGTAGAATACGTTCCAATTGGAGAAAAGAAGTTGTACTTCTTCAATAAACCCACAGGTTGTATCAGTCTGCACATCTATTTGAAGATTCTCCTATTCAGCATTACACCCATCAAAGTAAAATGTCTGCCTTTGAAGATACAGCAAAAACCAATAGGAACCGTTACTGAAAAAGTCCATTCATTTCCCCCTGGCCAGAACAGCAGATTCCAGAGGACCACAGAAAGATATCTCGACTGTTTTTTTGGCAAAAAAAATCTTAATAAATAAGACTATCTTTGATCCTGACTTCTATTTGGAACACATACAAGGAGGATTTGTTAACATCTTAGTTCTGGTGATACGTTCGCATTTCGACCTGCATAGTTTGTGTAAAACATTTGGGCCAGTGCCTTCTGAAGAGTGAAGTGCCCGTGAGTTCTTCCCCCATACGTGCTTTCCTAATGTGTATGTATCATTGTTTAATGAAGCCTCGTAAATACTAAATAGGTATGCTTTTGAGTGCAAAACGGCTGTTGCTATTTGAGAAATAAATATTGTTCTCAATCACTGATTTTAAAATGATCTCCAGCTGGAGAAGATAGCTGAATATTACAGAATGGCAATCTTGTAAACTGATTGCATTATGTGGATTAGGTTTCTATTTACTAAGCGATTAGGAGATGAGCGAGAATGAACTTCAAGTCTATATCAGAGGCATCAAGATGATAATGTGAATCTTAAGTGACGATCAAGGAGATCAAATGTTAAAACTCTCAAGAGCACGGAGCACCTTCCCAAGCACATCATATCTTGCAATTACACTTCACTTCCAAGTTACATATCTTCACAGATGTGTTCCGTCACCATCTTGAAACATTTTACTGCCACCGGTTTTTCTTTGCACATAGGAACACAAGAACACAGAACCAACCAATAAAGGCCATTGGGCTCTTTGAGCCTGTTCAAGGTCTTCTAATCTTATTTCCCTGCTTTGAACCCAAACCACTTAATAGTCTGTGTTCCCATGATATCTATCCATCGCATTGTAAACACCTGGGCAGTGCATTCCACATCATCACAATTTCTCTGCATCTTGCAATGGGGAGAAGGAATCTCATTATAAGCAAAAGTGTGTGCTCTCCAGGCAGGACAGGAAGGCAATCTTACCCAATAAATATATTGCCAATAACCGAGGAAATGGTTGGTTCATTACACGTTATAGGCAGATTAAATGCATGGTGACCTGGATGGTGCCCTTGGGTAAAACATCTGCACAGACAAGTAGGTGTCAGAAAGGAAAAGCAATGAGATCTAATAACACGTAGTATGAAAGAAGTATAAACGTGATCGGTGTGCAATATGGGTGGTGCGTAATGTGGCAGATGTATCATCTGAAACATGTAAAATACAATCAGTTTACAAGATTTGACAAGTCCATAAATAACTATCAAACCTCTGAAATGTAATGTCCAGAACATGATCTGGATGTTTTAAAAGTTATAAAAACAGGGTAGAGGATTATTTGGTATTAATTAGAACCTCTATATACTATAGTCAAACAGTTTCTGATAGTGTTTACAATCATTAGAGCCCTTTGTTCTATTGCAATCGGTACAGAATATGTAGTTTCTGTAAAACAAACAGCTGTTTAAAACCACAGGGCTAGGATTTTATGACTAATCACAGTTATTCACTGAAACTGCACTAAAACATTTTAGTTTCAAAGATACTGAACATTTCAGCCAACTGGGAGTTTTGCACCAAAAAAGCAAAGATTGCTTTCAATAAAATGCACATCAGTTTCATCTTAGTTTCTAAAATGAAACAAATTAATCTCCGTTTTTGCATAAAAGACTGAGTCAGAACCTGTTGCGAGAAAGCAAATGCAATTTTGGTTAGCTTTCTTTAAGATGGATTTGCTATCTCTGCACTTTCAGTAATCATATGGCTCAACAAGCAATGCAGTTATGGGACTGGTGTGCAATTAAAATAGCAAAACAGATCATCGGATGATCATTACCTCACTTTCTCATGACATAAAAGGGTGTGCAGTTCCACAAACTTCACCCTCCCTGAAATGGTGAGAGACAACTTTAAATCGAGATAAGAATAACATTTGAGGTTTTCTTTTTAACATTGCATCCCTATGGGACGGGGGGACTTCATATGGGACTGAAAGGATTGCTCTTAAAGAAGCCAGCACAGACCAGAGCCAGCACAGGCCAAATGGCCTTCTTCTGTGCCATAACGATAGTTCCAACAGGTTATAGATCCCCCCTCTTCTCCTTGGTTAACCCATCAGGAGAGAGAGCAATGCAGGAAATACCTCAATATTCACCTGAACATGCCTGCTCTCTTCCCTAAACAATTTTGTCGGCTCCAACCACACTTGCCCCTGGGTGTGATTACCAGTCTAGACTGGCATTGCTGTCAGGTTATCCACTCATTTTGGTTTTATCCTTAATCTTTGGTTGGCATTGAGTAAGCCTCACATGTTTGGGAGGAAACAAAGTGTTTTGAAGACTTGCGGAACAGATTAATATCAAGTTTCGCTGTTTAGTAGTGATTTGTTGGGCGTGTACCATTATTATCAAATCCCAAATAGCAAAGCTTAAAATTACAAGGACAATTTCCCCAAAATTCATGATTTTTTTTTGCCTCATAGAAAATAGCATTTTCTATTCAGGCTCCCTCCAAGCCAGGGAAAGCAGCTTCTAACATGTGGGAAACGTGGCAATTAGCAACCAAGTATGGGATGGCAGCCTCACAAAAGGGATACTGAACTAGCAGTGCTGTGCCAGACATTTCACCTCAAAGTAACCACACAAGTTGTCAGCATTTCATTCCCATTATGCATGAAATGAGTTTTGCAATGTGCTTTGTAGATATACTGGTTCGGTTTTGGAGACAACTTCTCCAGGTGATGTATTTTCTTTTGTTGTTGTTGCTTAGCCCCTGATGTTCCTGCCACCATCTGCAATGTGGTAGAGTGTCTGTCTGTGTGTGTGTAAATGGTAAAGTTTTCATTTCAAACACTTCAATTAGTCCAAAGAAAATCTCTGAATCTACCCTAATTAAATGTAGAAGATATCTGTGTACCATACATAATATTATTCTCCGCCCCATCACAAAGAAATTCTTCAAAATTTGGAACAATTATTGCATTTACCTTGAATTCACAGTTATCAGTCAAGTTTTACATGACAAAATATAAATGTATTTCCTTCGGATGCTAACAAAGTAAATAAATCTCCAAACTAGAGAATTAGAAAGCAATTAAAGAGAGTGATAAATGCGGCAGTAACTTACCACAGTCGGACTCATCTGACCAATCACCACAGTCATCATCCCCATCGCAGTGGTATATGTCAAGAATGCAGCGTCCGTATGCACACTGGAACTCCTCCACACTGCAAGTGGTGGCAGGAATATCAGAGGCTGAAGAACAACAAAGGAAATCATATCATCTGGAGAAGCAGTACCATTTCTCTGCGCAGATCATTCTCTGAAGTTGCAACGGTCAACTGATAATCCACAGCCTTCCAACTCAGCAAGATGCTACTAACCTAGCCTGGCTGACTTGGTAACCACAGCAGTACGCGAGAGCAGGTAGTGTGGACATTCGGTCTCTTTTGTTATGTACTGAATTGCGGAAAACTGGTATTGCTTACAGTGAACGGTAACACTGAGATAACGCCAAGGAGCCTAAATGGGTCATTTCAGAGACTTTTCCAATATACCGGGAACCTCCTTCACTCACTCAGACCACATTTACCATGTGCATTGCTGTTCCCTATTGCAACAGTCTACAAGCTAAACAAAATGGTCTTGTTGCCTTGTTACCTTATTCTTTGGCTCTGGGTGCAGCAATGTAAAGTTTATCTCCCACTGCCTTTGGCAGGGCTCAGGTACAATTTTATTGTGTGCCACAGGACCTGCCCATACAGGCTGTGGATATTTTGGGCAGATCTTTCCCTCATATCGAAGTGGTTTGTTAGGTAGAACACAAAGCCATAATTTGATCATCCCAAAAAACCGGCCCCATTTTGGGCACTGAGTAATGTCATCAAGCATTCCATGTCAGATAATAACAAGTAACATCCAGAGTAAGTCTCCTCAGCCCTCCCCCAACCATATGTTTCAATCCTAACCTTTAAGGAGCACTTTGTGACATTTCCATTCCCCACAAACAGCAAAATATACTTGTTGAACTTTTAAATTCTGCTGTCCAGGCTATTTACTTTCATTTCCTCCAATTTTTCATGTCACAAAACAAATTGTGGAATTCATTTTATTTGGATCTTTTCTTCTCGTTCTCAAAACGCTCCAAAAATTTTTTTTTGCTGACTGTGTAGGTGAAATAGGGGGAAAAAACAGTTAATAAAGTAATGTTACTGAATTTGACACTGGAAAATAGTTGCTTATTTGTTTACTTGGGAGTCAGAAATCCTTGTAGACTTGTCACTGAAGTAATTGTCTGTCTGCAGCAGATGGTTGCCATTAGGTTTTATGTCTTAGTCTATGTGCTAGACAACAGGAAATTCCAGAGTTAATTAATATTCTCAGATTTGACAAATCTTTTGTAAAGGAGACAGAATAATGATTGTTCGGGAAGATTTAAAATAAGATTGCTAAGATCATTTAAGCAAGGTCAATTTGTTTTTGTACAGAACTTCAGAAATAGACTTCATATCGGTGCAACCAACATTATTTATGGTCTTAAGAAAAATAATTGGATTTGTGATTCAATCACAAATTTGAAGAAAATCTGGGCGTTAGTCTAGTCTCCAGCTCCACTGAACCCAACAACAGGGTTTATGAAACGTGATGAATCTTCAAAATGATTTAATGATGCTGAGTTGTTCACAAAGAGTCTGCCCGGCCCTGGGATAATTTTACCCTAACAGGCTCTCCCCCCCCACACCCCTCTCCTGTACTGAAAGAATTTCACATCTCGCAGATAGCCCGACTATTCTCAGAGGCTCAGATTCAATCGTGTTTGGAATAGCAAGGAAATACTCTTGCAATGTACACTGCGCTAAATCCCACGAGAGTCCCATCACAGAGGTGAATCGAATTGTTTCAGAACCACTTGTTCTGGTCAGGGTCTGCACTTAACATTCCACGTCACTGTCACAGACAGTGCCTTCCACCGCTCTGCCTTGCAGGGAATGACTGTAAGCAGGTTTGACAGATGTTTGAAAGTGAGAACTTGTGTTACTTGGATTCTTTGAAGTTTTCTTTAAAAAAGCTACTGTTCCCATATGAGTCATTTCAAACAATTGACAGCTGCTTTGTATCAAAAGGAATGCATAAAATCCAATTCTAATAAAAACAGCTATTAACCTGCACATTTCCAAGATCTTAGTCCCAATATATCCCACCTGCATGCTATAAAGCAGAAAATTCGGTGCTTTCTCCTTTGATACAAAGGCTTTGAACTTGATATTTGCGTGGTTTGGACTTATTAGTTATCAGTGAAAACAGTGTAGCAAAAACAGATCCAGTTTGAGAAAACGGGAAATTGAGAAATACATTATTTTTATTTGCCCATTTTCTCCTCCTTCACTAACACTTGCTGGCAGCAGACCTCTGGAATCTTTATCAAAATGGACCTGATGATACATAGGAAATAATTCTTGCATTTGATTTATCGGCTATAACATTGAAACGGTTCAAAGTGAGTCACTGGAACTTTAATGTGTTAAAGCCTAGTGAGTATCTGAAGACTATTTGACAACAGACATCGCCTGATTCTGTTGTTTGTTACTGTGCCAGAGTTGGGCTGAGCTAAGATCTTTGCCCAGATAGTGCCTCATTCAAAGGAACAGTAGGTGTGGATTCTGTCACGAATGAGCTAAATTTTCTTTCAAACCCCCAATCAAAGTTGTGTAAGATGAAGTTCCTTCATTCTGGATGGAAGAGCTAGCAAGTCATATGTGATCCGGACAGTAAGTTTTGGCAGGTGATTCAACCATGGAAAACATCATGGCCAATCCTGACTTTTATGCTTGCCTTACATCCACACATGCACACTTCCCAGTAGTGTAGACTAGATACTGATCAGGAATGGATACGGACTCATTTCCCTGTTTATCTTGTTGAGATCAGCTAACTTAGCCCTGGGTTGAGCTCACACCTGCAACCTTCTGTTCTCTGCACTGACGTGGGTGGTTGGTTCCTGTACCCACCAGGCTATTAGGGCACTTGCAATTCCAGCTTTTATCTCCAGCTAAAAATATCTTAAACTCAACTCGCTCAATAATTCAAAACCTCTTTGATTTCTTTAACAACCAATAGAGAAGAATGTTGCCTGGAGGTCCCATTAATATTCAAAATCAAAAAAGAGTGTTTAATTGCAGAGGGTTTTTTTGAGCCAATTTTTGCTTCACTAATCTTCTCCCAGCCCTTCTTTCCTGAAGCATTAACTCTTCAAGAGGGTGCAGTACATGTTTTTTGGTAGCTCTTGCTCAAGAGTGATATGACTGATGGGTTAACATTGGGAATGGTGTGGGGGGGGTGGGTGGGGGCGGCGAGTAGAGGAAGAGACCTTCAACAGTGAAAGGTTGAGAGGGAGTGAAGGCCAGCAACCCTGAGGAATCACAGCTGAGTCCACTCCTGCCACAAACCAACATACAATTGCTCCTATTAAGGATGCATCATTATATATACCCTGTTATAACGCCCTTCAATATAGCACTGTTATTATCCAGTTATGGCAAGTGGGTTTGGTTGTGCAGCTGGTGGCATTCTGCACAGTGCACTCCAGTGACAGCTTAGACCCAGAAACCATGACCACTTTAGCTGTTTGCTGCCTCTTTTGTACCACAGGTTAAATGTTTCTGGATCCAAACAACAAGATTGTAGCAGGATTGCCCTGTATGTGGACTAAGCCACCGGTTTAAGGTGGCCAAGATGCCATGTCGTAAACCTACCTTAATGAAGAAATTTATATTTTTTAGAGCATGCCAATGCAAAATAGACCCATGGTGCCCTTCACTATTCACTGGTTTAGACAAAACAGCAGATTGTTTGTGGAATCTGTTCAAGATAGCTATACTTCGTCTGCTTCACTTCATTACGTGTCTTATTGACTGACATGCATTGGATTTTCGCTGAATGGACCATAAAAGCTCTGGAATCTCATTTAATTTACATCAATTAGTAATTATTCATGCTATCTACAATACGATTTTCCCAGAATTGAATTCATTGTTATAGTCCCAGCCAGCCAAGATGAATGAGTTTTTCCTGCTGTACTTTAAAAACAAACTAGTTTTAAAATAATCCAACACGGGAATAATTTTTAATAGTTGCATGCCTTTGCTCACTATCTGTCGAAAAGTGCCTTTATCTCTTAAGATCAAAGGAATGCTTTATTCTGCTCAAAGCATCTGAGAGCCAATGACTTTGACTTCCCTCTCCTTTGAAGTCCTTATTAGCCTGAACTCCTGATAAGACAGTTAAAAGCATCTGATGCAATTTATTTATTCTCTGCATTCGGTAGAAAGTCTGCATTTTCACATCTCCTCAAAAATATCACTTTTCTACAGCAGATTTAGTGTACTGTATCTATACTATATTATATGAAGACGAGGAGGTGAATCCATTCGGAGGCATCTGCAACCCACTTCACATTGAATTTTGCATATTTACATGGAGAATGAAATGTGAACAAGAATTTATTGCTTGGGAGCTAGAAAAAAGAGCTAGAAATTGTGAACTTGACACTGATTCCATTTTGGAGATGGAGAGAAAATCTGTATGTTTAACCACCCACACCCGAACACACTACTATTTTGTGCTTCCAGTTTCTCAAGTCCTCAATGGCCACAAAAGCTACCTAAAAATGGTTCCGTTTAAACAATGCCAAATTTCTCTGTCTATTGGAAAAAAATACATCACCATTTACATGATTTGCCCTTAGGTAATAATAATAATAATCCCTGCATTTGATATAGCGCTTTTTACGTCTTCTAGACGTCCCAAAGCGCTTCACAGAATATACTGTAAAGTGAATTGACTGTATATTTGTGGATGAACGCAGCAGCCAATTGCGCACAGCAATGTCCCACAAACAGTCATGGATTGAAAATGACCAATTTATTATTGTTTTGTTTTGTTGGAGGGATTATTATTAGGCTCTGTGTGGAGTAAGGAAACGTGCCCAAGGTTTCGCCCTCTGCCTGGAATTGAACTCAGGTCTCTCACTTGCAAAGCGAGTGCTCTAACCACTGAGCTACAGTAGGACTCCACGGTAGACATTTTCTCTAAATTAAAGCATTTACAAACTGTAATTAATCCCAAGTGAAATCCATCACGCCCTCCAAAAAAATCATTAGCTAATCTTCAATAGAAAAAGTGGGCCTTTGAAATATTCTTTTCTCTGGTGAGATTCATTCATGCCATTGTAAAAAAATGTCTGGGCCTAACAATTGAGACTATTGTCACTTAAACACTCCAGAACAAAACATTAACTGATCAATATGTATTTTCTACATTAAATATACTATATATATTTATTCTACACACTCGCTCTCTATATATATAATATATTACAGTGACTACCACAATTTATTCCTTAATAATACTTACGACAGCCTTCTTCATCAGATCCATCTTTGCAATCTGTGTCTCCATCACAGTACCAGTGCTCTGCAATGCAACTGCCATCATTACACCGAAACTCTTTGTCAGAACATTTCCGCATGTCTGTAACAAGCAAAAGGCAATAATACATTTCAGAGTGTTCACTGAAATGTCTGGAAAGAGACAAGATCTTGTATATGAATCAGTACCTGAACAACAAAACAACAAACACTTTCAAACTCAATTGGGAGGTTTCTACGACAACCAAGAAAATGTCCCTTTTCTTTATGGTTCATTCAGTTAATCGTCTGTAATAGACAGTATTTGCCCCAGAGGACTTCAGCACTTTGTGTGGCATAGGGGGAAACAACTGATGTGTGATGATATGTAGTGGTGGGAGGCATTTTTGCTCCCCTACAGTGTTGAATTTCCAACATAAGAGGGTAAAGAAAAGTGGAGAATGAGTTTTTGTGCACCCTCTAGTATCTGGCTCAGGCCAATATTGGCAGAGATTTATAAGCAGTGAGCTTAGAAAATAAACCTTGGAAGCAAATGGGGAGAAAATAAAAATTAGGAATGCTCCTTTTGATATAGTTGCTCTTGAATACTTGAAGCAATGTTTGAAAAGCAGCAGCATGTATTATATTGTAATGATTTATTGTTTTGCAATGGTTTGCACAGGTGTTAAATACTACACATGGGTCTGTGAATAATTTGATTTGAGAAAGTGTGTGGTACCATTTTACAACCACCAGATGTCTCTCATAAGTTATCAGTTCTCTGCCATTTGTTACTGTTTACAAAGTCCAGTAATAATACCCAGGGGTTCCAATATTCCAGTTTTTGGTAATTTTCACAACATAGACCAATACAGAACATCAGGAGATATGGTATAAACCATGAGACAAAATATCTAGAGCAGCCAGTAAATTTTTAATATGGTGGAGCTTTCAAAGACAATTAAGATTCAGAAAAGTTTTGCTTCCAAACGAAATGTTTGAAAAGTTGGGATAGCGTAAGCTGAAATCCACCAGTTCCTTTCAATTAATTGCAGTCAAAGAAATCACCTGCCTTTTAAAAGCTGGATCCGATTCACATTCATTGAGTGACAAAGAGGTATAACAAATGGCATGGTATATTTACAGCTGCCTCAAAACCTGACGTAGATACCAACACAATTTGGTTTACTCACCACATTGTTCATCGCTGTTGTCTCCACAGTCATTGTCACCATCACAGTGCCACAAACTCCGGATACAGTAGCCATTTTGGCAATGAAACTCGTCTTCCTCGCACTCGCGGGGTGCTGAAACGCAAAGCAAGAGCTTGAGTTAAACTGGCCACCACTGTTACTGGTGATGGGTTTTGTTTACAGTCAAACAGGACGACTATTTGAAGTCTCGCGCACTTGGACTTTCATCTTTCACCGTTACCCTGCAATGCTTCATTTGCAGTCTTTGTTCATTTGGATTATCAAATGCAATCGATTTAAAACCGATAAATGTGTCTTCTGAAAGCCTCACGTACATGAAAAAAATATTCCTATACGTTTGTGCAACGCTGCATCTCAACTACAGCAACCTGCAATACTTCATTACAATACAACACACATTAATGGTGAATTCCTCATTAACACAGTAGTTTTTCTTTACGACGCACATCTTGCTTGGTTCCCAAAAGTGATACAGAAAGCAGAATCCTTTCAACTCTCCCTCAAAAAAGCCTAGTTAATGAATGGCAATTCTATCCAAAGAAGAACTTATTATTCCCCTGACTTCTACACTAGCTGAAGTGTTCTGAAATTCATACTGCAGCACTACTGCTTGTGTTGTGTGAAACTGACAAATTTCTCGCAGTGATCACAGATCTGCAAACAGGTCCAAATAACTACTTACAAACTAAGCTACTGTATCTAAATTAAACTGTTGTTCCCTCAGCTCTTCATAAAAGAATCAGAGTGTTACCGCTCAATAAATCAACATTTCATCTCTATCGCAAATCTTTATATCTCCTTTTAAAACCTGCACTGCCTAATAAATAATGCAGTTTTTGTTACCCCCTCATAGTGATGCCGTAATCAAAGGCATGTGCTGAGATATTGATCTTTTCTCTCCTGCTGTTCAGTCTGCATGCTGTGCCCTGTCTTTTTTTAAAATCTCTAAAACATCACCATTGCATTGCAAACATGAAGAATGGGGGCATCATTGATGGACGCGCTACATCAATGTGAACTGGGTAACATTCCTTACACTAAGCTTTTGTTGTCACAGTTTTATATTCCTCATAAGATCTTTCATTCCAGTGAAGTGAATGGCATTTCCTCTATTTGGGGAGATGGTGGTTCATTCCACCCCCACCCCCCCACCCCCACCCCAAACACTAAAGCACCACTGAGATGGTGGAGCTCACTGCACCCCTTGGAACTGTCACAATTGCACAGCAACCAACCAATGGCCCAGTGGGTGGGCATCGCTAACACAACAAGACACTGCTCACAAAGGCCTTCTGGTTACTAAGAAGCGGAGTGAGTAGGGAGCTGAGTGACTGCTGAATAACTGAGTGTCAGTGATGGATTTCCTCTGCAGCAAGCGAGTAAAGCTCTCGCACTGGAGTGACTCAGAACTGCGAACTTCGGAGGAACTTTAGGTGCGAGATTTATGATTAAAAATGGTTGTGACTCATTGTTAAGCACGGTTAAACGTGTGGATCACCGTTTCCTTTCTCAGAGTAAAATACATCAAACACGTTTAAAAGGAACAAGGCTTAGTAGGTCTCAGTCCAGATATTGGCACTTCTGTGCACCTCAGACGAGTCTGAGTTAAAATTGTGGGGAAAACAACTGGTGCAAAGGGGCCTTTGTTGTTGTTCACATGAAAGTGAGAAGTGTGGAGACAAACTGTCTAACTTTTGTGTCGTTTGATTTTAGCTTTACATTTTCAGATTGAATAGTAGATTATCATTAACTACCTGCGGTCTAATGCAAGGGGAAATACAGTACAACTTACATGGGAATTAGGCCTGTATGCTAAAGCCATCTGTTGAGGAATCTTGTTAAATATCAGGCTAGGGTTGTAACTTCAAACAGAAGCCCTTTGTATACGTGGCGTCGCTTTGTAGGTTAGCAATACAGTTTTGTTTGAGGAATTCTGCATGTTCGCTGTTTGGAAGAGCAGTCTCTCACTAGATATTACTCATTCACTTCATGGCTATTTGTGGGACACTGCTGTGTGGAAATTGCCTGCCCTGTTCGCCTACAAAATACTCAGTCGCTAAGCTCTAGAGTGAATCCTGTGAAGTGGTTTGAGAAGTGTTGCTGCCATGCATAAACACTAAATCAGATGCAAGGATTATTCCTTTTATAATTTTATACATGATGGTGGAGATAGTGGTTCATGCAGGAGGAAAATTGACAACCATTTGCAGTAACGGAAATTCCATTCAAAGTTAGTGAACATCGGGACTTGCAACCTAAAGTTTGCAGCTGTTAGAAATTAAGAAAGGACTGACCGCTTTTAACCAAGTCATTTACCTCTTCAGAACTTTCACTTTGATAGTATAATATATTGCCAATGTTTTTTTGGTTTTTATTGTGCTGTAATGTAAACCTGCATTTATTGATTGAGTGAGCTTCTGGTCTGAGTGAAAGCTTGTGGCGTGGAACATGACCACATAAAATACAATAAGTAGAACTATTATATGAGACAACAACTGTTAACCATCAAGCACTCGGTAAGCACAGTTAAACTGAAGCATAGGGTGCTTACTCAGGGGCCAAACATTGCATTTGCAGGAAACAAAATAATGCAATAGGTAAGAGTGCACTGCAGTAATATAGCAATTGAGGTACACCTGACCACAACGCTGCTCAACGAGGACTGAAAATATATACTGAACAAAAGTGTCCGAGAATCAGAAATGCGTAAATATGTTTTCATGGTCTGTCTATATTAACCAGGCCAAAGTTGAGACAGCACATTTTTAGTGAAGGAGTGACAAACTGGAGGAAGACAGGGAATGGTAGGCTGGAGGTAGGTTGGGCAGGAAACAGAGATGGGGAGGGTAAAAGAGTGGAAAAAAAGGCGTATGCTTGGGCCATGGTGGGTACTAGATGGATGAGAGAAAGTGTGACTGAGAGGTAACTGGCAACTGGTAAATGGAATGATGAGTATTGGGTGTGTACAAACTGGAAAAGAATCACACTGGGCAAAGGAAGAACAGCTCAGCTTTCAAGTATGACTGGCGAAAAATAGCACCAATAACGAAACGTAGATGCCCAACTTGATTTGTCTGGGTTATGCCACAACATGCTCACAATCTGTGGCCTAATAGCCTTTACATCTAAATCATGCAGCACTGTACTTCATTCAGTACGTGCCTCCCACTTACAGTACGCTGCCTGCTAGCCAGAGCCTAAAGACAAGGGAAAGTGGGGGTGGGGTGGTGTTGGGGATAAATCACATGGGAAACAGTTTATACAAATATGAATGTAATATTTGTGTTTGGTAAAGAAAAGGTCCTTTTCAGAAGACTAATATTTTCCAATTTCTACCAGCAAACCATTGGTGTCAAACTGCTTTGTTCCAAGTCTGAAAAATAGACGTTTGCAGATCATCCAAATTCTGATAGCTAGTCATATTTTCTTTCCCTGTGGAACAGAGAACACAACAAACAGACAACACAACATAGATGGCACAATAACAACTAACTGAAATCAGATTGGCCTGTGACTGAAGGCAGGAATGTATGAATGAGACATTGTGTTCAATGAATAAATCATTCACTAACCTGAACTTTCTTATCTCTGCTAATCATTTATTACCAAACAGTGCAGAGCTGGGTCTGCGGCATTTATTCATTTTGAATTTATATTTACAACCTTTCTTTAACCTCCTGCTACTAAAAAAGGTTGGCAAACAAACCACAAGCTGTTGCACACTCTGTGGTTGGCCAGGAGAAGGAGCAAGGCATTAATTTGCTTCCGACACTGATCCACACTCATTCCGAAAACTAATAAATATGGATGAATTGCTGGCTTCGAGAAGGCAAGCCAGTGCCCGCGGGGAATGTGACAGTGAGCAAAGTGACAAATCTTAGTAGCAAAGAGCTCCACCCATCAATGTTGGTTTGCATTCAATGCGATCAACACATCTATAGATATCATCATGCATCCAAATACCACGACATTCCACATTTCCTGCATGTGCAGAAACTCGGTTGAACCCTAACCAAAGAGTCTTCCACTTGAAAAAATGTCCGTGCTACTGCGCAGACCCTACGAGGGTGTAGATAGATTGCCCCAGAAGCCTAAACTGGCAAAATTCAATTTCAGTTCAACAGGACCGTGGAGATGTAAAGAAATTATGAAGAAATCAGCGTGACATTAGACTAAGGAACACAGTTCAGAATTCTATTTTTAACGTAAAGACCAGATGCCATGCCATGGATCACACCTCACACACACGCACACACACACACGCAAACAATTACTTACGACAATCTTGTTCGTCTGAATCATCGCCGCAGTCATTGTCACCATCGCACACCCAGGATCGGCGGATGCACTTGCCATTGTCACAGTGGAATTCCAGAGGGGAACAGGTAGGGAGCACTGGAACAGAGAAAGGAAACTGTGAAAAACATGAACAATACAATTACAGTTCAGCTTCATTACTTACGGTAAACTAGAAATATCAAGTAAATGTACTGGGCACAAATTTGGCTCAGTTACTAGCACTGAAGTGAAACAGTGTAAATGCTGTAAACCAGAAACTCAAGCAGAAACACACATCATCAGATACATCAACACATTCTATCCCTCTCACACTTTGGTCTTCTTGTTGTGGTTTTGCAGTACATATTTGTTTATTTTGGCTGGTTGTAATCTGGCTTCGGAAGTCAGAACATGGTGAGCCAGAATGTTGTAGCTTCATAGCACACAAGGACGTATCATAATCCAGGTTGACTCTTCGGGGCAATCATTTTATTGCTGCTTGTGGGATGTTTCTGGCATAGGGTACATGCTATGATTGCCGACATGACAATCATTGCACTTCAAAAGCAACCCGTTGTAAGAAGCATTTGATTCGTTACAATATAAGGCTCTAAAATATTATTGATTAAAATCTCTATAGACTGCAATTATGGCATTAAAAATCAGCAGTATGCAATAATTCCAAACCCGTGAAACACTCCCTATCAGTCAAGGTGGTTAGAACTTGTATTCTAAACCAGTCACCCCATTTTCTTGGCACCTCTCCTTAAGGGTCCAGGAATGAATGATAAAAAATGTTATCAATGTTCCGGGGTATTCAGCTTAGTTTTTCTGTGACTCATTCCTGCTTCCAAGAAAGACTTGGCATTTTTAGATTGTGGGAGGGAATTTAATGAAGGCGGTCGTAATTACAAAGGTATTTGCATCTATGCCCTGTTACAAAATCATGAGATAAACTGAAGCCAACAATACAATCTGCTGCAAATAATACATTTAAGATCCAACTATTCATTCAAAGGAAATGACCTTGTCAACTTCAACTTCCATATGAAACTGTATTTCATAAATCCAGTTTAAACCAACTGAGGAACGTATGGTCAACGCTCCCAATTCAGAATAGAATTCGAAATAGATTTGACTGCAAGATGCAGGGACAGGGGATATGAAGGGTGGGATGGAAATCAATGCCTGGAGCTTCATGAATCTGACTTGTCAGATCAGGTACAGAAACACACACAATGCTTATGTTTGCGGAAAGATTTCCATTTTTATTAATTCCTTTTTCAGTGACCAATGCACACTAATTATTCTGGTTCGAATCTTTTCCTCCTCAATATACATGAATATATAGAAAAAAAATATCCAATCAAAATAAAACTTTGCCAAGCAGTTGCAATATAGCCTATTTTTTATTTGTTCTTATTTAATCTTTGATTTATTTTAACTTGCCAAAACAACATGTTCTTTTGGCTTTTCAAACAAAATAACTTGTACATTATACCAGGAAACCTTGTGCTTTCATGTTAAATAGCAATACCAGTGAACAAACTGGATCTGAGAGTTGGAAGAACTCTTGGCATTAATAAATACCTGATTAAGTTAATTCCAAACTTTTATTCAGGGATTGGCATGGCCAGTTTGATGAAGGAATTAAGGTTTAAATGGAAGTCAACATACAACTTCTAAAAGAAACAATGTGGAAAGCCCAACGGGGTATGAGCCTGTTTCCATTTGCACACTTAATCATGAAAAGCCCACAGCAGATAATAAACACATCTCAAAAAGTCAGTTTCCTCCCTGAACTGTGCGAGATACAGATCTGAAAGCCTTCAAACCCACCAAAGGCCTGTGGCAATTAACATCAATAGGACTTTATGACCTTTTCTCACTGATTACGTTGGTCCAGAAGAGAATAAAACAATCCTTTATTACATCTGGTGTCCAAGTTTCAATGTATCTGTAAAATTTGTATTTTAACTTGAAGTTTAATTTCAACCACCACAATATCTGAAAGACCTTTATTTTTGAGAAATAATTAATTGAAGTTTGCATATGGCAAATCTGCTATTCCTTCTCCTATTGCCTCAAATCAAACAGTGTATATCAGATTTCAGAGCAGTCTTTTAAATCCTCATTCCTTTCACAGTAGCTGTATTGGAGTTTGCTATAATGGGATTAATTAGTCTTGATATAAGCATTCGGACACTGTTTAAAAGGATTGCCGCAAAGTCTCTTCGTGCAGCCATGAGAGAAAGGCAACTTACAAATGCTTTCAATTTTTAATTTCATATTATAACTTGATAGGGAGTTCAAAGGAAAGAAAAACCTAGCACAAATTATCAGCTGGAAATTCTTCTAAGCAAACAAATATTTCAACATCATTAGGATTGCTCAGAAACAAAACACTGTGGTGAAAGGAGGCGGATTCCATTCATCTTTTACACATCCTATTTCTATTCCTGAACATTAATGAGACTCTAATCCATTCCCTTGACTTCCGTTTAGCCTAATTCAGAAAACGATATTAAGAAAATTCACTTTATGTCTTTCTGGCATTACTTTTATTTAAAATACATGGTTTACGATTGTTTCTCAGGCTCGCTTCCGACGTCACTCACAAAACCGAAACTGTCTGGCTGTACTGTTTGCTGAAGAAATGAAATCAAGAAGACAAGATGCATGTGTGTCCACAATTTTTAAAATTCAGAATTGAACTGAAGTATCAAGGACCATAGAGTAGTGCAACAGCAGGATCTATAGAGACAAAACAGCACCTGAGAATTGAGGTTACTCCAAATAGGTGTCCGGGAGACATCATTTTTCCATTTGAAAAGCCATCAAATTGTTTTGTGGGAGAGAAGACATAAAACAATGCAATTTGAAGTTCGTGGAAACAAAGACAAGATATTTTGATATCAACAAAAAGAGGGAAGAGGATGTGGGGCAACATAGTTAGAGTTTGGGGAGGCGCGGAGAAATTGATAGAAAACGTCAATGCCCAATTGTAATGAATTGGACTTATTACAAACATCTGACAGGAACTTTCTCTTGATTAGCCCTCAAGGAGCACAGGAATGCTCTTCACAGATCAACACAGGAATGCTCCCCCACAGATCAAGCCTATTACTTTCAGTGATAACACATTTGATTTCCTGTCTGCATCCAAGCTCTTAATCCCACTTTTTAATAACATCCATTCCAGTTCAGGTGCCAGCCATGCTGGGCTTCATGAATATCCACCTTCTTGATGATGACCGCAAATGTGGCTCATGACCTGAAACGGAATGTACACGTTGCCAAGAGGTGGTGATCGAGAATGAGTGCTTATTGCAATGGAACTTGTTGCTTTCTCATCAAACTGTCGGCAACGCTCCATCGGGGGCTTCCCTATCGCACACAACATTTTATCATCGCAAACGAATTTCCATCCTGAAACAGTTTTGCCGGGCTGTGCAGTGTTACCTTTCCTACGGTCAGGAAGGGCAAAGAAAAAGGCAGAGGACCAGGAAGGTCTCTTACCAAAAAAAAAGTTTAAAAAGTAGGGCGTTGGCTACAATAGAAGTAAAAATATCCTGTTTTACCAAGTTCCCTATGTCTGAAAATCCTATATGCTATATCAAATGCAAAGATTATATAATTATCCCCCAGTATGATGTGACAATTATTCCCAATGATAATTATTAGATTTAAGTACCACATTCCTCCCTTTATTATGTGTGAATGCTGGTACAAAACTCTTCATAAGCTTTGAGTGTACTTTTTTATTGCACACTCCCATTTTGTAGGAAATTAATAATTCAAAAAAGTTACCTAAATTCCACAGATTACTATACTTCATGCAAGCATAATTATTTTAAGTCAAATACTTTTGGTGTTCCAGCCAATAATACACCAAATGAAAAAGACAGTTTCTATTAATCTGCTGCTAACCTTTACTCCTGTAAAGTGCTAAGAATTAAGGTTATTCGTACAAGTGAAATCTCTGAATAATAAAATTTTTAAATTATTAATCAAATAAAATAATTAGTAAGCAACTACTGGATAGGAATTGAAGTCAAACTTCTACAGAACAGTCTAAGATTAGGAGATTCAGGCAGAAATTTGCAGCAAGTGACAACGTATTATCGTTATTATTGCTCATGTGATATTTGAAGCAATTATTCTGTACGAATGATATTACAGCACATAAAATAGCAAGCTGTTCTCAAAAGTCTAAACAGCTCTCGCTCTCTGTGGACAAGAAATATTAATAAGAAAAATTTCTCCCGTGAGACTTCATACAAATTAAAAATCAAAGCCAGTTCTCCAGCCAATCTAATTTTTCATTGCTTTATAACCTCCATCAGTGCTCCACGATTCCTCTCTTTCTGTAAGATGTGCGGATAGACAATGAATATTCTCTATAATTATCTTGGTGTTTGGACTGGCCCTGCAGGACAATAATAATAATATTCCTTGTATTTGATAAAGCGCCTTTTCACATCTTCGAGATGTATACAGAATACACTGTGAAGTGAATCTATACTGGATGAATAGAAAGGGATGGGTCGACACTGCTTAACTTGCGGGGTATCCCATGTCAAGGCATGAACAGAATTTAACGATGCCACAAGTATAATCAAATATGATCACGATCTGCTGAAACAAACCACTTCTAATACTTGCTGGCCGCAAGAAATCGGAGCTCTACTGAAAGTATTATGAATCATTCTAAACGATTCGTCAAACATTCGTGAATGTTTCCACACCATCTGACAAAGCACAATATAGTTAGCCTTGAACATCAATGGCATATTTAGGGTTCGTGGGCATATTTAGGGTTGCATTAATTTCTAATATTAACGCTGCATTGCTCCGCGGATGTCTCTGTCAGATTTCCTTTCTTCCTACTTTCAGGTCTCAGCTAAAGACCTTTCTTTTCAACTGCACCTTTGGTCACCTTCTTCCCCCTCCTCCCCCTCCCCGTGGCTCGGCCTCGGGATCCATTATTGTGAAGCGCTCTGAGACGCTGTCCGGCGTGGAGGGGGCTATAGAAATCCAAGTCATTGTTGTTGTTGTCAGTACACTTTGAAGACATACATGGTGGAATTAAAGCTGCCTATTTGATACATTTTTTA